CTAGGGAATAAATAGCCCAGGAAAGCAACGAAGAGGTAGTAGTGAAGCCAGCGCCCAGCAGAACCACCGTGTTTCCCAGAAGAATATCCCGAGGAAGCCCCTGGCCGTCTGTATCTCGAGCACGGGCGAGGAAATCAGCCACACACACCGCTTTGATGGGTGAAATTGGGTCATTCAGTGCGAGTGGTTCGGCACCCTTTGTCGTCGCGTTGTCCATCTCAGTCTCGATGGTGCTGAAGAGGAGATTTCTAACAACTCTTAGGCGGGCAGGCTCGCCAAATGGCAAGTATCCATGCCATTGTGGCCGCAGAGACGTCTTCTTCATTAGTTTGAGGTACTCGCCAAAGAGACGGATGGCCAAGGTGGGTGGCGTATTGAGTTCCTGGAAGTGTTGCAAGTCCTTGCCAATCATCACACGGAAGACAAGCTGACCAGCCAGCTTGAACATGTACTGGTAGATATTGCAAGCAAGTCCACGGTCTGACATCTCATCAAAGACGTTGAAGACACCCCGCGCAGCGTCTTGGATGAGAGGGCCATAGTGCGCAATTGCACGGGGAGAAAGAGCGGGCGGCACAAACTTGTGGGAGAGTGGGAAGGCGGGTGACTCGCTGTCACAGGTGAAGAGTGCCGTTTGCTCTCTCATATAGAAAAGCGGGTGAGAAGGGTCTGAAGTCGTCTTGGTGAAGAATTCACCTTCACGGAGAACGTGCCTTGATATCTCTGCGTCGTTTGTGATATACACTGTTGTCCCCATGTTGGTTGTTTTAATAACGGGGCCAAGGCGAGCGAAAAGACGATCATAGTTCCCCAATGGGTCTGGATAGAGTTCATAGTGATTTCCAACGACTGGAAGAGCTCTAGGCCCTGGGGGAGGCTGCACGGACGTTTTTCCTGCAGCTCGTAGTTCAATAGCCTCCTTGGCTGACTCAACAGCCTCGAGGGAATGAAGGCTGCCTTGACTGTCGCTATGGAAAAGGATTGCTACAAAGTCAGGTTAATATCACGGCTACGACCCAGGTATATCCACCATGTTGAAGGCCTCTAGGCTGAAAACATGGAGAGCAGATGTCACTTACAACTCGAGTCTGTCCATGCAAAAAGTTGGCCAAGGCTACTCTGGAGCTGCTTAAGTGTCTTGATGCTAGACAAATCGACTGACTCGCGTTGGATTGCGGGCTCTTTGCCCATGTAAAATTGTTGATACATAATGGCGGTATGCAATGCTAGAGCTTGGAACAGACAGTCATCACCAGTGTTTACTCGTTCAAAGAGGGTTGAGAACCAACAAGCATGGTGGGGTTAGAGTGGCCACTATCCAGCTATCCTGTGAGTTCTTTTTGACTATCCTCCTCAATTTTCCATGGGTTCCATCTTCCCAATCCATATTTTCCTTGTTTGAAAGCAAACCGTATCATTTCCGTCAAGGGTAGCCCTTTAACGGTTTGAGGAATGAAACAGGGGCCATTCCCTAAATGGTCCGGGCCCGACCAAATTCGACAAATTCCGGACTAATACAGGGAGCTGCATACTGACGAAACGACTAGACAGCTTGAATCAGGAAATGAGGCCCTTGCACATCGAGTGACGTATTTTCAACGTCTTATTTAACTCTAATCACAGAGTGAGGGGGAAGGTAGAAGTAAAAATCTCCGATTTGCTCAACACGGATTCATTGTCCAGCCATTTTCCCTTCACCTCCTGAGATTTCTCACGAATCAGCGAGAAGATTGATCCCCTCACCTCAAGTCACAGGACTTTCCATTTTCACGATGGTCCAATGCCAGCACTTTGCCTACCCAGGAATGGGCCAGATTCTTCTGAAACAGCACTGTTACCACCAGTCTATTCGCATTGGTGACCGCATCGAGGTCTCTGGACAAGGTAAGAGACTGGAATCCCATTAGTTCTTGGTTAATGAAAATTCCTCAATCCACTAACATTCCGGGTATCTACAAAGGCGGTTGGGACACTGAAACTGGGGAAGTCAGCAAGGACGTCAAGACACAAATTGATCAGATCTTCAAGAACATTGACCTCGCCCTTAAGGATGCGGGGGGCAAGGGCTGGTCCCAGGTGTACCGCATCACGGCCTATTACATCCCCGACACCCAGCACGAGGACCTTATGCACATGTGCAATAATATCAAGAAATGGATTCCGGGCAAGGAACCTCTTCTCACCTGTGTGGGGGTAGCCAAGCTGACTATGGAGGGCATGTTCATGGAAATTGAGGTCGCCGCTCATGATGAGGAAGGTGGTGAAGCAGCAGCTCGCAAGGATTGAGGAAATTGACGGGACTTTGATATGTTGTCAGGCGGGCCAAAGATAAGAGAAACAGGGAACAATTGAACAAAGAAAGTATTGACGCCGATCGTTCATGAAGACACCGCGCCCTGTCAATGTCACCCTCCCAAGCTGATGAAGCCTGTAGAATTCGGTGAGTGCATTCAGATCATGATTGTTGACTACTGCATACGTGAAAAAGTAAAACGTAGCCAAACGGTATGAGCAGTCCTAACGATTGGTTCGCCACTTAGTTAAATCCACAACGCTAATCATTTTCTATCGTACTTTATTTTTCTAATCCGGTCAGAAATGTTATGCTTCATCCATATAACCTTAAGCAAGCACAGGGTAGGTGTGATTGGGTTGGGTGACGCTACCCTATACCACGAGGGGCACATCGATCAACATCCCGCTGAGGGAATTGAGTGGGCATGGAGAACTATTGCCGGTGAATGGGACAATTGAATCGGGCTAATCTTGAGCCGTATTATGTTGAGGAAGAAAAGCCTCTAGTCATGGATATCGCCGATTATTGTCATCCCTGCACGCTAAAAATGGTATTTCGTATTTCGTTTTGATATGTCTACACATGTTGTTTTCAGATATATTACTACAACGTACATGTACGCTAGAATTCCGCACTGCATACTCCAGGTCGATTAACGCGCCCCATCGCCCCACTATAACCGAGGCAATGCGGAATTCCGGGACTCAACACATGGTGACACTGGGACACTGGCCGCAAAGATGCATGTTGTACGTTGCATTGGAGGTGGTTTTTCCCCCTCCCTGGCGCCGAGAACGTGCATAAGAGCACAGAGCCATTGGGAACTTTCATAGCTTGCGTAGTACGCTTGATCCTTGCACGTTGCAGTGCATTCAATAAACGTGTGCCGCGGACCTGCAGGACGGAAACATGGCTTTAACTATATTTGATTCCAGTTGTGGAAACAAGAATTTCTCAGAGATACTAGGAATGATGCTTACCGAATCTGGCGACGTAGGGCAGAAGCCTCCGGGGGCTACATGCTCCATCTCAACAACGGACTTAAGCTATAGGCAGTCATTGCAATTGTTATTGATACGCCGGATAGATTGCTCGCATGTTTCACCAAACAAAGCTAGGCTGCATACCTAGTAGCTTACGCCACGCACTACGCTGGGCTTTCTGAACATCATCCGTTGTTAATAATATTAGTAAAGATACGTAGTTCAAGGTGGAACAGGCAGATGCCTCGCCGCCTGCGCATAAGAGGTCGCAATCACGTCTGAAATTATCTCTCTGTTACAGTAGGGCAAGGAGGCGTTTACACGAAAAAACGGCCTGGAGACCTTTTGCTTCATTATGACTGGTGCATACCGCCTATGCATGCAGGCGTGCAGGAGCTGAACACGTTGTCGTGTTTCGCGATACAGGGCTGTGCTATTATATACAACCGTCTATGCCCGGTTTGTATGTCGTATTCTCCGCTGCACATCAGAATTACCTCAGCAATGAGGTGAGCTTGTGGGACTCGGGAATCGATATTGAGCACTCAGCCTGGGTGACGAATCACATATTGATTTATTAGCGTGCTTAGACGACTTCTCTTGAGTATTTGGCCCACCGTTATTATAGCCAAACTCGCTAATGTCGGCTGTGAGCCGGCAATGACGGGTGAAACAGCGATCATCATTTGGTCTTCAGACCTTGACAGTTCAGCCGCAAAATGCCAAGTAAAGGTATCCACCTGACCTCGTTCTAATTGGCGATAGACCTGCGGTGGGCTTTCGGTAGACGTGGATCACGAATTTCCCGTCGCATCTGAAGAATTTCTAACCGTCTTGGATTACAGATCTTGCTTGTGGTAACTCGAAACTTATTATTGCACAGATAGAGCGTATATAGTGCCGATCATGTTCTCGGATGTATATTTCTCCGACTTTCTTGTTCTTGTATCCAGAACAAGGTGCTAAACAACTTTCATCTCAGAAACAGGGTTGACGGAAGACTTCCCGGGAGTTAGCCAGACAGGGGTGTGACAAGGAGTAACCTCCACCGCACGGCCGGCTGCGACGGTAAATGCACACCAGGGTGCTCTTTTTGTCCACTCGTCCCTGCGACCCGTGGCCCATCTGCGACTCTTACGACAGAAGACACTTCCAGTATTGCATTAGCTCCGCATCCGGCAACGCATTCTTATGTGTACGAAGTGAAAATTACGTGCCTAAAGTAGAAGGACGTTCCTCAAATCAATATGAGAGATGCAATAGGAAGAACGGGGCGCAGGGCGTGTCCTCAATTGGGCAGCTGTGCGGAAGCTCAAACATGGCTTTCCGCCACGTTTCTGTTGACCACCAACCACTTTCGTAATGTGATTGCGCGATGGATACGATGGGAGATCGCGAAAAAATAGGTACATGGGCGTGGCTGTGGATGTTTCAAGGGCCAACTGCCGGTTTGCTGAGTAGATGCATGACGTTGTTGCAGTGATGTGGGCTATATGTTGAGAAACGATCCCGCTGGCGTATATGTATGTGATCTGGACCATTCTCCCGCTTACACAGGAAATACACAGCACCGGTGGCAGTCGGTGGTCCGGAAAGAAATTGATACCATCATCGGCTAGCTGTCCCTTACCCCTGTCCATCTACGTACCCAAGGCCACATACAATACGTCAAGACTCGCAACTGGATGAACGAATGACGAAGTAACGAGCAGAAAGACAAGATGTTTGGAACACTGAGCATTCAGTCCAAAGAGCCTGTGACGTTTGTTGAAAACTCGGACCTGGCTTCGGTTCTTAGCCGTAATCGCCAAGAACGCCCGCATGTGTCCTGCCACCTCTGCCGAGCTCGAAAGGTATGGATCTGCCGAGACTGCATCAATGCACACTCTGGAAATGATTATCCCTCTAATTGCCAGCAGACTAGGTGTAGCGGAGAGCCAACCGGCTGCGACAAGTGTGTGGCCATTGGCGCTGAATGCCAATACCCAAGTCGGCCCTCTCGTCGAAAGAAACGATCCCGATCAGCATTCCAATCTTCCCAACAGGATGTAACTATCGTCGATGGCGCAAACCAGGAGCCGATGAATAGAGATACCTACTCAAATCCCAACATCAGCTCCATTAATGCTACAGCGGCTACTGATATGATAGATGGTGTTGTGCACGATCATCAAGCACCCTCAGGCACAACTGCGGAAGATTCAATGCTGTCAGCCACGAGCTTATTTGACTTCGACGACGAAGTCGATGGGGATGCACAGCATCTCGAGCATTGGCTATCCTCGGGAACTAATGCAGAGGCGGAGGCGAGGGCTCCTAGCACCTCGGCACGCTCAGCTATGCTGGATGCGTGGCCAGACCTCGGTGCTCTCTCCTCCGGGGGGTTTGGGGAAACCAGTCGGCATTGGGATCCCCTTACCGATGACCAACTGCCGTTGGGAAATTACCAGAGACAGTTAAGTGGTAAGTGCCGTGCATGAAATCATACATATCCTCTCACTACCATCCCATCTAACCAACACTTTGTTTCATGTACTGCAGAACCCGAAGAAGACACCAACGAAGCAGCTGGTGGTGTCCCAAATGATGTCCCATCTCTGGCCATGGAATCTGTTCTGGCATCCCTGAGTGCCGCTCTGGCATCTCCTAGACACCGCCCATCTGGTGGCTCCAGCAGCCGGAGTGAGAGCCTTGATCAGCACAGAAGTGGGCTCGAGAACCCCAACTCATCATCAGCTTACCGACCGCTACGGGACTCGAGGAAGAATCCCTGGCCCCCATCGTCGTCCTCGTCCTCTCTCTCCAGAGCCAACAGCAACGGCCACGGTTCGATGCCAGTTTCTGCTTCCGATATCCAGCGTAGATCGATAGCCCAGAACTTGAGCAACACCAACCGTCACAGGCCATCAGGCCCTCAATCTTCTGTGTCAGCATCGGCCTCATCCTCAGTGTCCGCCGCGGGCGGTGCTGCCGGTAGTGTTGGTAGAGCAGCCTCTAGTACAGTACCATCTCAGCAGAGGGAAAATTGCCGCTGTGCAAAGTACTCGGCTGCTTTGTTGGAGCTGCTGGAGGAACTGGGTGCCAACATGGGTCTCACACGGAACCCTGCATCAATGGGGGTCCTGCTTGGTCTACTGCGGAGCGCACTGGCGAGATGCAAAGAGGCACTGGAGTTAGAGCCATGCCGGGCGTGCAAGGGAAGTAGTCAGACTGAAAGGCTCATTCTGCTCACTCTGTTGTTGCAGTTCATGAGCAACATGTATGAGCGTGTAGTTGAGAGCTGTGTGAAAATGATTGATGACATGGTCAATGAGAATCATGAAGATGCGGTCCCCCAATATCTGGTTGGCTCGACTCCGTCCCCTAGATCAACCAGTAATCAAGCACTCGGCGGCGGAACGCAAGATGGCTGGGCCAATGATGGACCACAGGAAGGGCAAAGGAGGGATGCTGTGCAGGGGTTGGCGCGTGCGCCGGGTGATGCAATGGAGGACTTGTGGTTCTCGACGTATCATATACAGAGTAGCTGCGAGCGTCTGCATGTTCTGACCACACTGGTAACGGTTCAGATTACGGAACTCTCATATCTTTTGGGCAACCCCAAACTACGGGCGGGTGGCAGACAAAACCAACTCGCGATTTTGGCTTCCATTGAGAAAGTAACCAACTCCTCTCGACGTATGTTGCGAATGAGCATTGATAGAGCCATTGCCAGCAAAGAACAGCACTGATATCACAAATAGATCAAGATGGTCAGGATGAAATAAATAGTCCTTTTGCAAATTTACAGATTGTTATCTCCCCCATCGATTATCTGACTGACCATTAGAGATGTGCCATGCGACCAATCGCCCACTCCATTGCTCGGACGGCCGCCTTGACGTCTGCCGGGGACTTTGGGAGCTCGTGACCACCAGAATGCTCCAGTACCTTGAAGGAACCCTTCTCGCAGAGGCCAAGAGCAGCCTTGGACATGCTCCTCATGAATGAAGCGTCTCTTTTTCCTGTCATATGCACAGTCGGGATTCGGATCTTTTCCTTGGTAAGGCTAGGAGGCATCAACCTTGGTGCTTGTAGGAGTCCCTGGTCGCCCCGGTAAATCGAAATATCATAATCAGGAAGCATTGAGTTGTGTTGTTGGGCCGGAATCACAGTTTGTTCGAGAAGCTCCGAGAATAACTTTTGTTCCTCTGATGCTGCATCACTGCCGTCTAGCGGGCATATGCGATCTATCAAGTTGTCACAAACGGCGGCGTCGGCAGAGCATGGAATGACGGACGAAAAACAGAGGGCGAACTTGAACGGCAAGGGCTTGCTGGCTTGTTGATGGAGGAAGGAGATGGTGAGGGCGGCACCCTGGCTGAACCCCAGAACTCCATTGAACGGCCCCATTTCGTCAATCACTTCTTCCAGGTGCTCTATAGCTGCTTGCATGCTCTGGGGATCATATGCTCGTGTGTGAGAATAGAATGGACCATCATGATAAGCAGCCATTCCTGTGATCAGCTGGTAAGGTTTTGTTCCAGACTTTGAGGGTCATTTTGGTCTGTTTTCACTGTACCTGGTCCACGCTCACACGGCTCTGGTCCATCGACGAAAATGAATTCGTAGCTTGGGTCGGAGGCCCGAATAAAAGGCTGTAATTGTGATTCACAGATGCTCCCATTGCTGCCAACGCCATGCAGGCATAGAATTCTCATGATGGAATAAAAATCAAGTCTAACTATACAAAGAGTTGTGTGAAAGGGCCTTATCTGGTGCGGCTGACTCGGTACTCGGAGATGTTGAATGATTTGGTGATATCAACCACTGGTATCGGTACAGGCTGTTCGGTATGCTAGGGTCTAGATCTAAGCCTTGTGCCGAATCCGCTCAAACGCACCAATATCCTTTGAATTGCAATATTGGACTATTACCGAATCATGCATTGATGTTGATATCTGGGAACTTCCTCTTTGGGATATTGTCTGTCTGGTTGCACGACTATGGCACGGCCCTGTTCCGTATAGTCACACTCCGTAGTAATACTCTCTAGCAAGATCTTAATCTAGCGTACCATTTGAAGATTAAAGATGAGCCGGAGCGCCGTTTGTTGTCGAAGCTGACCCACATATATCTCGGTGTTTCTCCTTTCGGCTGTTTCCAGGGTGTGTGGTTATCCTGACATCGACTCGGAACGCCATTGCGGCTCAGCTCGGCGACCACGTATAGAGAAGACCCTATGACTCATTGACCAATCAGGATGTAATATCACCTCTGTTTACCGGACGAAGGGTAGATATTGAAAGAAATCACAACTGTGAAGTGCGAGTGACTTTATCCAGGGGAAAGATTTATATCGACAGTAGTCCCATGTTTAGCTTGACCCATGACGGACATTTCAAACTCAAGACGCTTGTTTGAACCATATTATCTTGGTTCAGTCTTAATTATCATTCGTCAAGATGGCTCGATTAGACAAGGAAGAGCCTATTGCTATCGTGGGAGCAGCATGCAGGCTCCCTGGGGACTCGAACTCTGTTGACAGTCTGTGGGATATGATCAGCAATTCCAGGACAGGACATGGAAAGATTCCGTCCGATCGATGGGATGCGGATAAATGGCATCATCCAGACCCTGATAGAAAGGGAGGAGTAAGTCCATACCACCAAAACGTGCTCTTTTATCCGGACTTTCCTGCTGACAGACCTGTTTTTCAAAGATCCGCCCTAAACATGGATACTTTATCAAACAAGATGTCTCACACTTTGATGCGCCCTTCTTTTCAACGACAGCAAAAGAAGCTGCAGCAATGGATCCGATGAAGCGTCTCCTACTCGAAGTGAGCTATGAAAGCATAGAGAATGGTATGTGGAACAAACTCTAGCTATGCAGATGGGGTAGGCGATTTTGTTCTTATTTCTGATCTTCTGTGTAGCTGGCATTCCCGTGGAAAGTCTTTACAATAGCCAAACAGGCTGCTACGTGGGCTGCATGACAAACGACTACGAAATGTTATCACTTCACGATATTTATGACGTCGGACACTCCGCTGCGTCTGCCACAAGCGAAGCTATGACAGCAAACAGAGTTTCTTGGTTCTTTGGCCTCAAAGGCCCCAGTTTAACCCTTGATACTGCCTGCTCTTCCAGCCTCTACGCCTTGCACTTGGCATGCCAGTCACTAAAGCTGGGTGAAACCAACATGGTATATCCTATCCATCTCTTTAAAATATCCTGGGCAATGCTAACCATACACCACAATGATGGGTTTATAGTCTCTCGTTGCAGGAGTTAACTTGATGCTGTTCCCTAACACTATGCACCAGCTCTCAGCGATGCACATGCTCAGCCCCGAGGGTATCTCTCATACCTTCGATGATCGTGCAAATGGTTACGGCCGAGGTGAAGGTATTGCGTGCTTAGTTGTGAAGCGTTTGTCGGATGCTCTACGAGATGGGGATACCATTCGGGCTGTGATCCGAGGGACCGGTGCCAATGCGGATGGCAAGACACCAAGCATCACTCAACCAAGCAGCACCGCACAGGCAGAGCTTATTCAAGCTACCTATGCACGAGCAGGTCTGAACATGACTGAGACACAATATTTCGAATGTCATGGAACTGGAACTCCAGTAGGAGTAAGTTGGCACAATAGGCAAAGGACTTGGCATCGACGTGGAAATTGAAACTGACTTGGATGTAGGACCCAATTGAACTTGAGGCGATAGCCTCAACGCTTGGGGCTAGCAGAGTCGCTGCCGGTATGGGTCCTCTTTACATCGGCAGTGTGAAACCAAGCGTAGGCCACACCGAAGGCTGCTCTGGCCTGGCCGGTATCTTGAAAGCTCTCGCCTGCCTGGAAAATGGTATGCTAGTCCCGACATATGGCGTGGAGTCTCTCAACCCAAAACTCCGACTCAAGGACTGGAACCTGGCCCTCCCGCCCAAAGTGATGAGATGGCCAACCCAGGGCCAGCGCCGAATCAGCGTCAACTCCTTCGGGTTTGGTGGCGCCAATGCGCACGCTATTCTTGACGACGCATATAACTACTTGAACAGCAGAGGGCTGGTGGGCAATCATAATACAACACCGCTCGATGAAGAGGCCGGTTCTGAGTCTGGGATAAGTACTGGGCCAGACACTCCACCCTCAGAAAGCGACATCTTTGCCAAGAGATTGTTTGTCTTGAGCTCCAAAGACCAGTCCGGCGTCAAGAGACTCGAAGACGCCTACTCCGCCGCTCTGTCAAGCTCCAAGATTGACAAGAACGACTACAATTATATTGACGACCTTGTCCATACCCTTTCAAATAGACGGTCTCACCTCGACTTTCGAGGGTTCTGTGTGGCGTCATCTCTCTCCGAACTGAATGATCAGCTATCTAAGGGAATTTCTAAGACTAAAAGGTCCCTTCGAAATCGTAGCAATTTACTTTTCGTTTTCACCGGCCAGGGCGCTCAGTGGCCAGCAATGGGTGTGGAGCTTTTGAGCAAACAAGTCTTTGAGGAGAGCGTACTCCGCTCTCAGGAGACCCTCGAACAGCTAGGATGCCAGTGGAATGCGATCGAGGAACTTAGGAAGACGGAAGACTCCCGGATTCTAAATCCCGAGTTTAGTCAGACACTCTGCACAGTTCTTCAAGTTGCCTTGGTTGATCTCCTTCGGCACTGGAAGGCCATGCCAAGAGCGACTGTTGGCCACTCTAGTGGAGAGATTGGTAAGTCTACATCTGTTTCTTATTACAAAAGAATATGTACAAGAATGCGTCTAACACAGTGAAATTAAATAGCTGCCGCTTACGCTGCAGGATACCTTAGCCACGCGGATGCTGTCAAGATTGCATACGTGAGGGGTCTTAGCTCTGCCAGCGTCACCCGCAAAGGTGCCATGTTGGCTACTGGAATCTCACGGGAAGATGCACAGCCATACCTTGAACAGGTAGAACCTGAATCCGCCGTCGTCGCCTGCGTCAATAGTCCATCTAGTGTAACGCTCTCTGGCGACGTGGAGAGTATCGACAAGCTTGAGAAGTTGATTTCAGGTGATGGAAAGTTTGCCCGCAAGCTCAAGGTCGGGACAGCCTATCACTCTCCTCATATGAAGTCGGTCGCTCAGAGCTACTTTGAGCAAATTGGACATATTGAGCCGTTGACCCCTAAATCTGAAGGGTTTGAGAGTGCCTTCATGTTTTCATCTTTGACTGGACAGCTCGTATCACCAAATCAGCTCACTGCTCAGTACTGGGTATCTAATATGTGTGCCACGGTCGAATTCTCTTCTGCCGTATCCGGGATTTTATCCCACAAGCAAGGAGAGAAGGGTAGGACATCTATTCAATGGGATGCCATTGTTGAAATTGGACCACATGCTGCACTCAAAGGTCCTGTTCAACAAATCATCACAGCTACCGGTGCGAAGAACGGTTCAGCCAAGGACGCACCATACATGGCACTTGTTCTTCGTGGACAGGACGCGACCGAATCAAGTTTGACAGTTGCTGGCAAACTCTGGGCAATCGGCCATCCCGTTGACCTGTCTGCTGTCAATACTCGAACTCTGGGACACGCACAGAAGTCATTGACTAGCCTTCCCACTTATCCCTGGAACCATTCTCGTAAATTTTGGCACGAAGCGTACTCGACCAAGTCAAACAGGTTTCCTTCGCATCCTAGAACTGACATGTTAGGTGTTCCGGTGGATATGCAGAACAAGTTTGAACCACAGTGGAGGAACTACCTACGTGTGTCAGAGAATCCATGGATTGAGGACCACCGCATCACGGGAACTACGCTGTATCCTGCAGCAGGAATGCTGGTTATGGCTCTGGAAGGTGCCTTGAAGATGTGGGATAACAAAAAGACCCTGGATGGTTTCCGCTTCAGAGATGTGTCGTTTGAGCGCGGCTTGGTGGTGCCTTCGGATGAAGAGAGCGCGGTGGAAACACGCTTGAGTCTCCATCCTCACCCCGAAGTTGAAGGTAGATATGGCTTTATCATCTTTTCAACCACCACCTCGACCGCTTGGACAAAACACTGCTACGGGTCAATCGAGCTTGAGTACGGGAAGTTGCTTCCTAATGAGGTAGACGATGAGTCCATAACCACCTTGGAGTGGGATGAGCAAACATCAATCTACCAAGGGTTATTGAAAGAACCGTTGGCTGAGGATGTAGAAATCGACGCATTCTATGATCATCTTCAGTCAATCGGAATGGAGTACGGCCCTCTCTTCCGAAACGTGACGACACTCAAAGCAATACCTGCATCCAAGGCATCCCACGGTGCTGTCATCGTCCCAGATACGCTGTCTTCCATGCCTGAGGGTTTTGAATTTGATCATGTCATTCATCCAGCCACAATGGATGCCATCTTCCACCTACTTCTTGCTTCCTTCAACGATGGACGACCGGTTGACGAGGCGGCGGTTCCATACCATATTGGTGACATGTTTGTTGCCAAAGACCAGCCACATGGTTCGGGTAAACTGTATCATGGATATGGGAGTCTAACTTCCAAGAGCGAGGATGGGCATGAAATTGTCGGTGATCTCATTGTTTCAGACGATGCTTGGTCTGCTCCAAAATTGGTCGTTAAAGACTTTGCTCTGAGGCAAGTTACATCTACGGGCAATGGCATCTCTGAAGATGAATTTGATCTTAAGAAGTGCGCTCAAATCAAATGGGCAGAGAGCCCAGACTTCGTGGAATTTTCACGGGATAGCGAAGCATTGGGATCAATGGCTTCCCGGAACGAGCAAAAGATGCCCGAGCAAGTTTACATCGTTCTCCCCAACAATGCCTCGGATTCTCTCTCAAAACTTGCTTCCAACATTGGCGAGAATATCACGGCGCTTGGTGTTTCAGCGAAATTGTCACTTCTACTGGATTTGAATGAGAATGAAATCGTGGGACAACACATAATTTCGCTTCTTGAAACCGAGTCTCCATTCATCTATTCCTGGTCGGAGTCCGAATTCAACGCTTTCAAGACACTTGTTTCCAAGGTTGAGCACATGATGTGGGTAACCAAGGGCGGCCTCCTTCGCTCCTGGTCCTCAAGTGCCGACTTTGCCCCATCTCAGGGGCTGCTCCGTGTCCTGAGGAACGAGTACACAATAACCACCCTGCCTCACCTCGATCTCTCCTCTAGCTTTGATCTTTCCAGCCCGGCCAACTCACTTCTCATTCTGAACGTATGGATCTCTTCTCAAGGCAAGAATGCTGAGATGGAGTATGCTGAGGACGCTGGAACGATCCACATCCCAAGAGCAGTGGATGAGCCTGGGTTTGATGCTGAGTTGCAGCTTGCTAGTGGCAGACCTAAGCCCGTGATGACCAAACTAGGTAGTGTCAGTTCCCCATTGACACTTGCCATATCAGCTGATGGGCAAAGCTGTGTGGGACTTGAAGATGTAGCCCTTGAGGGTCCTCTTGGTCCTCATGATGTTGAGATTCAGGTGGATTATGTTGGGTTGGGAATCAATGATGCTTCGAGCAAGAAGTTGAATGGATGGGGCAAGGAAGCCATTGGTACTGTCCTAGCTTATGGCGAACGTGTGTCATCTGTCAATATTGGCCAAAATGTTGCAGTCCTGCTACCTGCAGAAGCCAGTCGGACTAGGATTCGAGTTCCGGAAGGCCAGGTAGTTCCTGTGCCCTCCCATGTCTCTCCGCAAAACGCGGCAACCATGACTCTGGCTTTTGTTACAGCTCAGTATGCTCTCCTAGAGATTGCGCACTTGAGGCGTGATGAGGCAGCTCTCATCAATGTCGAGGCTGGTGACGTTGCCCAAGCTGCTATTCAAGTTGTGCAATTGGTTGGCGCATCCGTCTTTGTATTGGTTAAATCAAAGAAGGAGAAGGACCTCCTGTCAACGGAATACGGTCTACCGTCGGATCGAATATTTGATGTTGAGTCAAATTGCTTTGTTGCCGCTATCAAGAAGGCAACGAATAATCGAGGCGTGCAAGTTATTCTCAACCAAGGATCCACTAGAGCCACTGAAGAAGCTGTCAACATTCTTAGTGATTTTGGATACTTGGTTGACTTGGTTAGCTCCTCGACTGTCAATCGGAAGTTGGTGCTTCCAGCCTCGACGCAGAATGCTAGCCTTATCCGCATTGACATGGATTCAGTCATCGTTTCCAAGCCTGAGGTGGTTAATACTCTAGTCCAACGCACTTTCCGTGACTACTCTCGTCGTCACTGCATACATCCCATTTCCGGGGCCCAGGTCTTCTCGGTGGAAGATATCCCACAGGCCATTCAGGCAGTCAAGAAAGATGCCTTCAGCAAGGTTGTGGTATCTCTCGAAAGAGAAGCATCCGTCCTCACCACGCCACCACCGGCTCCCGGGCTAGTCCTTGACGCGGATGCCACGTTTGTCCTGGCTGGTGGGCTGGGTGCTCTTGGTTTGAATATTGCTAAGACTATGATCGCACATGGAGCAAGGGATCTCGTGTTCCTCTCACGATCTGGCGGCAGCAGTAGCCAGAAGGAGCTGGATGAATTCAGAGAGCAGGGAGTCAGGGCTGAGGCTTTCAAATGTGATGTGACTCAGGCCTTTAGTGTGGCGTCTGTCTTCCAGGAATTGAAGAGCCAAGGAAGAGTTGTGAAGGGCGTCATCCAATGCGCCATGGTCTTGGAGGTAAGTATCCCATTTCTTGACCAACCAACGAGACTTTATTCTAACCAGCATTTTTCAGGATACGATCTTCGAGAATATGACACATGATAAATGGCTCCGGGCATTCCTACCCAAGACACGCGGCTCTCGAAATCTCCTGGCCAATCTCTGGCCATCGGACAACCCTTTCTTCATTCTCCTCTCCTCAATTACCGGTGTTATTGGAAACACTGCGCAAGCCAACTATGCCTCAGGGAATTCCTTTGAAGACGCTCTTGCTCATCATGCCCGCAACACGCTCGGAATACGGGCAACAAGTATCGATGTTGGCCTGGTGTCTGATTCGTCCCACTTCACTGAAGCAGGAGAGTTTGGTGATCTCAAGGGCTATCTGAACCGTTATCAGCACGGCTGGACTGGTCTCCAAACAACCGTAGATGAATTACTGGTGTGCCTGAGGGCAATTATGCGAGGCTCCACGGCTGACGATGGGAACATTCCTGCACAATTCGTCCTGGGTCTCGGCGGAAAACTGATTCGAAAAGCCGGAGGCACTGGATTTGAGCGTGATCGGAAATTTGATCTACGCGTTATTGAAGTAGCCGATAGTGGGAAAACTGATGCAAAGGAGGAAAGTGTTTCTGACAAGTTGAGCAACGCAGCATCATTAACAGAGGCTGCGGAGGCGGTCGAGGCGACTCTCAAGCGGCAGGTTGCGATCGCCGTTGGTGTTGAGATTGATGAGGTTGACTCCCAGAGAGCTCTTCCTGAATTTGGCGGTAAGTGACCCAGACATTGCAAAAAGTTTCACACAAAATGACGAATTACTAACTTCAAATAGTTGATTCGTTGAATGCTGTTGAAATTCGGAACCGAGTGTTGAAGGACATGCAGAGTGAGATATCAGTTTTCGAACTCTTGAGCTCGACTCCAATGGCCGACTTAGCTGTCAAAGTTGCATCTAGAAGCGCCTTAGTCAAGTTGGAGGTGGCAAAGGAAGGATGAAAAAGTGATCGTCTATATGATAACTTGTTTGCTTTCTGAATTTACAAAAGCTCACTAGAACTGTTGATTCAATTACATTGGTGAAGAATATGTTGTATTGGCATCCTGTCTTCTTTTCCTTGCCGAATTATGTTGCAAAGATCAGACCATCAACTGTATTTCCCTGCTTGTTCAATTAAATATATCCTTAGCTACATCTCTGTTTTTCCATTTCCATTTTGCTTATCTGTGTAATCCACTCTATAAAAAGGTGACGATTGAACTATTCTGAAAGAAAAAAGAACTTCTAATAAGACAAATTGTGTCACTATTTCTACAGAAGAGAGTTCGAGTATAAACTTAAAAAAACAGCAATGAATGATGCCAGACCCGACATCTAAGCACAATGAATAGTCATTATTTCTACAATTGCCTAGCTGAAAACCCGACTGGCCGAGGAATGATAGGCGGGTAAGCAAAGGGCTCCTTAGTGTGGTGCAGAGTCTTCCGAAACTGCTCGTAGGCATATGCGACAACGACAAGAGCGACGGAAGAGGATAGCAGAGCTCCAGCACCAAAGGCACCAATAGAATCAATAGTCCGCTTCCCCAAAGCAACTAGAGTGGCTGATGACTGATGATGGAGCGCAATTCGGCCACCGAGAGCGATTATAAACCCCCCCAAGGCTGTTCCTAAGAAAAGTCGTAGGAATCCAGCCAAAGGATAACTGGCTGGGAAATAACTGTTGCGTTTGACCTCTCTTTGAGGCTTTGGTAATGGGTCCGACCGATTTTCTTCTTCGGACAGTTTCTCATCGTGGCCTTCCAAGGGCCCAATCAGAAATCGGGTTAAAGTTGCTGAAGCACTTTTGCTATGTCCTGCATAATCGTATGCGTCCGTCCCGTCATCTCCAGCACATTGAAGAATAGCATCTATTCCGCCTGGATGGTCATTTACGAAGGATGTCAAATTGTAAACTACCCTTTTATATCAGTCTGGTGTAATTGGCAATGGAATGTTGTAAAGCCAAGAGCTATGTTCTCTGTTGGCGCTAACTAACCTTTTCCATGAACCGAAACCCATAAATCGTTCGCTGTGTTATGTTGTGCAAGCTCAGGAGTGGTTACCACTGTAGTAGTCATTTTGGAAGATGGTTCAGAGAATTCAATTTTGATCCAAAAACATGAATGGTATGGTAATAAAAAGTAATATTTCGGAAGATCAATACTATATAACGTCTATCGGCCTATCATGGTTCACTAATTTGTCACCATCCGGGGTATATAAGCCCCTTGCACTTCCAAAATAGAAAATAGGTGAAAAAGCTAAGACTGGAAAGATACAGTATTGTGCAGTGGTCAAATACGTATTCGCCGCGAAGATGATAGCCTAAATTGGCAAACCACTACCTGATTTGGTCCGGCCCGGGCCAAGTTTGTAAATTCCGGATAACCTAGACGACAAGTGACAACCGGACATAAGCATTCGCCGCACTTTACAAAAGGGTTAGATTGGGATTGTAACAAGTACCACTGCTTTGAGTTAGACATATTTTCTCCGGAAAGGGTGAGGTTGTTGTGCATCTAGATTCGGTGATCCAATCAGCCTTTTAGGCCTCCCAGGTGACTTCAGGTCACAGCACGTGAAAGGCTTCTGCGATCCCGCAGATGGACCGGGTAGCCTATGCTGCGAATTGAAAGTTAGTTCAATGAGATCATACAGAAGGAAATCTAAAGAGAGCGCCATATTTACGAGACAATGAGATGTTGATATGAAGGAATAGTGGAGGAAGGAGGTTATTAGTGGTAATATCTAATCTCTTTGTTTTTTCGAATTAAAAGAGGTAAAGAATGCAGTGGAGGATTTCTGTTAGGCTGATGATCCAATCTCTGTCAACCATCGATTGAGGTTCCTCATTAGATTCGCCCCAAGATCCGGGTCAACCACACAGTCCTGCCAGCTGCACGTGATATCCATCTGCCCATCCTTTATTGTTGAAGCGGCGACGGATATCGCGGCAGAAGGAACTTCCGTGCTCAAAAATAGCTGGGTCCGATGTATAGTCCAATCATCTCCCTGCCTCTCATTCTCGGCTTTGCCAAGTCCCCCTTCTAGAACGCCCAGGTTGGTGACGAGCCAGGACAAGTATCTCGGTTTCCGGGCCTCGCTCTCCTGCTGGGGCCGCCAGTCTCCCGCAAACTTCATGATGCCAATCATATCGTTTACTATGCCAGAGTCCAGCCTGTCTTTGATTTCTTGCCGGACGCGAGCTGCAACAGACCAGACGGTGTGCAGGATGTCGGCAGACAGAGGCTCTTCTGCTGCGACGCGATCGGGAGAGAAGTCGGCTCGGATTTTTGCAACAAGGTCAGGGTGAAATTCGTGGTCCAGGATAGACACGTAGTTGCAAATAGTCTCCTTTGGCACTAGCCAAGGGTACTCTTTGGTGTGAGACGGTAGATAATGCCGTAGGTCATATGGTGTCCTGGCCGCGAAGCCCTTCATATCACCGAGTCCCGATGAAAGAGACAGCAGGACAAGGGCGTGAAGAAGGCCAGTGACGGTCGTTTGGTGACGACGACAAGAGGCTACCACCTTTACGACCGTGTCATTGTCGATGGAGAAGGACTGAAAGCGAGTTGTGAAGGGCTCCAGCTTCACTGGGGCCCACGTGGCATGGACACTCGTCGGCGGAAAAAAGGAGTATGGTTTCACTTCTTTCCACAGCTTCTTGAGCAAAAATGGAGTGGTCATGGGAAACGCTGTCAACACTTCGGGGGGAGGTGGCAGTCTGTCGGAAGACTCGGGAAGTTTGACGATCAAGCACTCGGGGTCGTCTTGAAGCTTGTATGTTAGGGGCTCGCTGATGTTTTCCTTGTTATTCAAATGCTGGAACAGCTGTTGGTGGAATATCTTGCCGCCCATGCCATCGTGATGCGGATGGTTCCAGACGTACAATACCTCAATGGACTCGGCTCCAGCGTCGTGCAAGATGATAACCCTCCAGCCGGGCTGTGTGGCAAGATTGTCGTACCTGGAGTCAAGCTGCAATTTCAACTCTTCCAGGTACTGCTTTTCTCGGGAAACGGCATCATCAAAGGTCTTCCAGTGAACGTGATTCCGGAGATCAAGTGCCTCGAGGCGGATAAAGGTTGGCTTAGCCGTATCCTCGCCCGCGATACCGACGTGCAAATGAGGTTGGGCCAGCGCAACGCGCGTGACAGCATCAGTGAACCTGGCCTTGAGGGCGTCCAGGGAGCCGGAGCCGGTGAGGTTGGAGGGCGGGCAATAGGATGCAGCCACGACAGTGCCGCGATACTGGTCAAGTGTATGCATGGCCAGCTGGTAGCTCTCGCTGCGGGATGGTTAGTCACTGGGGACGATGATCCAATGCCAGTACGAGGACGGAGCTTGCTTACTGGCAGCCCATGACGCGGATGCTCCTCGCGTCAACATCGGAGCCCTTCAACCACTGTGGTACGTAGTCCATCGTTAGGAAGAGTGATTAATTATAGGATTGAGGAGTGCGTAGGGCTCTTCTGCTTGTGGAAGTGGATCGACGCGATTTGGGTTGTTCGTTAATGACTGCGGCAGACTCGTTGTCAGCCTTGTCAGTCTGTTTTGAACCAAAATCATAACATACAAGGGTCAAATCCATGATCTCCACATAGAGGCAAGAACCCAGGGTACAGCCATTGGAATCAGCAGCAAGAAATCTTACTGTTGTCATGACGACCCCCGTCATCATCAAATGGCTCCAGTGGAAGGCTTATTCGATTTCCATGGTAGCAAGTCTAGCATTTGCGCCACTGGCTTACCTTTCTTGTCGTGAGTTCTACAATTAATTTCATCAAACGGATCATGTCTGAGTTCATACAGCGGAAGCAAGTAATCTAAGGCTAGAAGATGTGGACAAAATATTTACTTCGAATCAAGATCATATCCGGGTCGTTGGAGAAATGCAAAAACAGTACGCCATTGAGTCTATGAATATGGCACTCATAATATCCAGGAATCCAAGGAGGCTTATAAACTTTTAATTAGAGTATAATTCTATCTGACTCAATTTCAATGTTTTCTTTTTCATAATATTTAAGTAAGTAATCTTAAAACTTAAATAACTTAAGGAACATCCATCTACGTTATCCTAGCTTTACTTCTTTTCCACCAATATGATACTGATTATAGATGAATATATTAATAGAGTATTAGAGATAAAATTTAATAGCCTCTGCATTTACATATAGCATAGGGAAAACCTTGATAAACACGGAAAAAACCTATACAAGACCATTCTATCCTATACTTAACAGCTCCATAAGTAAAGGCCACCACACCACAGGAAAGGAATTCTAGGTTATGTTAATCAATGAGGCAACCCATAGGACCTATCAAGACTCAAACTTACTTACCCGCACTATGACCAGTAATGAAGCATTCTGGTTCTATCTGTTAGGATCCAAGCACAATACTGAACTGAGCACTCTCATTGATGGCAGCGTCGGCCTCCCAGTAAGGACCAACTTGGTGATAATTAACAGAGACTGAGTAAGTGCCAGCGGGCACCTTCTCGGTGAAGACGTAGTACTGAGTAGGCCCAGATCCATCGCCGGACCCTTCGAAATCTGATTGAGTGACTATAGTTCCCTCGATGTTCCAGGAAAAAGGGTAGTTTCTCGCGTAATACCAGGCAGCACCCCAGTAGTATTGAGCCTCTCGTTGGTTTACAACGGCGACGGTTGAGTCGGAACGTTGGTAGAAGCAGAATTGAACTTCAGTGTATGTCCACCTGCCGGTACCGTACCAGTCGTTCCACCCGCTGCAGCTAGAGCTGGCTTCCATCTTGGCATCGGCCAGTGACTCGAGTGCGGGGACATTAACAGGCCCAGCATCTGATTGCCCGTCAGCCGGGGTTTTGGCAATGTTGTCATCCGTGGGAATTGCCTTTGCGCAAGCCACCAACAGAAGAGTGGGAAACAACGAAGAAAGCTGCATGATGACCACTTTAGAGAAGCTGAAAGACGTAGGATGTAGAGGGTAAGGGCATAGACTAGTTTATGCTGCAACGACTAGAGCAGACTTTAGCAAAAACCGGCGGGCTATCAAACTTTATAATCCATGAACAGGAAGACCTCTGATAGAATCTCGTGGTGAACTATGAATCTCTGGGACGGAATGACAAGTAACCTCCCTTGAAATTACGAGATATCTTCCCCCTGAGGTTGAATGAGACACTCGCCTCTACACAAGCAACATACCATAGCCTTGGAATTTAACAAACTAAAAAAGAGGAATGGCACAAACCATTGACAACAATGATATGAAACGCGAATCACCCTTAATCATAGGTTACCTATCACAGTGAGAAACATCCGAATTTAATGTTTCCATCTCCCCCTGTTATGTTTTTGCCAAGTGAAGTTAGGTACTCTGTCTTTGGTGCCAACAATACCCGAGACTTGTCTAATGCTCCCATTGGGAACAAAATCGTAGTAGAACTGAAGTTGGAGCGTCGCCTTACATTCATCGCACAGCTATGGCTGCCCTCGCACCATGACATCACGGAATAAATTGATGTCTTATTTTTCATGTAGGTGTAGTTGAGTGTTAGCAGTTAGGGTCTGTCACAGATCACGCTGGGAACCAGGACTTTCCAAACCGCCTAGCATCCTCCTCGCAAATGACGATATAATCAAGAATTCCACCTCTCCAAGGGATCACGGAATTACTTGTTGCCCCTTCTAAAGGCGTGATTGTTGCCAGTATTCTTACACGGCCGACGTCCTTGAGTGGCCCAAAGTCACTGTCGTAGAATATTTAACACAGTTGTGTCGGTGGCTGGAACCGTTGGTTCGCGGGAACCAAGAGCTAGCTGATCTGCAACATGTTTCAGGGGGGATATGTGTCGTGGGAGCCAGTGTATCTCTGCACGACTAAAACACGGGGACGATGAGCCTCCGAACCGAGACCTGTCGCCGTCAACGGCGTCACCTCGGACACTCACGGAAACGTCTTCTCCAGAGCGCTCTGAAGTGCCATTAATACTACTTACATTGAATGTACCTATGGGGATGAGTCAGGATTATTGGCTACTGCAGCTGAGTGGATTGCGGATGTGGGCAAACGCCCGCTATAGCCCCGAACTGTCTCGGGTCTTCAAAGGTTTAATGATTACATCATATAGTACCACAGACACACTTTCGCGGATGAAGTGACTGGCATTGAATGGGCTCAAAATGACAAGTGAGCCCAGTCACACGCTGCTGTCACTCTTGCTGTATATCTACCGGAGGCTACATCAAGGCAACGTGTCCAACGTGCTTGCAATCTGATACACATGGTCAACAAGTACGATTCACCATAATGGAATGCTCCTACAATCAAGGTAGGCGATGTTGTCGCAGTTGATCGGGTGACGAGCGAATACATGAGTGCGGTGAAGATACTGAAACCGATCTCCCGCTATGACTAGTACTAGATTGATCATTACCTAGACATTCATTGCTTTTCAGCGACTACAATGAAACCCAACATTATTGAATCACAAATAATGAAAAGTTTGAGCCCCTGTCTGGTTGCCAGGCCGTATCATAACGCCACCTCTTGCTCGGACATCCTGATGGAAAACGTAGAACTACAAAGGTGTTCAACGTCCTTGATAACCGCGACAGTAGTGATATCAACGATACTTCTGGGCAGGACTTATTCCTGGGGGTTCGGTTTCCTCATAGATCGGAAAGTAAGATAAGTTCGAAGACTTTCCTCGTACGTAGGAGCATGATGACCTCAGTGGCACCCTAGAGCCGTGGCTCACGAAATTAGACCTTTAAATCAGTGCAATTACCAAGCACCCGGCCGGTTTTCAGTCCACCATGACTTGAATTCGATTAATCTGCCCCAAGTAACTATCAGAATTGCGTTCTTTTTGATCTTTGGACATAATGTAGAATAATTAGAACTAGATTCTAGTGTAGGGCAAAAACCGATCGAGACAAGAGATAAAGTGACTACATTCCAGATGTAGATCGGACGCGCGGCTCACATTTTATAATACAGTTCCTTTGTTTAAATCAAAACTCCATATTGACCACCCAACTTATGAAGAGAACGCCAAATTCGCTAGTAGGGCAGCCGATCGTTTCTAGGGCCAATAAGTGTGGTGCATGGAATCAAAAAACCAAGAGGCGATAGATGTAACATGTTAACTTCCTCGCCGCGTCCCACATCTGCCGAGGTTCATAGGGTAGCATATATGGATTACTATCTCATCTCGGCAAGAAGGACCCTATAAAATGCAAACTTCTCATCCTTCCAATCAATCAAGTCAATTTCCTATCTTAGAATAGGGGGTATCTAACGTAGATTGAAACAATTATTGCCTGGTAAAAACCTCACCCACATCACGATACCTAATGTGCCGGCACTAAAAACCTTTTGCCGGACCTAAGGACCATAAACACCTTACAACAGGAACGCAGGCACCATATAATTTAACCAGCCCACACAATCTATACAAAATCCACAGCTGAGCTAGGCCTAGATCAATAACAATAGCCATCACTGACTAAGGGGTTCTCTTAAGGTAAGGGTTACTCTGGCCTAGGTTCAAATCAGGGACCTCAGTTAATCGGGCTTACGCTCCAAGAATAGCTAAGTTTACCAGGCTTAGACTAATCTCTCTCAAGGCCTTCCGTAGTGCTGGACTAATGCACCACTGGGGCCTTCTCATCCTTCACCATACTATCTATACTAGTATTGACCGGGCATTCGCTACCTGTAAGATTTTATTCGCACATGCTCTCAATCCAAGGGGGGCTTATGTCGCCCTGTTTTCACACGATCAGGTGGTACCAGATTTTTAGCTTTCAGACCGCAGCTTCTTTCAGCAGACCATAGGCATCCTATATTAGCTTCTTTGCCGCATCCCACATCCAACGAGCCTTATGGGGTGATCGGTATCGATTACTCGGGTGACTACCGTCTCATCTCGGCAAGACGGGCCCCATAAATGCTGACCTCCCGTCCTTCATCAAACCATTTGCAGTGTGAACCGGGTGTTCGGTGTGGGCAATAGGTTGTCTCGACCGAAAGGGGTTTATGTCTCCTGGCTTTCACACAATCAGGTGGTGCCTGGCTCCTAACCTCCACGTCTGCCAGTCTGATTGGTTACCCCTGTTACTTAAAATATAATATGCCGGCAGTTCCCGTCCGAGTTCAAATTGGATGTGAGTGGTTCTGAGGGACAGACCCTTGCTATTACTTTGCACGTTCTCGTTAGACTAATCTGATTGGCTACCACCACATCCTGAAATGTTATACTAACAACCCACGTCAGAGTTTCTCACGACATGGAAATAGCCCTGGAAGCTATCCCTTGTTGTTATTCTGCACGTTTTCGCTGTAGCTGTCTAATTAGACAGGCGATTTCTGATCTATTTTGGGATTGCGAGCCGCGCGCCATCAAAAACGATACTAGCCTTGTAGAAGGAAGAGAATTAGCAATATATAAAAAGCTGCCGAGCCGCCATGACCAAAGTACCAAAACATGAACAACAGTCTACAACATTTACAAAGCAAGCAACATCTTTTTCAGTCCCTATTTATCAACCAATCTCACTAAGCATATATTTCTTCATCATAATGCGCTTCGACATTGCCATCATCAGCGCCCTCGCGGCCACCGTCCAACTCGCAACCGCCTCACCTCAACCCGCATGGAACGGCAAGGGCGCAGAAGCAGGGTAAGTATATTAACCCACATTCTCAGAGTTCTAACACTAAACATCCATAGTTACAAGTTCGGCGCCGTGGCTTGTTCAGCAGGAGCTCTGGTTTGCAACTCCCAGGGTATGACAGTCGGAGCTTATACCCTTGGAAGTGCTGCGTTCTGCTGCAGTACCGCTGCAGCTTCGGTCACTGCTTCCCAGTCTGAAGGGTGGAAGAAGGCATGGAATGCCGCAGCTAACAAGCTCGGAAATGCCGCAAAGATGACCAAAGGCGGCGTTGCGAAAGTTGGAACGTTTGCTGCGGAGTGCACCAGCAAAGTATGTCGCATGGTCGCTGGCGCAAAGAAGCCCATTCTTCCCAAGAGGTCGCTAGAGATACTTCGAAGGAGAAAAAATGCGAAGAGGGCGATTGAGGCAGTCCGTAGGAGGAGGAATGCCAGAACGTCGCTCGAGTAATCCGAAGGGAGACGACTTGTATGGAGGTTGATCGATGGGTCCTAAAAGACCTGCATTCCCTCAAACCCATAAATCAACCAAGCACCCCCCTAGAACTGGAAATCTTCCCTAAGATAGAACTTTGTTTGTTTCTCCTCGGAGCTAGAGAGAAAGACCGTTACTGTTGAACCCGTTAATTGAAGAGATATTGAATTATCTGCCTATCTGCCCTCTTTCCAGACCTTCCCAGGGCCTATTTATCTAAGGCTCTATATATTATCCCTATTTTTAACTAGTGTATTTATATAACTAGTTATGTGACCCTTCTTTCTCGAGAAAAGAAGCGCTTTTAAGGCTTTCAGTCTGCGTTGCTCTTAATTACACAGTGCCTAGGTTCGACAAATAGTATCTGAAATAGTAGTATAGCACTATTTAAGATCTCAGTAGTGTCTATGATATTTGTGTGCCGGACGCAGCAGTCTTCCAGGAGTAAGCCATTGAAATTCTAATATCGCCCAATTTGATGATTCTCCGCCAGGCAAGAGGCAGAATCCTCACCTCCTTTCCAAGGATAGTTAGGACCCTTAGAAGGTTAATAATATATTTCCATATTCTCACGAATCCTGACTTTAGTTAATGAACACATTGAAAGTTATACGGGCAGGTAAGCTTGGACTTCAATTAAGAAGTGTAATCCTGGAAGTGGAAATTGTCCTCCTGCCAAGCCGGTCCAAATCGGTCGACTGTGCTTCAATAATTGTTTTGTGACGGACAGGACCTCATTAGTGATGGAATTTCCATCTTTAGGGTTCTCAAATGTTCTCATCTGCAAAGAGTGATAATCGATTAGTCCCGAGCCAGGCCGAAATATATATTTCAACAGGCAAATGTAGTCTCTCTCCATAAGTTGAGCTTACCGAAAAGACATAACTCCAGCAATCTTCTCCTAGTCCAGCTGCTTGAAGAGCGAGTGTTACATGGTGAAATGCAAGCTCGATTTCTTCCTTCAAATCCGCCGGCACAGTCCCATCTTCCTTGATTCCAATCTGACCTCCAACGAAGAGAGTACGTGCACCAGCAGGTACGGCGACAGCGTGGGATATGCCATAATGGCCAGCTGCAGCTTCTCCTCCCTGCCAGTTATAAAACTGGAATCCGTTTTGAACCAGATTGTCCATTACTCCTAAAGATGCAAAATATTTTGCACAGGGCTGTCGCGACGTCTAGCCTGTTAATTTTAACGGTAATAGTTGAGATCTACAAAGAACTACGCTTTTTAACAAATTTGGGAAAACTAATAAATATATTTCTATTATGATTTGAGTTCTCTATATTCAAGGTGTATGTAACAATGGATGCTTTGTAACGGATGCTTTGTAATGGATGATTATATAATAGAAAGCCAACGGAAAATGTTACAGCAAAGAAGCATTAATCCGGATTTTACTAAGCTTGATGATAGCACGAGGATTAATTGATTTTAGTCTGGGTGATCCAGGATTAATTCACTCCGAGACGAGAGGTTTAGCACCCCGGTTTATTAGCTTGTATTCTCCGAGGAGTGAATCAATTCCACAATGCTGTTCCGAAGTTATAACAGCTGACCCCAGCATATTAAAGCTGAATATGTTATGTAGTTCCAAGGGCTAGATAGTTTGTAGTTTTGGGTGCTCCCTCACCATTAGCCAAATCTCCACTAGCTAATCTGAGGTTGACAGCGCTTTGTGTAATAATATAAACCAAAATTTATGGTACTTGGAGAAGGTCTATAGATTTGTAGTAATAATTGCAAAGATATCTAATTTTAATATTAAGGATATAGGTCAAGCACGTTAAAGACATTCGAGTTAGCACTTGATATTTAAAATGACTTGGTTTGTGACTATTGTAGTGTTTTGTTTAATTGAGATTTCCTGCTGCTTTAACTACCTATCTAACATCGCTTTGACGCAAAGCATTTAGACTTTTAAAGAGCTCTTGCTATTTCCCTTCACAGTGTCGCTACAATAGCATTTCGTTCCTTCTTTTCTGCAATTACTCCCTCGCGCCAATACCAGAACCCGAGAATAGTTGCACCTGGGCCAAAACTGACCAGTAAGACTGCAAGACATATTAGTAATTTTGGCCAATTGACTGATTCCATGCCTGCTGTCTTCAGGTCGCGAAATAAGAGTAGCATCCAGATAATCCCACTTGCAAAAAATAGAGAATAGTCATAGTTGCAAACTTTGACGACGCCGTTGGTAAGGTCAGACAACTCTGGTACATATTGCACATATGCCTGTAAACTGTCGACCAAGCTCGCAGGCCGAGAAATAATATGCAGGAGACGGGCCGCGGCTGAAATACAGCCAATAGTACATGTTGCAAATCGTGTATAGGGCAAATCTACTTTGGGGTTTGAAAGCCGGACTTGCTGGGTCTCGTCCTTTACACAAAGCGCGAAGCCTTCGAGTAGGATGGCCGTCCAGAGTGGAAATAATTGCCACAGTTCCGTGAAAAGTATCCGTTGGTTCAAGTTGGGCCAATTAAATATGATAAATGTTGGCAAAATGTAACCGCAAATCACAGCGTACGGGATCGATTTTGCATAGTTCATCCGGACCAACCGCAGATCAGAGGCTGCATAACTCTCAATGGGGGAGTGGATGTAATGAAGGAAGAAGTATATTGGTCCTACCACGCTAATCCCATGGAATTGGAAAAGTAGTGCAAAGACAAGTGGTCTGATGACGCCCTTTGATCAGACTATTGCAGCTGGAGAATAAAGAAGTATGCACTTACAGTTGCAAGAAAGTAAGAACGTTTGAGCGTCGGTAAGCTTCGAAGAGCCATATCATATAAATTGGCGCCGTTTCTATCAGAAACCCGAGTAATCTTGCTCGCAGTGCCGGGTCAACGTCTAAGATGGCCGGCAGAAACATATCACGAAGTGGTAAGGTTTTGTTTCCCAGGATAGCAATGTGATAGACGGACTGTGTCAAGTCAAGGGTTACACCATTGAGCTGTGCCACCATCCGGGGCACCACTGATTTATTAACCACAATATCAATCGATGCTTCAAGTACTGGTGCCATAGTCAACCAGGCAAGAATACTCAGGATCAACAAGGGTAAAGCAATCAGTGCTCTCCGTGTCTTAGATTCGGAATGGCCGACACCCTGTGCTTGATTGTAAGGCATTGTTGCCTCCAAAGATCTCGGGGGAACAGGGAGGTAGTCCAGCTTTTCAGCTCCAATCATATTGCCGCAGGCGAGATTGGCGAAAAAGTCGCCTGCTGAAGGCACGATATATCGGCTGAGTATCCAATCTAGTCTGTTCCTCAAGGCTTGCGTACGGGTTGTTCCGTTGGCAAGAGTGAGGATCACTTTAGATCGGAGAGCACGTCGAGACTCATACTCTGACAGCGCCTGCTGAATATCATCCGAGGATGGTCTAGTACCGGGCTCTGTCGAATCGATCATCTTTTTCAAGCTGTTCGCAAGAGCGGCTACGCTCTCAATTGCGTTATTGCCGCCCTGGCCTAAGTTAGGTGTCATTTTGTGAACAGAGTCCCCAACACAAACAAAGCGACCAGAGGTCCAGTGATCAAAATAACCTTCTTCTAGGGCGAGTAGTGTTGCTGAGATCCTGTGGTCCCAAAGATCGCCAAGTGTGACGTCTCCCGTCACTTTTCGATGCCTATTCGCAGCAACATACTCTTCGGTGTCGGCCTGCGAGAATCGTGGGATATCCTGTGCTTGGTATTCTTTGTCCATCTTCTGAAAATTAAACCAGTATGTCTTTTGCTCCTTGCCTCCAGCTGTGAGAAAAGAGTTGTCGATTCCGTACGTAATATGATAGTCTTTGGGGTCAAGCGATTTGAGTCCCTTTGAGATGCCAAAAAGGCACTTGTATTCAGATTTTATTGCTATAGGAGAATTAATTTGAGCATCAAGTATTGCAGACAGAAGTTGGATAGCTTACAAAGCTTTTCTGCGTTGTTGAATCTTCCAGGATCGTGTTCGTCCGCGTACCGCCACATTTCATTGCGTACTTTACTACGGACACCGTCTGCGCCGACGATGATATCCCCATTAAAGGAGGAGCCATCTTCACAGGTGGCTATGATACCAGCTGCTACCTGCTCCACCGTCAAAAGCTTCTTGCCTAGAATGATTTTCGATTTGTCCTTGATCTTGTCGTACAAGCCGGCGAGGATCTTCTGCCGATCGAGAAAGCTAATGGGGTAGCCCAGTCTATCAGGGAATACAGTTAGGTCGTAGACAACACTGACGACAGTTCTCATCCGAACGTACCTCTTATGCATCAAGGGGGCAGCGTCGTGTTTTGAAAAGCTTATCCCATCAGAGTTTCTGTCGTGCATCCACTCCAGCAGTACCATGTCTTTTTGCATTTGCTCATACACACCAAGCTGGTCAAGGATGCGATTGCCATTGCCGGCCGTGGCCAACGAAGCACCGACTTGGGGCGCAATGTCACTGGATCTCTCAAGAACCACGTAGTCGATGTTGGCATGTTGTAGTGCATTCGCAAGTGTCAGCCCAGCAAGGCCGCCGCCGACTATGACTACTCTTAACTTGGCTGCACATGCCTGCTTTGGTTCCATGGTGATAATGACTGCTGAAGCGCCCGTACTAATCAGATGAGAGGATACAGATTCATGGCAGTGTAGGATGGCAAGGAAGACGCTCTGTGTACTTAACGGTTCGGTTTCAACCGAGACTGACAATACGGGGTCGACTAGAGGAAACAGAGTGACCAATCAGTGGTATCCCCGAAGCCGAAGGGGGTGGAGATTCGTCGTGTAATCATGCAATTATCCATCGTCCTACGTCCCTCGCGACCAATCGCACGATTGCCCGATCCGAAGGAGATCAGAATCACCTAGAAGCTGACTTTTAAGGGAGACCATATGCTGCTTACGGCAGCACTGAGCTTGTTTTATAAATGAGAGAAGAAGAAATCCAAGAAATCCAAAACTCCTCCACCCCAGCCATGGCCAAAATGGAACTAGTCCGTCTCGAAAGCACGAAGTACGTGCCCAACTCGACTTTCCCTGTCATAATCTACCGGAATGTTCTTCCAGTCCCGGACGATCAGGATGCGGTAAAAGCACTTTTGAATGGTAATGGATTTCGGGTCGACGGTTTCTTCGGGCCTTACGGCCTCAGACATTATCACTCCAACACTCATGAAACATACGCCTTTACCGCCGGTCAAAGCACCATTATACTCGGTCGCAGTGAGAGCCCGGATGACGAGAATGGAACTGAGATACAGGTTTCCAAGGGCGATGTGTTGATAATCCCAGTTTGTTTCTCCCAGCTTCATGGTCCAACTCCGGGGCTGACATATACTAGGCTGGTACAGCACACTGTAATAAGACATCAAGCGATGATTTCCTATATGCGGCCAGTTATCCAAAGGTGAGTTAGAGTCATGACCAGGCGCTCAGTCTTGTTATTGTAATTAACATCTAGGTAGGACAGTCCGCACTGGGATGTTCGAAAAGGGACCGAGGACGATAAAACCAAGGAAGTGCTAAAGAACAATGCTTCTCAAATCCCCCCTCCGGGGTCCGACCCTATCTTTGGCAGAGGCGGGCCTATGGTAGCACTTTGGGAGAAGAAATGATGAGATTGTGTTGCAAATCTCAGTTGAGAACAAGTATGGAAGAGGAATTAAGTACGTAAAGGGTCACATGTAGTCGTTTACATTTAGAAGAAGAAAAAAGCAAACAGGTATAGGTCATGAAGCAGACCGCAATCGTATTCGACTTGCATTCATTGTGTTGAGATGTCCGGTCTGGCATGTTTCGCTGCCGTTTCTAACTTCATACTCGAGCTCTCTCATCCGTATCCGAATTGCTGTACGATTCGAGATAAAATACAGTAAAAAGGGTAGAGTCGTAGTGGTCATGTATGATTATAGAAGATTACCGCCCACCAGTGCCGCCATCAATGGGGCAGTTACCAATGCCACTATTCCCATTGCAAGTGTTTCCACTTTCCAACCTGCTAGCTCTTTAACCAAGCCTGCAATGACTGGACCGAGTATATTTCCGCAGGAATAGAACATATTCAACAGGGCAAAGCCCCGAGAATAAGGTCCCACCGACCCGTATCTGTCTGGGTCGCGCTCCTCTTCAATTGTAAGTGACTTTGCTACATCGGCCATCAGTGGGGGCAGCATAAGAGGAATGCTACACCCAATGCCTGTAAGCAAGGCGCAAAGAAGAACCTTGTGCCCAAGAGTATTCTCGGTAACGGCACGGAGAGGTATAACAAAAGCCGCAAAGGTGATGAATCCAGCAGTAACAACCCACTTGGATCCATACCTGTCTACGGTTTTGCCTATTAGCGGCCCCAGAGCAGAAGGCAACACCAAAGGCAGAAATACAAGCCCAGCATTTGTAGACTTCCACTCGAATGATTCGGAGACAAACAGTGGAAGTACTGCATCAAACGCAGAGAAGAGGAGTCCACCAATGAGGTTCCCAGCCAAAGCAACCAAAATATGCTTTGAGGTCAGCATGTATAGCATGCCGTACATACCAGAACGTTCTCTCCTTGTTGGTACTGGTGGAGACCTTGCTAGGGACTCCTGTATAGCTTGATTCGGGCGATGACAGTCGCTAATATCTATCGTGGTCGGCGTTGTCATGCCGCATGGCTTACTGGTAGCGTGGTCGGAATCCAGATTGGGGTTGTTGTCCGAAACCATGCGCTGCGGAGTGTCGCGGCGTTCGATGAGCAAAAGTCGAAAGACAATATCAACGCCGATCAAAGCGAACGGGATAAAGTAAGCTGCTATATATCCAGCGTGCTCATAAACGACACCACCTAATAGAGGCGAGAGTAGGTTGGCAGCACTCATGCCCAGCCCGATATACCCAAATGCGTGCCCTATTCGTTTTGATCCCACTGTGTCGTTGAGTAAAGCGAGCCCTACAGCCCAAACGTCTGCCGCAGACGCTCCTTGGAGAATACGGCCGATAACGAGTAAAGTGACGGAATTCCCCACGCAAAGCATGACGGTGCCCCCAGCAAGTGCCACTAATCCAACGAGGAGCGGCGTTCGTCGGGAAGACAGGCGGTCTGCCATATAGGCAAATATTGCTATATCAATAGTCACTGTCAGAGATATTTATCAGAGGCAGCGGGATTTGGGTAGTGCACACGTGAGAAAACTACCAGTGCAGTAGCATAACAGGCAAGCAAGATATAAATCCAGCGCTGAACTAGGGAACTCGTCAGTATAATATCATGTATCACGGGAGCAGAAGACTTACCATCATCCCCCGCCACTCCAGATCTAGTCGTCAAAGCATAAGGCAAGATTGGTACGATTACACCGTAGAGGAACATATCAGTAAACACAGCAGCAGTGACTGTGGCAAGCGCGAAAGTATCCGAGCTTCTCCATTTCACGTGCATCGGTTGCCTGGTAGAGTCTCCCGAGCGCGTACGGGGCAGCAAGTCTTTCCACCCGATCATATTTGACACGGAAAAACCATAAGACAACGGCGATCGAGAGACTCTTTGTTTGTGTGGGAGGTGGCGGGAATTTACTTCTCTTCAGTCGTTTGAATTCTAATTTGATGTCGCTCTCTCTGCAATTTTGTGTGAAATGATTCTCAGTAGAGTGGCGAGCTTTCTTCTTGGTATCCAGCCTTATTGAGAACCAGATCGCATCACTCCGGGTAGAATGTTGGGCGGCTAGAAAGTTCTTCTGTCGGCATAAGTTTAGTCATATACTACGTGTCACTCCGGTGGTTCCATCCTGCCTGCAATATGCAAAAGCGGTGATGATTAATAATTGATATCCAAGCCCATCTGTATTGGGGTCGTTCGTTTTCGTGGAACAAGATGAACTCGATGCCAGCGCGAACACGGAATAATGCATTTAGATCCGGCGACATCCCGATTACTCCCGGATTTGGGGATGATGAGCCTTACTCGTTGTGGACAGTTTAGTACTCACGGATTAATGCACGATTGGCCAATCTTTCACCTAAACATGCCCCATCCTGATCCAGTGCCTGAGGAGAAGACGAGTGAAGTATGGGAGGACGACATATAACAGTTCTCAAGATTGCCTGTTGTTAGTATTTATCTGGTTCCGATTGTTGGCCTGGCTCTTTGCTAGAATATTTCCTGTACTTGGCCTGGTATAAACCAATGAAACAAACAATGTCTACCTCCAACCTTTTGAATGGCACCAACGGAGGCTGTGCTTCCGGCAAAACAACCAAGGTCGTTGTCGTTGGAGCAGGTTTTGCCGGTATGACCGCTGTCATTGAATGCCAGAGACGAGGCATGCAGGCGATTCTCGTCGAGAAGTACACCAACTCCGCCGAATATGGCGATATCATCGACTTTTTCGCCAATGCAGGGCGCATCGTCGACGCCTGGGACGATGGCAAAGTCGCCGATAAATTGCTCGACATCTGCATCACCAAAGCGAAGTGGATGCAGATGTTGAAGCACACCGGGGAGGCTGTGCATCGTGACCCCTGGTATCTTAAGGAGGAGCACTTCAGATATCAGTACGCTGGTCAGAGAGGTGCCATGTGGAAGATTTTCCGCGACTACGCCGAGGAAATTGGCGTTGAGATGCACTTTGGCGTTGGGGTCGTCGATTATTTTGAAAACGGGGATGAGACTGGGGTGGTGCTCGCTGATGGCACCAGGATCACGGCGGATTGTGTTCTGGCTGGGGATGGCCCAAAATCCCTGGCCAGGCAGAAAGTCCTTAAAATCGAAGACAAGAAAACGAACAGCGGCTATGCCATCTTTAGGTCTTATTTCGAAGCCACCAAGGAATTCAGAGAACATCCCCTCCTGCAAGAATATCTCAACCCAGACGAGGACACCATCAAGCTTTGGATTGGTCCGAACTCTCATATGCTTGCCTACTCCTGGGAAGGGGGCTCAAAAGTCGTATGGGTATTCTTTCATCCAGTAAGATTCCGAGTTTGACCCGATTTCCTGACATAACCTAGTGGTTATTGCTCCCTCAGTCATGGCTAACAAATACCTGTTGATAGGATAAGGACGATATTGGCGAGTCGTGGTCTGAATCAGCCGATAAGTCGTCCGTGTTGAAGTTCATCGACAGCATTGGGTACAATGATGAATGTAGAGCCATCGTGGAGCTTACGCCTCCAGGAAAAGTCATTGATTTCAAGCTCGTCTGGCGCGATCCGCTCGAGACGTGGCTTAGTCCAGGCTCACGGATCGCTCTAATTGGTGATGCAGCGCATTGTCACTTGCCTACCTCAGGTCAGGGGGGCTCCCAAGCCATGGAAGACGCAGCAACAGCTGCTGTTTGTCTGGAAAAGGCCAGGGGTGATGTTCCGTTGGCGTTGAAGGTCATGGAAAGAATCCGTTTCAATCGGTCACATATCACGCACCAAGCAGGGATGCAGATACGTGACATTTGGCACGAGAACCCCTGGGAGCATGTTGAAGACGACCCGGAAAAGATTGCGCTAGCCAGAGGAGACTGGATACTGGATTTTGATGCCGTCAAGAACGCAGAAGAGCATTTCGAACAATTGGCAGAAGATGTACGTAGTGGAAAGAAGGGAACATTACAGGAGCTTTCTCTGCCAGCTGGCGGCGTTTACGACGATATTCGCAACAAGTAAGAATAATGCTTTCAGCTGAAGATGATAAAAAGCACTTCGTTGAACAGAGATACATTTTTCCATAGAATGAATTCTAGCTCACTTTGGCATTTGTTTTTTTGATGAAATCGCAATTATTGAAGAGTGGTAGCACCTCGCCCTAGCGGTAGAATGGAATTCGCCTGACTGTTATTGTCTACCAATTCCGGCTTTTTAGAAACCGACTTAAACATAAACCGTAATTCAGAAAGAGTTGTCATAACTATTATCAGAGCTGTCCTTGCACATAAAGGGCTTGAGGGACACATCATGTCACATTGGTTTGTCTAAGAAAGGCATGAGCTGCAAATTGTACTGTAATCAACACAAAAGTACATGTTTAGATTCAAAGACATAAGCGGTGTTCTTTTATGACACACTGCATTGACTAAGAGATGGCTTCAATAGCTCGGGATCGACCGTCGTTGTACAAAACATAAGCCTGGGACTGAGATATTGCAATTGGATGCTACTCATGTATATGGTGATAAAGAACTTGGGTGTGCAACCTACAGAGAAATATCGGGAGGATTCGCATTTGAAATCTAATGAATACTATTATTAAACCTGAAGCTCAAAGGCTTGCTACATATGGCAAAATGATTTCCTTGACAAATTCCTCCAGTGTATGAAATTTCACGCCAAGTGAAGTTGTCCACTCGTCAGGCAGAGATACATCCGTGAGTACACCATATTCATTCTCATATCCATAGAGTTCGTCCAGATCTTTGATTCCTGTGGTTTTGGGAGTTTTCAACCGCACCTCCAAACCTGTCTGCTTTTCAATCTCCTCAATGACGTTACCTATAGTATCGTGCCTGGCGACCGAGTATACTGGATGATTGAGAACTTCTGGCCTCTGGCGATACTGAGACACAATCGCTTCAACAGTAGGTCCGAGGTCTTTCTCAACCCAGCTGAATCCTTGCGGGGCGTCACGGTCCAACAAAGCTTGCTCCAGCACAAGTGATCCGTCATCAACTTTAGTGATGGCCTTCCAGTTCACAAAGTTATCGTAATACCATCCCACATAAACCACAACGTGAGGAACCTTCTTGTATGCCAAGTAGCGGGTCACAACTGACTTGTTTTCAACGAGGGGATTACTGGCATATTTGGCACCAGTTCGTACGAGCGCGCTCGGGATAGCGGACCAGATGAACAGCTCAACACCGACTTCTTGGGCGAGGTCAGCCATAGCGCAGCCCTGGCGGGCTTCTTCGAGGCTGTTGTCCACCAAGTCATAGAAGTTTGTGATAACAAAGACGGCCTCCGCGCCTGTAAAAGCCCCCTTTAACGTTGCAGGGGTGGACATGTCTCCCTGGAAGAGGGTGACGTGTGGCAGTTCAGCAAGCTTCTTGGCGGAAAGGCCATCGGGATTGCGCGTCACGGCGCGCAAGGAGTAACCACCTTGTCTCGACAGATGTCGAACCACCTATGATTACAATCAGTTAGAGTGATCTTAGTTCGAAGGAAGAGTTTAGCTTACAGCACCACCCTGAACCCCGGTTGCGCCTAGAACAGTGACGATACGATCTGTGCCCATGATGGTTACTGGGAGAAGATGAAGGCGTTGGAGAAATCTTGTTTGTCTCCTTGAATAGGATAGGAGCAGGACTTTTCTTATCCAACCGCAATCTTTGGGGTCAAGATTCAGGCGATGACTAAAGGACGGATTATTGGGGTTTGCTTGTCAATTTTTTCTGCTATCCTACCTCTCTCAAAGATCTTGTTTACAAAGAAGATTTCCCAGGGGCAATTAGTAATTTAGACTAAAGTACTAGGAAATACGGCGGGCTATGATAGCCTTCATGGATTGGGTGGATGAGCAATTATCCGAGACACCACTGAGCTGATTTGTCCGTTGGTAGATGTTGAAGTTCTCCAATTAATAACTCGGATTATCTTTCATTTCAAGGGTTCTAGCTAGGGCAGCAGGCATGCGCAAATTGCAGGACACGACCCAATCTCTTCCGATTCGGATCTAGGGTCAGTTGATGCATTGATTGCATCGGATTAATTCGAATTAAGCACTTGCACAGCCCAACGCGGATATCGGTAGAGAATATTGACAGTAGCGAATGCCTTCAAAATGGTTTGTGTCAACGAAGCCCGTGTCAATTGCTTCGCCCTCTCTTTGCACAAAACCATAATGGATGCATCGATCATCAATTCATATCCATCAATTCACATCAACAAAATTCTACATCATGGCAATTATCACTTCTACAGCGCATATTACTGATTATCTCGTGGGAAAATGGTACTTGGTAATCACCGTTTACATCTGTCTCTATCTTCTCAAGAACCGCTATGGAAGAGGTCTTCATAAGATTCCAGGCCCGTTTCTGCAGTCATTTTCAATGATTCCACGGGCTTGGCAGGTCTGGCAGGGGAACATCCATCAACGCGACCTGAAATTCCATCAGAAATATGGAAAGCTCGTCCGCATTGGCCCAAAACTATTATCCCTTGCAGATGTCAACGAGATGAACACAGTGTACGGTATTACGACGAAATTCTACAAGGTCAGTACATTCAGAGACACATATAACATGAGTTGCTCATACAGAATCATAGTCTTCCTTCTATGACCCTTCCACGCCATATGACGAAGAGGGAATCGTGCCAGATCCTTTTATTCTCAAAGACAAAGCAATTCATTCACGTATGAAGCGCAATGCCGCGAACGCATACTCGCTGAGCTCAGTGTTACAGTTAGAGGCGTACGTGGACGAAGTTGAGGACAAGCTGCTGGCAATCCTCGACCGCGAAGCAGAGAATCCTGAAAATGTCATTCCATTTGACCACTACTTGCATGCATTTGCAATGGATGCTATCTTCATGATTAGCTTCGGCAAGAGCTTGAATATCCTCGAAAATGGAGACGAACATAAGGTCATGGCATGCTTCGACACGATTATGCCCTATATGGCAACAGTAACTATAAAGTCTCCGCCATGTGATACCTTAATTTTGCTAACTCAACTTGTAGATTGGCCAAATGCCGTGGTTACATAAATTCCTTGTTGGAAACCCTCTCATGGCCAAGCTTATCTTGGGAGATATGACTTTCGAAACAGGCTTGATGAAAATTGCCACATCCCAAGTCGAGGAATTCAAGAAGAACCTGGGCCGATCCGAAGAGGGGCCGTTTACGTTCACGGAACGCCTGCTAATGAACCAGGCTTCGAAGCCAGATTCTATAACGGGGCGAGAGCTGATCACGCATGCACTGGGGAATATAACAGCGGGTGGGGACACGACGTCAATCACTCTTCGCTCCATTTTCTATTTCTCGCTTCAGAATAAAGAGTCATACCACCGACTATGTCACGAAGTGCGCAGCAACTGTACTCTACCGGTGACTTTCTCATCAGCTCAGAAACTCCCTTACCTAAACGCTGTCATCAAAGAGGCGCTGAGACTCCACCCACCAATGCCAATCATGTTGGGGCGCACCGTGCCCGAGGGTGGTGCTAATATCTGTGGCCATTATATCAGGGAGGGTACTGAGGTCGGCATACCATCATACGTTCTACACAGAGACCCGGCCATCTTCCCTGATCCCGATTCTTGGAAACCCGAAAGGTGGTTAAAGGCTGAGACTGACAAAGACAGTCTTGCAGACATGGACCGCGCATTTTTCGCGTTTGGAGGGGGCGCCCACACCTGCAGCGGTAAGCATATCAGCATGATGGAGATTATCAAGTTGGTGCCTTTGCTACTCCTTAAATATGACTTCGAACTCGCTTTCCCTCAGCGTCCCTGGACTTTTCGAGTTTCTATGTTAGCACCGCAGAAGGGGGTTCATGTAACAATCAAGAAGAGAGCATAGAGATACGGGTATCTTCAATAAATGGTACAATGCAGTCAGCGAAAGAAAAAACCATTGACGAAAGGCAGTGCATGCACGCGTGGTAGAGATTACGATTAAGTCATGGACAATACATGGCATGAGATAGTCGTTTCGAGCATGTCTTTTACAAGTGGACTTTCTACTCAAATTCAGCTACTTGCTCAAACGCTTATCTGCTACACTTTCTTGATCCCGCTGATGCCTTTATCAAGTTGACAGAGTGGTCGTATGGATTATGGTTTTTGATCGTTCAAGTTTAGGGTAGCCACCAAGAGTTTGGAGTTTGCCCCCACTTGCCTAGCAGCTGACATAAGCTCAGAGCAACGGAACCATTTCCGAATATTGCGACGCGATAAGACATTTCCCCAGAAGTAAGGCCTTAGGACCAATCACAGCTCAACAATTGAAGGCCCCATCAGATAACGCAGATTACACTTTCTTGAACGGGGTCATTCCCCGCAGATTGCGATAACCGCTAAACCATGTCTGGTTTCCTCACCCCGCACTCTTCAAATTAAAAGGGAAGCTGGCTGCAGGGCTATCCACATCCTAACCTCGCCTTTTGCATTGATTCATCTTGTAGTCAATCATTGGATTTTCCGCTTGCCCTGTCTCGTGGGATAATCCGCTAAGATAACATTTGCCATCCGATTTTGCTGATACCGATGGAAGGCTTAGAAAGTATCACGCAATTCTCCTACGAAACACCCAACGCGTCTGGCTCTTGCTGGACATGCGTGGCAGCCAAGACCCAATGTAGTTTCGAGCTCCCAGGTGCAGTCGCTCTTGCCCGTAACTTTCAATCACCGCTGGGACTTACGAATTAGAGTGTCAACAATGCATCCTCTCGGGCAGGATCTGTGCGGGATATACCAGCCGGTTGCAGTGGCCGAAGATCAATGGTGCCACACGCAGGCGGGCTACTGCCGGTTTTCAAAGGCAAAATGGCGAGACCATAGCTGGGAGAAAACCCGTTAGACAGGCACGTTATGAGCAGTGTTCGTTACCCCGTCTCATTTGATAGGCACATAAGCTTATAAGCTTAGCATGGGCCATTGCCTCTTCCTTGTCTCCTTATGGGGTTTCCAGCCGCGAGAGCCATCTTTTACAACATTACGCAAGCGAGTATTCCCAAGTATCAGTCTTAACCCAACACGCTAGCTAATGATTTGAACGTAGAAAATATGGCCAAAATCGCTCTTGCTATCGACTATGACGGCAATGTTTACCGCTCATTCTTGCCCATGGCCATGTCACATACACCTCTCTTGAACGCAATCCTTGCCTTTTCATCGGCACACCTTAGCAGATGGCAAAACACAACAGATAATTCTTCGAACCGATACGCAGTGCAGGCACTTGTGGAGCTCGAGAAGAGTTTGCGTGATCCCATTCTGGCCTCATCCGAAGCGACTTTGGCTACGATGCTCTGTCTGATTTGCCTCGAGGTATGTTTAGCCTCAATCTCATTGACCTAGTATTGCATTAACTAAGGACTCCCTCAAGGCTGGAAGAGGGTCTACAAAATGGAGACATCACTATCGAGGCCTGGAAGAATGGCTTCGGTGGAAAGGGGATGCTGTAAAGCTGGAACCGTTTCTCAAATCTTGGATCCTCTTGGCAGCATATCAAGCAGCAACGATTTTTGGTGAAGAGCCCAACCCAGCCATTTGCCAGTGGTTCGAAGCAGATGACCTATCGGGCACCCCGCGAGACCAAGTCATTGATCCTTTCTTGGGCTACTCGGTGAAATTACCTCGCCTACTGGTACGTCTTCCCACCTCTCATTTCACTTCCTTAACTGACCTGAAATTTGCTTAGCTGCGTGCTGCGTCATTGTACAGAGCTCGTTGCAGTCCGTCCATATCTGAAGATGCAATCTGCCATTCGGTTTCACAACTCCAACAGGAAATTGAGGCGTGCAAAATTGACTGCACGAAGCCGATCCAGCTAGCAAGCGCTTTCCAATCGACCAATGTTTCTACGGCCGCAAACACTTCTCTTTGTCAGAGCGATCTGTGGAAACGCGCTGCAGCCACGGCTGAGATATTTAGACACGCGGCCCACATCTATGTGTATCGAGTGAATGCGCGCCAGGGAGAGTCGCTGCCCATCGATATCCAGCATTCAGTCGACGAGATTTTGAACCTGTTGAACCTCATCCCTGATACTCGAGGTCCCGGGTCTAATCTGGCGTGGCCGCTTTTCACGGTGGGACTCGAAGTTGACTCTCCCGAGCTGCGAGGTATAGTGTTGGATTGGTGGCAAATCCTGCATCTGCTCGGCATGGAATCAACTCGGAGGACGGAGCGTGTCTTGGTCGAGACTTGGAGGTATCGTGATGAAGCCAAAGAGGGTAAAGGGGTTGCTGCGAACTGGCAAGAAGTGATGCGAGGTCAGGAGCAGATGGTTGCCTGAACCTCACCGAACGCCATGAGTTCGCCATCACGAGACGGCTGTTTCTTTTTCTCAATAACAGAAAAAAAACACTCGTTGAATGCCTGCGATTTTGCAAGAATAGGCCAGTGATTATATGCCTTATTTCACCGAAGTATATAAATTGGATTTCCAGTTTGTAATCAAGTTTGAAATTAATGGTTAAGCAAGTTGCATTGTCTACGAAATAGGGCGGATGAGTTAGCAAAGCCGGATAAACCAGGTTTTCAAGAATACTTCTTTATTTCCATCTACCTCGCGTTTTACTTTTGAGTGGATTACCAAATAGGTGGTTAACAACTCAGAGATAAGACTGGGTCTGCACTCGCTTGGTGTAGCTGATTCCTGCTGCCCAGCGCAAATAAATCAGTACCGACTAGGCCTACCGGCAAAAGAATTCATGATTGCGGGTATCCGTAGAGTCCGAATTCAGGTGGATGGGTATCATGACGTGGCTAACTATGGGCAACAAAGACTGGGATATCACACACTACTGAATCCTCCGGGGTCGCGTATCTATCAAGATTATCAGGAGCAACCCCGCCTCGGCAATCTGTTACCGCGCAGAGCAATCCTGCAATAATCCGTCTGCCGAATCGTACCCCGGATTCCGAGGGTTCCGCAGATTCCGCCAATGGAATGCCATACCAGACAGTGGAGCTAAACACCGTATGAAGTAACCTTGGCTGCTTTGGCTGGTGACTTGATATTCGACTAACGATCATAACGCTAGTCAGAACAAAGAGGTTTGAAGTGAGGGCTCCACCACGTCCGTGGAGATCATCTCCAGCAGTAGATTTGGTCTAGTCAGTTGGAGATTCTGGGGAAGTTTATACCATGTATGCGCCGTTATCGTCGGATTAATTATATCTATAACACACACTCTACTTGCAGAGTTGAACTTCAACACTACACATGCTTTCAACTTTTTACCAGCGGCTGCCTTCTTATGAAACACCAGATTATTTTTTTGAATCTCAGCAAGCTGCCTACGACGATAACCTAATCTTTCTGAACAACACTCGCAGTCTACATCAGCCCAGCAAATACTCACAGGCTATTCAGCATGTCTAGTATGAAGGTGCCAGAGAAGCCCGTGCCGGATGAAACTATCAATATGCATCTGCAACGTGGGTATCTCTCGACGACCTGACACATTATCGCATTCTGCCTAAAAAGTCATGACTAACAGTGCATTGGACGCAGAGACCCCGACAGCTGATACAGCGGCCGAATCGATAGCAGAAGGAGATACGGGAGTGGCCTACGTTGACTCAGAAGCAACCCATTTCAAGAAGGAGATGGGTTGGCTTTCAATCGTAGCTGTGTCTTTCGACAGTATGGCAACATGGAACACCTTTCCATCAACGTTGCTGGTATCTTTTGTCTACGGTGGGCCTGCTGCTACTGTATGGGGCATCATCCTCGTTGGAATCATCTACATACCCATTGCCTTGACCCTCTGCGAACTGGTATCGGCGTATCCTAGTATCGGTGGACAGTATCACTGGTCTGGTATCTTGGCACCTCCCAAGTATCGACGGGGTATCGTAAGTCAGTCGCCATGGATGCACTGTTCGCTGCTCACACCTGCCTTGACATAGAGTTACATTTGCGGAAGCATCAGCTGGTTTTCATGGATAACGCTCACGGCTGCAGGAGCTGGCGCGCTTTCTAATTTTGGAATTGCATTCATCTCGTGGCTAAACCCGACATATGAGGCGAAGAATTGGCACGTTTTCTTGTTCTACCAATGCAGCAACATTCTGAGTTTCGCCGTCAATGCTTGGGGACACGCGTTTCTGACAAAGATCTACAAAGCAAGCTGTGAGTTTCTCAGTCCGGTTGACATCGAACCACGTCATGTTAAAACATTTGCCCAGTTGTTTTCAGCATATTCGCTTGCTTCACGATCTTCATTGCGGTATTGGTGGGCCAAAAAGAGAAAAGATCAAACAGCTTTGTCTGGACTAGCCTGATCAACAACACTGGATGGCCGGATGGGCTCGCATTTTTGATCACGCTTAGTGGGCCAACCGTCATGTACTGCCCCATTGACGGTGTCGTTCATCTTGTGGAAGACACCAAGCGGCCTCGAACCGTCATTCCAAAGGCGATCCTGACCAGCCTGGCCATATCCTTCGTATGCGCAACAGCCTTTGGAGTTGGTACAACTTACTGCATTTCTGACTTTGAAGCTGCACTTACATCTCGCACTGGTTTCCCAGCCTTTGAGATTTGGAGACAAGCTATGGACTCGGATGCATGGGCCTTGGCCTTTTTGTCTTTCCTTCTTATCATGGTCCCGGCTAGCACATTTACGACGACTCAGATTGTGTCCAGAATGACCTGGAGTTTCGCCAACGACAAAGCTCTGCTCTTCTCCGATTTTCTGAGCGCAGTTACTGCCAAAGATAAAGTACCTATGGGAGCTCTATGTTTCAATGCATTCTTGATCTTTTTAATCGGCTGCCTTTATCCAATCTCCTCAACTGGTAAGTGGTAACCTCCTGAATCTTTGCAACGGTTACTAAATACAACTACAAAAGCATTCATTGCCATCTTGAATATTTCTGTTGTATTCCAGCAGATAACTCTTGCCTTCCCGTCCGCACTACTATTGTATCGCCGGCGCGATCCTCACTACTTGCCACGGGACATCCCCTTCAAGATGCCCAATATTCTTGGATGGGTGTCCAATATCATCTCCGTGGTATATGCCATAGTGGCTGTCATCGTATTCCAATTTCCCTGGTCGGCAGAGGTCGAGTTTTCTACTACAATGAGTAAGTCTTAATCCGGTCACTTCATTTCACGATAGCTCTAGGGAGAGTTGAGAGTTAACTTTGGCAGACTTTACTTGTTTGGTATTTGGTGGTTTCATTGTTGCAAGCACTGCAAGTTGGTTTCTTTACGCGCGAAAGCGCTACACTCCGCCAATCCTGACATACAATCATTGACAAATTAAAATGAGAATTCCCGCAATATCACCACAGGAATCCTTGATCAGATAAGAACGCGTCCCTGGGTATATTGAAGGGTCTGCTTGTTAAATATTATAACATTATTATTGAGATTTAGATAACCTTAATATAGACTTATAATATCTTTTAATTATTTCTAAATTAACCTTAAGAACATAACTCACTACTATAAACCCTTTTAGATAACTCTTATTATACTAACTCTTTTACTAAAGATAAATATATAACTATATATAGTTATAGTTAAGTGACTGATTCAACTTACGAAATTCTTAATGCTTTTAAATCTTGCTGATTTCTAATATATTTAATTTAATTTCGGTATATCAAGGCTAATTTAAGTTAAATGAAAGAGATCCAATATAGTATTATCCAGAGAGAGATAAGATGATAAATCCCACTCTGGTAGCTCGATATCCGGTACTTCAATCTCCTCTGCTAGAGTTTGAAGTTGATTGCCGTCGTTAACTAAGAGTGTTGAGTCAAAGTTACTCCAAGTTGTGTTATTGATGTTCGGCAATATGCTGGCTGCAAAGTTGGTGGAATCCTCATCGCCACGGAAGTTGAGCGTCTCAGAGTGCCCAGACGGCTGATTGATATGTGACATTTGGGTAGGGGTTATTGATATCGGACCTGCTGGTACAAGTGTATTATTGGTTGGCGGTGTGGGCAAGATTGCGTTGATATTTTCGCAATCCCCTGGGATGCTTCGATCAGAATGAAGGGAGTCTCCCCGATCGTCAATCTCTTGACTAGACGAAGCAAGCACTGAACTTGTCCTAGTGGATCGAGAGTCTTCTATGTCGATGCTTGCAATCTGGTTTCGCAACTCATCTCGATATTGGTCCATCCAGGCTGTCGAACTTTCTTCTACGGGTTTCGTCGAAGCTTTTGACGAGCTGACCTTGTCTTGCCTTGAAGCAATATCCTCCTCCTCTTTTGGGTCTTGCAAGGGAATCAGAGGAGGCTCCTGAATGCCAGGAAACCACGAGAAGAAGCTTGGAAATTTAAAATGAGATAAATCCGGTGTCTTTCCTGGCTTGTTTCGAACTTGAATAAGTTTGTAAAGGGTATCAATCTTAGATAATTCTTAGCATAATTACCAAAGGCTTGTGATAGGGTTTTATACCCATAACCTCGCAGGTCTGTGAAGTTTTCTTAGAGCTAGCAGAACAGCCAGAACCACTTTGAGCTTATCCTGATGGTCGACTCTCTCGCTTTGCGTACGGGAATGTTCTAAGCTCTGTACAAAGACAATAGCAGCCTGGAAGCAACAAAATCCCAAGAATGGGGACTAGATATCATGCCAACATATTAGCAAGAGATCATGAAGCGGATAGATGTCAAGTACCAAACAGAAGATTTGATTCGACAGGAGCTGCGTGCAAAGATCGTGGATGCTCTCAGCACTAGCCTTACACGCATTGACGCGCCCCCCAAGGAACATTTCTGGTGCTCCATCTCGGTCTGCCGGATTGGGCTGCGATTGGGAGGTAAGAAAAAAATCCCGGTTCAACAGGATGTTACAACAATCCCGTAGAAGAACCATCGAGACACCGACTGCTAGTTTTGAGGTTGTACTGATACTAGAACCAGCAGACCCGAAATCGAAGTGATAAGTTTCGGTGACTGCTATTGAAAATTTCTCCAAGTGAAGTCTGACAGACATGAAGTTGGAGCCGCGTTCCCATGGAAATGTGGGATCGCTGGAAAGATCCCTACTGTTATATTCCACACATCGGAGTAGAATTTCTGTGGCTTTGTTCACATTAGCGTGTTGGTCGTCCAAGGGGTCAGTTGTATCAATATTTGGAAGCGCGCCGATGTGAGGCGAAATCGATGCGATCAGTTGCGGATGTCCAAAAGCAAATTCGGCTCTTAGCCAATTGAGAAAGTCAACAGCTGTTCCAACTACAGCTCGGGAAATGGGAGAGAGGTCCGATCGAGATATTAGAGATACCATGGTCTGCCCCGTGCCTAAATCATCTTAGCTAGTTGGACAAGGTGTTTTCTCATCCAACTTACCAATATCGCACCATGCCTGTGCACCATGGCCATGACTTGCCTCATAGCTAGCCAGGGCACACAGAGACAGAAATTGATCTAGGCAGTTGATCGTTCTGATGCCTTTATTAAGGAGTTCAAGCCGACATGCCGATACGAGTTGTCTCGCTAACCCAACAGATTTACCGTTGGATGCAATCTGACTTGACGAGTAGGGCAGACTAACGACACATAATGCCAAGATCAATGCAATTGGCCGATCTCGAGCCAGCAACCACGCCAGTCCATCATCCGGAGGTAGCAAAGGCAGCTGTTGAAGGTTCGAGACAGTGAAGAATGTTTCTAGTAGATGGGCGATAGTGTCGCTAGATATCTCGGCCACCCTGTCAAAACGGTCAGCCAAGGTTCTGTCTGAACGAAATTGATTCTTACTGATAATCGTGCGCCATGAAATGCTCTTTCAATCGTCGCCTTATCTCTATAACTTCTGGGAGAGTCGAATCGACAGCACTCGCCGGTGGTTGTTCTGAGTTTTCTCTTGAATGGCTGCTAGTAATTAGTTTAGGCGGTGCTTGGGTTGTTGACGGTGGTGGAGGAGGAATAGCTGGTCGTGAGCTGACGTTGCCAATTGATTTCCGTCGAGGACCGCGCCTTTGTCGGTTTGTATCAAAGAAGCAATTGAGCTTGTTTTTCGAGCACAAGTCACAGGGTACCGTCCCTGAACAGCGAACCTGATAACCAAGAGAATAGGTAAGTACACATTCACCTATGCTCACATCCTTTGCAATAAATGGTAACAACCTTTCTCTGGCGACATGTTTCGCATGCGATTGTAATCTTACGCCTAAGATAGGCGCTCACAGATCTATCGCTGGCCATGGAGACGAAGGTTGTGTGCTTCAGTATGTATCGAGAGAGTTACGATTATTCTGACAGCCACACAAAGTCGGCCAAGATTCAGGAATGGCAGGTTGGAGATGGCAGTTGACGGACTGCTGGAGCCTATATTACTTATCGAGTCAGTTACGGGGCCACCAAAAGATGTGGGCGGGTAATAGAGCAAGCACATGAATCCTTGGCCACTACTCTGCAAGGACATCTAGACTATGCCTTGTTCGTCATGGTTATCCGAATATCCCGCATTGATGATTCATATGTAAAGTAGCATGCGGGGTCTGGGCAATCTGGTCCACCACCAAGCTGCATCTGCCTATACATGGGAAACAGGTCCCTAAATAAGTTCAGTGGGTGAAATCGATTATGGCTATGAATCCAGCATTTCAGTCTTCCATTATACACAAGCCAAGAGTTATCTACAAATGTATATTACGATTGCTGGAGTCAAGATCGCTAGGTATAAGCTAATAGAGGCGTTTCTTTACTAAGTAGCCCGAAAAGGAATAATCAAATTATCGGATTAATGTTTCAGTGGCTGTAGAAGAATCAGGGTTAATACTTGCCGAGGGCCTGATCCCCTGCTAACTAAATCAAATTAGCTCTTTTGATTACTATTTAAGAATTAAGATGAAATTGGCTCAGGTATTAGAGCATATCCTTCATAAACTGACATTATAAACTACCATTATACCTCTCCTGATTTGACCTGTTCGGCTTCTTTAGTCTCGCTGGTATTGCAAGTAGCATCCAAGACAGTAAGGTCATCTGCATTTCCATCACTAACCGGACTGGTCTCAAACCCACGGGAAGCACCATCCCCAGGCACAGGCCAGACTAAACCGAGCACAAGATATGCCACACCGCCGATCACAAAGCTGAGCTCCCAGCCAAGGGAGTACATATTGGAGGCTGCTCCGGAGACAGTAACTGTCCCAAAGGTGCCGATGAAGCCCGGTAGTGGCAGGATGAAGCCGATGATAAACGCTGCAAATGCACGGAGGTTGACTCCATGGAAATAGTAATATATGCCCGATGAAGACGTCGTGAAAAGGTCGGACATGGAGAGATTACCTTTTCGCGAAATAAAGTAGTCGACGAGCATGATGGCCACAACGGGGCCTTGGAAAATGGAGTACCCATTAAGGAAGCTGAGGAAACCGTTGGCGGAGCTGACGATGCGCCAGGGGACAATGGCAAATGCCACAATCAGACACAAAATCTGACCTCTGACGATGTTGAGATATCGAGGAAGCAGGCAAGTTACGTCGGCCGCAAATGGGATAAAGTTGCACGCAATCGATGTCCCGAGGGTAGCGAATGCGAAGCTGGCCGAAGCGAAGAAAACTCCGGCTCGGGCAGAGGAAGTGTAGCCGTGGTTGAGGATGCCGTTGAGAAGGTCGTATGGGTTCCAGTATGCTTCTCCGTACATGTTGAGCACCGCCGCCTACAGCACGACTTAAATTAGATCCATACAGTGGCAAGATAATGGGATTGTATAGTAGTATTCGCTGATACGTACCGTGCTGATAATTCCGAAGGCGGCGCATAGTGTCTGCCCTAGAGGTAGGGCAATCAACTGGCCCCAGATCTGAGCGTTGCGTGTTTTCGAGTATCGAGCAATGTCTGGAATCGTGACGAGCAGGGCCGAGTTTGATCCCATGACGGCATTGAACTGCGCGACTATACCCCAGGCAAATACGGCCGTTGAGGTTCTGGATGCCTGTGCTTGGATATCAAGAGCGGCCGAGCCGACGCCTCCGTTAGACTTTGTCGCCCAGATGACAATTCCTAGGCCTGCAAATGGAAGCACAACCGACTTTACCTTGAAGAGGTGTTGGATTCGAGAGGTATGAATGAGCAGGAACGGAATCGTCCACAAGAAGGCGAGGAAGAACCCAACCATTGTCTGTGTGGTAATGAACTGATCGGCCGGAATCCCGTTGGGGATTTTCTCCCAGGAAGGGAAGATGCATCGCAAGCAGATGCTGATAAACTGTCCCTCAAAGTAGAGTTGGACTCCACCCCATATGATTCCCAGAATCGACCGAAGAACGACAACAAAGTAGTGACCGTAGATACCGAAGCTCGATCGAGAAAGAACAGGATAGCCGATGTGGTACCGCGACGAGGCGTAACCGTTGAGGACCATGACAGCAGCTGAGAGCAGGTTTGCGAAGAAGACGACAAGGAGGGCATCCCTTACAGACGCGCCCACGGTAATCAGAGAGGCGCCGATGCTCCAGGTAGAGACATTCCACGACTCACTCCACCAGTAAGCAAAGAAGCTTAATGTGTTCCATGTCTGGCGGCTGGGAGGGGACGGCAGGAGGTCCTCGTTGATGAGCATCGATGACGAGCTCTTCAGCAAGATGGCCTCGTGAAAAGCCCTGGGAGAGCTGAAGGCATGCTTGAACTTTTGCAGCCGTGTCTTGGCCGAGGACATTGCTATTGTTTGGTCTTCGGGAACAGGTTGAACAATTGAAACAATTCAGTTATGCGATGACGCGTTATGGCGGTTGATGATGCAGACCAGTGGATAAATGCACCGGATGGAGGAGGCGGTCGGCTTCTTACATATACGTCGCGCGTTGTTACATGTCTCAGGCACATGATACTCCTCTCATTCCAGGGTGTTCGTCCGGGATTCTCCAGAGCTTATCAGGTCATCTCTCAACCAGACCAACGGGTTCTCGATAATCTGGGATAGTGCAGCATTAACCCCCGTTTTTGCCCCAGTCTTTGGCTGCCCCAGTTTTGATACGGTCCGGCTTATAAACTCTTACGCGGGCATTTAGGGGCCGGAAATGGGTTTCCAATCATCCCACTTTGCTTCCCCCCTCAGGCCCTGCCCCGTCCAATGCCCACGTTGATATTGAAGTTGGCAATTCTCATTTTGACCGCCCACCCAAGACCTATCGTGAGATATTCATTCTAATCAGTTAGGGTAACTAAGCCGCAATTGTCTTTGCTTATTGGCGTCACATGAAGCATGTATCCATGTACAGAGCGAGGTTGCTCTCGGGTGTACAAGAGGCCGGAACATTTGAGTCGGCATCGCCTCAATCGTAAGTCCACCCATGAACGAGACTGTCGATAGGAAATAGGCTTCGAACAATATGGCGTCTCAAGTATGCATGACGTTAACCGCCGTGCTGAGTGTCTAGACCAACCACGCAAAATCCACACATGTTCTGTTTGCCACAAGGATTTCGTCCGCCTAGACCTCATGCAAAGACACACGCGACGGCATGACCGCGGCATGAACTATCGCAACTCTGGGGGCTACTCAAATCGTGATGTTGCGGATGGCATTGACAAAACCCCGTTGCCAGGTGACTCTGCTACAGTCTCACCAGTGGTGGAGCTACGTGGGCAACTTGATTTACCCCCAGATGAGCTACACCTTGAACACGTCATGGATTCTCCAGCTCCCGCAAGGGTAGACGCGGAGTCAGCTGGGGTTAATGCATCCGACCTGAATGACCTTCCTCCTGAGCATCAAGTGCAAGTGCAACAACATGTTGCTGTCCAACCAATGGAGAGACTGGGTGTGGAACATGTTTCCTTTTTCGACGAGTCGAATGATGCCACCAGCTTGATGCAAGATTTAGATTGGCTGTTTGACGCAAGCTCTTGGGATGGATCCGGCGAAGTTGGCGGCATCAACCTGCGTTCCCCCGCTGTGGATGCCTCAACAACATCCCCTGCATCAGATAGAAACACGGGGGGAGACATAACATCCCAGCTCGAGAATACATACAGGCTGCCTCGTGAGAGAATTCTATCGTCCCTGTCATATCTTCCTCAAGAAGTCTTGGCCTCGTCCTTCTTTGAGAGCAAGAACTTAGAACAGTTCATGCTGAGCTATTGGGAAAACTACAATGCTCACTTCTTTTTACTTCATCAACCTACCTTCTGCGTGCAGGACGCCCCACCTCTATTGCTCGTAGCAATCTTGACGCTTGGGGCGACCCTCTCGCCGGACGAGGAGCATTATCGAGTAGCGGAAACCATCCATCATAATCTACGGTGGCTAATCTTTACTGTAAGTGAGGATCGATTCATATCCACGACTTCTGGTGCAGGGTTATGCATCTCCCGTTCTTACAAACGAGACTGACAAACTGGATGTATAGTGTCCGAGTTTCCAAGTACCCGCACCCTTATGGATGATTCAAGCGTTATTAATGGTTCAGGCATACGAGAAAATGTTCTCAACGAGGAAATTACATGAGATGTCTCATATTTTCCATTACTCTGTCATTACGGTACGCCATATGCCGATTCAGTCTTTTATAAATCATCTCATGCTAACGTAGGCCATAGCTTATGCGGCGAGGCAGCTATTATTCAGAAGAGCAGGAGGAGGCTGGGGAGATATCTTCTTTGGAAAAGTCTTGGTATCGATGGGTCAAGAGGGAACTTTCCTATCGAGCCGCATTCTTTGCGTTCATCATGGATGCGCAACATTCGTCCATCTTTGGGCACACTGCTGCACTGTCACTGAGTGACATCCAACTACCACTGCCTTGCGCCGATGTGCTATGGAATGCTCCGACGGCATCAATATGGAATAAGGAGCGATCCAGAGTTCAACCAAGCCCGTTATTCCTCCCAGCACTCCGAGCCTTGCTATCGCGCCATCCCATTCCCCATACCTACAGCCCCTTTGCCAGGTTTGTCCTGCTCCATGGCCTGTTTTGCCTGACAAGGCATATGTTTGCTCGGGATCAGACAGCGTCTTGCATAAGCGTTCCCGATCAGAGTAGCAGCTCCGGGGCAACATCCTCCTCCACTCCAGAACAAGACAACTGGAAAGAACGTCTAGACCGTGCAATAGACACATGGTCGTTCAGCCTGCTAAGCCAAACGCCGTCATTATGCCTCGAAGCTGCCCGTCCACTGCAGAGGATTGCCCACGTCAGCATCCACGTGTCACTTGTCGACTGCCACATTCTCGCGGGAGCGCCCAACCTTGCCACGGGCGTGCGGACTGAGCATGACAGCGTCCAATGGGCACGGGCTTACGAGCGAGTATCCAAGTGGGCACATCACCCTACTGTGAAGAGACCTCTCAGCCATTGTCTACTGTTGATTCAGGAGACCATGTTCACGCGAGCTCGGTACGTGGCTGCAGAAGATAGCATCATCCTCAAGCCATGGGTTCTATACAATACGACACTTGTACTCTGGGCTTACGGTGCGGTTGTCTGTGGTGCCCGGGAATCGCCCGGTCTCACTCAAGACCACGCTATTGATAATGGTATACATAAATGGTCGGCCGAGGAGTATCTTTCCCACATGCTCAATGGCCTGATGGGAGATGGCGATCTCTCTCAACTTCCAGGAACTAACAGGACGTCGGGGTTAGTCACAGCAGTCCGGCTGGCTTTGGAAGGCTGTAGATGGGAGCTTCTGGAAGAGGCCAGGGAAACCTTGCAACGTATAGCGACACAAGCGCTTGTGTTCCCCCCGCTTACGGCGGACGATATAGTAGTTAATGATATGGACAACTAATAAGCAAATGGATTTTGAAACGAGATAGCTAATTTCCCTATGCACATCTGAGGCGAAAATATAATCTCGTCAACCTGCGAACTTATGCTTGTCCGTGCCGGTAACTCCAGGGGGGGTCTTGTAAAGGAACATGTGGCCACCTTCGTCCTCGGCTTTTGCAGTTGGCTTCCTGTCCTTGCCCGTTGCGACGAAGAGCAAATTCAGGTTCTTCCCTCCCCAAGTCGTGCAAGCCATGTTCCTCGCCGTGAAAAGAATATCCTTCAAATGTACGCCGTCTGGAGAGAATACCATGACTCGATTTGAGTCGAAAACAGCTATCCAAAGATTACCCTCGGTACTATAACGTGGTTGTCAGCCCATAAGCTTCTCCTGTATATAAGTTGGCCGTTGAGACTTACTCTACGACCATTCCATCCGGTTCGCCGAAGCTGTCTCGTCGATCAATGAACAACGTCTTGTTGGAGATGGCACCTGTTTCCGCATCGAAATCGTAGCTGAAGACTTTCATCGCGACCGAGTCGTTCACATACACTTGCAATGCTGTCAGCTTGATAACTATCTTACGCACGTGCACTTTCAAAATATGCTCACTGGTTTTATTGTCTGGGCTCCAGGCCAGGCCATTGCCGCAAACAAAGCCATTGTCCATTTCATGAAGACTTCCATCAGGGTCGTACCTCCATAAACGGCCGATAGGGGTCCCATAGCTTTCGGGGAGTTTGTTCGGTCCGAAGCTCATGGCCTTGATATCAATCTCTGCCAGCCAGAATCGTCCTTTTACATCAACGCCGCCATCATTGAACCGTCGAATGCCCCTGTCCTCGGTCGGGATGATCTCTTTGAGAATGTCCAGTCGGCCGGTCTCCTCGTCAAGGAATGCGACGCCTTGGTAATAGGCGCATATGTAACTTCCTGGTGTGTCTTTTCGGAAAAAATGCACCGTCACGCTGTCTGAGAGCTTCAGGATGCGAGCGCGGCCGAGGGCGTCACCTGTATCTGGATCGACCTTCAGGATGTGCAGCTCCGGAGGATTTGCGAGACAATCGACCCAGTGAAGAGAAGAGTCGCTGTCCCGGTAAATAGGTGCTTCGCCCAATATCATTGGGGGGTCGCAACGATACCAGGCCGCACCCCCCTTGATAGCTTCAAGACCAGCCATTTTTGTTATGAATCAGGGTCTGACTCCTGAGCCCAAGTTCCAACAAGTTGATTTGGCATCCAAAAAGACAAGATTCGGGCGAAAATGAAGCTTTGAAAGGCGAAAGGTAAGAGGTAGGATCGTCAAATAGACTCAAAATGCATCTTGGGCTCGACGTTGGAGAGGTTGATGAAATAATCCTGTGTGTTGTCACAATACCACGTCATAATTGCCCAGCCGAGCATATCCGATACCAGACATCACTAAAGCATCAATGGATTACTGGCCCACGTAACGCTTAATAATGCCTGCCCACTCAGTGTGGGCAATAAGCAATACGTGGGATGTACCGCCCACGCAGGCTGATCGCCGACTCACATTTACCCATTTACCCTGAAGTGCGAGCAATGCTGACACGCATTCATTAAAACTTGAGAGCTGTCTGAACCTGTAATGCGATTTGGCTAGATTCAAACCTAAGCTCTGTATTTTCAATTGCCAATCGTTTCTCGCCATGGCGTCGCAAACAACCTTCCCTCAACCCCCCTATCCTCTTCACGACTCTGTGAAAGATCTCCTTGACCTGGAGTACGTTAAATTCTACGACGAGTACCTTCTCAACGCGCCGCAGGTGCACTATCAGCCAGTTTCTGCCTCTCGTGTTGGAGGTCGGCTAATTCCGGTAATACCTTTACACTACAATCACTCTCTCCTATTCACCCTGCAGATTTCTAACGAGCAACAGGGCGGAACTGATCCAGTGCCTGTAGGGGCCACAACCGATGTTCAGCTTCCCCGCGAGGAATCTGCAGGACCTACAGTTCCTGTGAGGGCCTTTGTCCCCCCGGGCACACCACCCCCTTCAGGATGGCCAGTCTTCCTATGGTACCATGGAGGCGGCTGGGTATTAGGAAACATCGACTCCGAAAACAGTCTCTGCACCAATCTGTGTGTCAGCGCAAAGTGCGTGGTCATTACTACAGACTATCGTCTGGCACCGGAGAACCCGTTCCCTGCTGCAGTCCATGATGCTTGGGAGACCGTACTTTGGGTTGTCAAAGGTGCCGCGGCTCCCGCCTTGAACACGACTCTTGACCTTTCCAAGTTCTCCATTGGCGGCTCGAGCGCTGGTGGTAATCTTGCCGCCGTTATGACACAAAGGGCGCTCGTGCACGAAGCGTTTGTTGGCCAGCCGGGATTCAAATACCAGATCTTAGTAGTCCCCGTGACGGACAATGCTGCGTCTACTGAATCAAGTGCCACATACAAATCGTACGAACACACGGCGGCTCTACCGGCTGATAAGATGATGTGGTACCGACGTCACTATCTGCCGAATGAGACAGACTGGTTGTCACCCGAAGCATCGCCTCTGTACGCCACTGTTGAGACATTCTCCAAATTGCCCCCTGCACTGGTCGCTGTCGCCGGCTTGGATGTGCTCCGGTGGGAAGGGGAGGAATATGCGCGAAAGATGAAGGAATCTGGCACAAAAGCCGAAGTAGTAGTGATTGAAGGAGTTCCACATCCATTTATTGTCATGGATGCAGTGCTACAAAAGGGCAGAGATGGTGTGAAGTTGGTTTGTGAGAAGCTTGCGGAAGCTCTCAAGTAGGTATCAGAAACTCGGTAGAGAATAATTTATATCTGGAATTAGTTGGAAGAGGACCCGCCATATATAGCACTTGATATAATAATTGCAATTGACTTGAATTGAACTGGTCCGATCATACGTTTCCAATGTGTTTATAGTGAGGATGCAACAGGCTTCTCTGAACCTCCTGTCCTTCACCCTGAATTTTGATCACAGTTAAAGTATTACCAAGCATATTTTCACTCGTTATAGATATGCTTCTGCAACGCAGAGGAGAGCGTTGACAGTTCTCAGTCTGTTATTGACTATGTCTAGAGTGGAAACACCAAGGCTCTAATCTACTACTGAAATGACGAACATGGGAAATTCATGTAAGTTTCTGCCAAGCGAGGTTCTGCTGCATAATTAATTCTGTTTTCATTTGGTGGCTAATTATAGTACTGCGGTGCACTCAATTTCGACATCAGTGTTGAGAGGAAGCGTCTTGACGGCAACGCATCTAGGGGAGGTCAACCTTTTAGAATTCCGATATACCAAAGAATATAGAACAACTTACGTTCGGCAAGGCTTGATGTCACCCCAATAGGTGGAGTAGACCTCATTCATCTTGGCAAAGTCATCCATATTCGCCAGGAAGACGTTAACTTTGACAACTTTGTCAAGGGTTGTCCCCGCCGCCTCGAGGATAGCACTCAGGTTCTTGATGCATTGATGCTAAAAAGAAAAAAAATAAGTGATGCTGGTTAATGTGGCCGGGCTTTGCTTGACACAAAGGAAGTCGAGCTTACAGTGTGAGCTTGAACGTCACCATCAATGATCTTTCCCGTATCCGCGTCCATGGGGACAGCTCCGGAGCAGTAGACAAATCCATTGGCGATAATGGCCTGGCTGTAGATGCCGGGAAGCGGTGGGGGAGCCTTGGTGGTGAGGACAGCGGTCTTGGTAGCCATCTTAGTGAATGATCAGATTTTAAACAAAGAAGAACTAAATCTGCAGCTGATTGAAAGCAAATATTTAGTTTCCAGAACTATATCGAAGGGTTAAATGGACAGCAATGAGATTCAATGGCAGGATCACTGATGGTTATTCAGGTGCACTTGATGAGTGTGTTGGGATGGGTAGCTCCTCCATACAGCCCACTTACGCGGGTTATTACGCGGGCAAGGTGGGAGAAGCTTAACATACTTATCACGCCAGCATGTGGACTGTTATGTGGCCTGGTCATTACCTGCCACAGACAGCAGTCTACCACGTGGATACTAATATGAAACGCCTGTCTCCATGGGAGCCGTGCACGTAAAGTTGCATCTTTTCATGATCATTGCAGTTGCTAAAAGTAACTTCAGTGATGGGAAATCAGATAACTGTGCTGTAAACGGACTCTTATTTCGGGATGTATTCTCTCCGTCAACCGTAGCAAGTTATTTGATCCGCAGAAGTCCTATACTCTTGCTGCTAAAGGGCTCAAAATGCTCTGGAAATTCTACCTTGTCTAGTTGACCGCCCTTTGTGTCGATGCCACGCACAATGGCCGAGCCTACTATTTCCCTCCGCATCCTTAATGTCGACATGGCTCTGCGCCGCATCTTGGGATTCCCCAGCTTTTCTGACGGCTCAAGCCTCGCAACAATGGGAAAAGTCATGTCCTGCAGCATGAGCAGGTCGTCGCCGTCGCAGACTCCTGTCACGCCAGGCGCAGTGAGTCCCATGAGGCCCGTCTCGGTGATGAAGAACTCTCGACCGGCGAGAAAGTCGCATAGATCTTGGAAAATAAGATGCACTTGAGTTGATTTGCGCTTCTCGGTACGACGCCACGTGGTTAGTCTGCCGCTTGGTCCGCCACGGATTAGCGAAGGTCGGGATTGTGTCGACGATGAGCCGGTGCTGCAGGTCTCATCCTTGCTGTCGATGGCCTCTTCGAGTTCTTCTACCAGAGGAGCCGCGGAATCGGTCGAATCATCACGGTGTTCTTCGTCTGTAAATGCTCGATCGTCCAGATCGCCATCTGCGCTCTGCGGCTCTACATAGAGATCTTCGTCGGCAGAAGCGTTTGAATCGTTGCCATAAATGCTACTAGCCCTGTGCCTTGGTTCACTCAGCATTGTCATGTCGTATATTGTGGACGATGAGCGGGCGTGATTTGTTGGTCCAGGTCCTAGTGGCTGGCCTGCCTTGTCGTAGTAAATCTTTTCTACAAGAGGATCGTCATCCTCTTCATTTCGATGGTAAAGAATGAGGGGACCATCAGGGCGGCTGCTATCGTCCTCGTCATTATATAATGGTGATAGGACAAAATGATCCACGATAAGGTCCTCAGGTCCACCAGCATTACTCGGGTCGTCGTTATGAAGGCCATGATCAGCATTGAGTCGATCACTAGATTGCGCAACGCATCTCATAATGTCAGCAAGCTCATCACCTAAATATTCATAGGTGACTTCGCTCTGTCCCCCTACTAATTCCATCGCCGCATCGTGCACGACTTGGGCGAAGTTCATGACAACCTCCCGTCGCATAATACGCTCCTCGACGTCCTCGATGCCTTTATCGATCAATGCAAAGAGTGATCTGTAGACTATTGGCCTCTGCAAATCAGCGTTGAGGATGGGAGGATTGCAAATGTTGTCCACCTCTTCATTGACAAACTTTGGTCGGTTCAGTCTCAGAGGCTGCCAAGGCGTCATGGGTATCAAGTGGTGAAGGACTTGGGCACGTAAGCCCTCGAAATCAAAGGTACAAATTCCGATAAGGTCTGTTCTTCTATCCCCCTTATTCATAAACTCAAGCATGAGCTCACCAAGCCGCTCAAGCATGTCGGACTTTCGCTCCAAGAACTCGTCGCGGTCTTCGCGTGAGGCCGACGATCCGTATCCTTTTTCTTCCCTGTCAAAGATACGTCGTAGGCAAGGATCGACTAGCCTATAGCAGCTGTCTAGAGCTTCTATCAAACCGTCGAGATCCATGAATGCCTCAAGAGTTTGCACAATGGAGCGGCCATCCGACGAATCAGAACTGTCTGTTGCCCACCCAACGCTAGGAAAGAGGTAAATACTCCCGGAGGGTGCCTCTAAGTTCTCGGGGTTGTCCCAGTCGTGGAGATTGGAAGAAGGTTTCCCACTCATTACTTCGTAAGGAGTCCATCCGTGCGTTCTCTCGATATACCAGAGCTGCTGTAATAATCTGAAGGGATCCTTTTTAGGAAGAGGAAAGACTTGGAAGATTTCATCCAAGACCCACCCACTGAAAAACACGACTCGATCAATGATAAACGGGTTGTCTCTTATGGGTTTGGCTTTGCCGTCCGGGACTCTGTCTGATGCCTTGGGCTCCACACGCCGAGTGAAATCTGGAACCCACGAAGGGATGCTGGTTGACTCTTGCGACCCCCTTGGATATTTATCCTTGAGACGGTGAGGGAAATGCCAGAATAGGTCTGCCCAGTACTCCATCATGATGAGATAGGTTGCCAGTTTTGTGTAGAGGTCAGCGACTGAGATAGTGTAATCAGGTATGAACATGTCCCGAAAGGTGTGGTCTGCCAATTCTCGCACGCCGTAGACGATGTCGTGGGGATCGCTGCAGTTCGAAGCGAGATACCTGTAGACATCCTGGGCGCCATTCCACGGCCGGCAAAGGGTGCGTCCGTTCAAGACACTTTTTACGAGCCAGACGCGAGCTCCCCAGATGTTCCACTCGTGGCCGTCCGTGCTTCTTGGATCAAGACGAAGGCCCATCAGGCGGCGGCGGACATTCTCAAGATTGTCTTCAGTATCACTACTTTCTCCGCTCGCTACCGACAGGTTCTCACCTTTGAAGTCATCGGTAGCTTCCCGACTTTCGCTCGTGGCAGGATGCTCATCGTCTTCCGAGCCATCTTCACTAACGTCGTCCGGCTGCTGCCCAGCATTTCCTCCACAGTCAGTGCATTCATCGATAGGTTCGGGGTGTGTCTTGCGATGGTGGATCCAGTCATAGATGTATTCAAAGTTTGCCGTTAGCTGATGGTTTGAGACTGTATCGCGACCGCAGTACAGCAATGGATCTGATCTGCTCAACATGAACTCTTGGAGAATCCATACTCGGGTCCACCACGACATGCTGAAAACTTCCACGAAGCCATCTATAACGTCCTGCTCGTCTAGTCCAGCCTCGGCACAAGCCTCAAGGGGGAGCTGGTGCCTCGAGGGCGGCGCATGATCCCTTTGGCATTTTTCGCAGTGAGAGAGTTGGCAGATAGGCAATGCCAGAAAGGTAAAGAATACTTGCGTCTTTGCAGTTGATGGTCCGAGGAATACGACTGTTCGCTCGGACTTGGAGTAGATGTGAGATATAAGCATGATTTGTTCCCTGCGCTCGTTGAGGTCGCCCTGGTTGATGCAGACCGAGTCAACCCAGAGCATTCTTGCACGATTTGGCTGGCGAAGTGAGATCAACGCATTATACAAATTTGGAGTGACCGGCAGATTGAAACGGTTGACGCGAATACACCGCATCTCCCGCGGGCTCGCCACCTTGCCCCAGGCGTAGGAGAGTGCCTCATATTTGTGACCTAAGGAATGGAGGCTTGCATTGAAAAGCCGCGTCTTGATGACGGGGTCGTCTGGCGAGCCGGGGAGGACTTCTAAGAGTCTGATGGTTGTGGTGGGGTCCTTGAGCCTGAGCTCCTGATATAAAGTGCGATACTGAGTGAGCGAGGTTTGTAAGAGTCGCTGTTTCCTAGGCCGTCGGTCATGGTCCTTTGGCAGGGCAATGTCCATGGCGACGGTGTATGAACCTATGAGGTATCTCTGTCTTTCTTCGTACCAGGCATCCTCTGGAGGTTCTTCGGGAAATGATACGGCGGGTATACCTTATCCACTCGAGGTTAGCGATTGGGCCGAGGTTGCAGAACCACGACTTGATACATACTAACTGAGCCTATGAGCTCCGGCTCAAGGCTCATGAATACTTGGAGCCTTTGCTTGGTGAAATCTTCCAGCCTAGAGATGTGGTGCTCCTGAAAACTATCCTTCAACCCCGGTGTCCACTCGTCCCACTTCGTCCAATATTCGACACACGGGTCCGTCAATCGGGGATGCCCCTTGCATTGCGAGTCCTTTACCGTCGAGGCCTGGCAAGCGCCCACCTCGTCGTGCGGGCCACAGTTCATCGCGACCGCAACAAAAATGGTTGTGGATATGTATGTGGAAGACTCAGGGAACAGTAACAATAGTTGTTAAACAATAACAACAACAGCAACAACAGGAACAATAGTTACACCCAAATTGGTGGGGACACTCCTTATATCAAGTTCAATCCCTGCTTACCGCCCAACTTGCTCCGCCACCTTGAAAATGCCCACTTGGCAGCCTTAGAGATTGGCTTCCGTTTCAAAGCGGCCGGATTTCTCATTCTGGACGCATCCCCGACTGTTCAAAGTAATACTCTACGGTTCACATTTGGAGCTGGTAACGCGGAACAATGATGGCTGGTGCTATTCTTTAAGTTAAAAAAAAAAACACAAACAAACAACGCCGCTCTATGTCCTGAAGATGGACATAGCCACAAGGGCTACCAACAAACAAAAAAGGAACGGCAACCCCTAGTTACCGACATAGATGGCCACCCGCCAGGGCGGCTCCCCCACCTCCGGCCCCATCACGACCACGCCCTGCCCAGGCTGGCGAGGGCCCCCGCCGACCGTCCCCGGCTCCAGGTCGGGCTCCCGAGCCCCGTTCGTCGAAGCAGGCGACTGACTGGCAGTCTTGGTCAGCAAATGACAGCAAAGATTCTTCCCTTCTGGGCCAAGTACTTACGAAATTGACGGGACTCGGGAGCTCGAACCTTCGCCGGGACGGTTCGACGGCGGGGTCATGGCCAGCGAGGGCTGGGCGGGCGAGGCCGGGGCTGAGGTGGAAGAGGGAGCAGCCCGGGCAGGTGGCCCAAATTCGATGCAGATAATTAGGTGGCTGTCATTCCCAGGTTAGCCAATCCCTGTTTTGATGGAAATGACACCGGCCAGACAATTTTGGACATACCGAGACATTGTGGTTATTGATGTGAGGAGGAGAGAGAAGAAGAGAAAAATTCGAGGACGCGTCCAGCTTAAGAAAGGCAGACAGACAACAAATGGTTGTTGGGGCAATGTACCTGCCACTGCAAGTTGGAGTAAACAAATTCTCTCCAGGTAAGCAAGTACGTCAAGAGGAAAGACCTACTTACATGTAGGTAGGAAGGCAGTCGCATGTACTACCTTACCTACCACTAGGTGCTCCTGCAACTGGGTAACCTTGGAATTGACACTCAAACATTAAGCTGCTTATTTTTGAGTCTGCGACAGTTATTGTTGGATTATTCGGTAAAGATTTGAGAGAGAATATGGTGAACAGTATTACTTTATTTCACTGTAGAGCATCAGTGTTATTTTTCAACCATCTATCCACATTCGCAACTCATCACGCGCCTACCATTCCCAGAACCTTGACAACTACACTCCTTCCGGTACCCTCGTTCCTCCCATCGGTAAAAAACTGCATGACTCTGTTCCTGGAAAGATTCACCATTGCAGAAGGAAACAGCAAGGTGGTGATGACACTAGATCGATGACTCATATCTAAGAAAGAAGGAACCACACCTGAAGTAAATCGAGGCATCTTACTGATGGCAGCTTGTTCGATTGAACCTCAAGTACGGCCGGACGCAAGCCTCTATGTGGCCGGCAAGAGGCTGGACTTCTACATGTTGCCCGTGTTGTGATGCTAGGTATTGTCAGTTTATCGATTTCTTCGTGCTCCGTAAGTCCCCTGCTTTTTCGCGGCTGGCACATCACTTGCATAGCTCTTTCAATTACTGCTCCTATGTCGACATGCATGATTTTGACAAAGCGTTGGGTAATCACGGTTTTCTTTCTTAACTGTTAATGCAGAGTCTTATAAATGCTGTTTGCTACTGTCAAACTAATCTCAATAACGCTCTGCCCCCCAGATACCCCTCTCTCAAGATCATTGTCTGATCCTGAGATAGTCTAGGTGCTTAATATTTCAACAAAACCACCTAAAGTCTAGAGGCAAAATTCATCAGCTCGCGGCCACGGCCACCAGCCAGTCAGTGGCATCTCATCGTAGATGGCGTTGAAATTGAGATGGGGTGATCTTCGGTGGAATAGGTAGGCCAGGCGGTTATTTTCATTTGTTGCCCACGTCGCATACGCCTTCTCATAGAGGAGATCGTTCACTTTAACGCAGGATAAGCTTTGTAGGTCCTTGGCGTAGATCCAGACAACTGCCTCCCACTGAGGGTCCTCAGCCCGGTCAACCAGCTTGTATCTACGGCCGCAGCACCAGCCGGCCTCTTGCTGGATTTGGTCGAGATCGCTCATTTTGACGATCAGCTGACCTCCAGCTCTGTCGATGTTGTCTTCGGACCAAGACCACCCTTGCCTCATCGACTCGGGCAAGCTCTTGACGCTAACATCCACATTCGCTTCCCACCATGATTCTCGTACCCTAGCAGGGTCAGATAGTAATACAAGGTTGATTTTGCCGCCACCAGACTTGCCAGGGAGGAATTGGCCAAGCTCCACCGCGATTGATGAGCCTTCTTGGCGGGCTCTGAAGCTCTCCAGACATCGAAAGTCCCAGCTCACATGAAGGGGAGGTGGTGGTGTATAGGAAGGAGGCTGATTTTTTCCTGTAACTTTGTCTTGAGGCTCGATAGACATGGTTGATTCCAAGTGTCCAGGCATAATGTGACGCGAAATCTGGCAGGCTGGGATGTTTTGTATCTGCTGGCGAGATGTTGGGTGCAGACTTGCGGAAAAGAATTTCTTTCTTAGGATGAGAGAAGCAGAATGTGATATCGGCGTGATGTAAAATTTAGTTTCGTAGATGTCGAGCTAAGCATGGGTGGGAAAGAAGTAGGCTTGTAGGAAGTAGGAGGATGGTCTCTCTTTATAGGAAAAATGTGATAGATTTAAATCTTGCTTGCAGAATACACTTTCACCGAAGAAAGGATTCTTCGGTCTTTACGCTGCGCTTGTGGGGCCTCCATGAGTACTATGTGCCTCGTGTTGAGCCATCGAGGCGACGTAAAAAGTGTCAAAGCTTGTTACTCAAAAGGCTCGGAAGCTAATACTCGCTTCTGTACTAACTTCATGGTGCTAAAATGGTCACAATTAAGCATTGGCTTCTCTAATTCTGGAACGCTTGTCCTCGATATAGAGAAGCTACCGTAATTCTCCCATATACTCACCCAGCTCTCAGAGTGACGATAGCTCAAATCCCACCTCAGCTCGGCTTACGAGCAGTGCAAATTACGACAAGGCCGGGAAAGACATCCGACCTCTTAGATCACAATGTAAGGATCAAGAACTTTTTCCCCGGGTTATGATGCAATCTTCCTAAAACTAAACACAATGAAGCTCTACTATCTTAACCTTCGCGGCTTAGAACCACTAGGAGCTGGCACAAGGAATCTTTTCGAATCGCAAGAGTCACGAGGGAAGAAAAGATATTCGCCTTTCGGTCCTGTTTTCGTTGCCATTCAATAACCATTGCAATGTCTAAGCTGCGTGGCGATTCTTGGCGTTGAACCTTATGTACAGCCAGTCATAAGCCCTGTCGCCGGGCAAAAAGGCTGAACTTTGACGTGTTGACCGTGTCTTAATGCTGGGTATAGCATCAATTTGTCGATTTCTTGGTGTTTAGGTATTCCCCCCTTCCTTTTTAGCAGTTACTGCATAACCTACGTAGCTTTCTCACGTAATACTATTCCAACATCCCATGTAAGCTTCTAGCACTCCCATTTCGATAATGAAATCTTAAGAGGAGATAAGAGAGTGGGAAATGGAAGAATTTTCATCAAACTTCACCATGAAGTAAATTTAGTCAGTCCCAAGTAATATAGGGTTAAAGTTAGTGGAGATGATCGAATGGTTCTGGAGGGTAGGACGTCTTAGTTGCGCGACATCCGTACCCCCTTTCTAATGCGCGAAGGTTTTACTCAATGCTTTAAAAGGACTTTAAAATAATTCTTTAGTTGACGAGTTATCATTACTATGAGATTACTCCAATTAGTCTCAAGTATTGTACAATGTAACGGCTCCTGATTCTTGTTATTCCTTAACATTATATGATCAACTATTACCCATATCTATAAAAGCCTCTCTAACTCTTATTAATTCTAATGGAATCTAAAAATCTACTTATCTTATGGCATAATTTCACAGCTTTGTAAGTAGGCGCAAAGTGTTGGAAAGGAGTGGACTCTAATAGCACGCAGGAAAATAAACACTGTTCTCCGATATGAAAACCTAATGAAATTCACGATCGAGCCACTAGCGGCGGGGAGAATAGCACCTCATCGATACAACCATACTTGCCATTTGATTAGTCTTGATCACTGCTGCTTGTTGTTTCTAGGTCCTTTCCCCTGCGTCGTTTCCAACATTTCAATCCTATAACGGCAACAATAAAGGTCGGAATGCCAACCCCAAGACCTACCCCAATGCCAATGCCAAGGTTAATCTTCTCCTCTCTCGAGAGTGGCTGAGCCTTGGGGAAATCGAAATTGGAAACCTCAATCTTGAAGGGAGCGCTATATTCAGAGTTCTTGGCCAGGTAATTGATCTGGCCCCCATCTGCGGTGTAGAAATATTCGAGGTATCTCCCCGAGCCATTCACGCTGCGAGAAGCCGCAACGGGGCCATAAGGCTCGGCCCCGAGTCCGGTCGACAGGGTATCGGTTGTGTTGGTCCACGACCCGCCATCTAACGTCCACTCACTCGTAAGCCGGTCTTCATTGATGTAGAACACCCGGATGATTGAGGGATTAGACCAGGCCGCAGCGGAGAAACCGGACTTTGGATCTTTGGTGAAATCCTTGATAGCAGGTAGATGGCCTATATGAATACCAGCAATGGTCAGTTTGTTTTGCCTAGCCAACTTGCATAAATCATCATCATACCTATAGACCACTTGTTGTTCTTTCCGTTAAATGTCAGAGAAGCAAGAGATTTCTTATCCTCAGAAACGAAGAAGACATGAATGTCAGTAGACCCGATAGGGACTGTAGCAGAGACTTGGGATCCCCGCGCAGCCTTTGGTCCAAGTCGAATTATATTGTCGTCCATCGCTTGTGTGACATAATCCTCGTTGTCAATGTAAAACCGTCGAAGCTTATGGTCCGCTTCAGCGAGAGCGAGTCCAGAGGATGCCTTGTACTTCAGCTGATGAGTACTCCAATCGACATATTTGTTTCCTTCATGGCGGCACGCGACGTCAATCACATTACCCTCTTTATCGATGTACGATACGAAAAGCTATTGAGCGGAACATCAGTAAATGCGGAGAAGGGGGGGAAACATACAAGCCTACCTCACGTGCCCCGGTGTCCTTACGGCGATAAAGAGCGGCAAGGGGGGAATTATCTTGGGGCTTCACTGTTTGTTGAATCTCCTCCCGTTCCATGGGAGCCGTATCTCGGCCCTGCATCACAATTTTGCCGTCTGGCCGTAGCCAATACAGATAACGTGCCCAACCATCATTGATCTCGGCATCGTAGGCTGCGGCAATGCTAACCGAGGGGTCAGCGGCAACAGCGTAGATAAAGAGATGGAAGAAGAGAATATAGAAGAAATTAAATAACACAAAGGGAGCCATTCTGTAGTTATTCATGGTGAAAGTTGGTTGAGTTGTTTGTGAGTGCGGGAAGTCCATAACGCAAACAGCCGTCGTGGAACCCAACGTGGATATATACTCTTTTTAGGACGCTTCAACCTAAGCGTCGCAGGCCAGATCAAGTTAACTCTTTGGTCAACCTTGGGGTCTTTGAACGACAAACCTGGAGCGTAGGCGGCAAATCTGATAAGATAATTGGCCGTATACCAAACACTGACGAAAGTCACCAAATATGCATCTCAGCTGAGCTCCCGGGTGAGCTGAACGACTAATTCGAGACATGAAATTGCTAAATAAACTCAGCCTTGAATGATTATACCCCAACAGGGGCGAGAGGCGGCGTGTATGCATGTCAGCCAAGCCCCTTCGAAGTGGGTGAGACACGCGAGATTGAAGTTGGACCATTGCCAGCCTTACTGGAATACATACCAAGGTACCTAGGTAGGGCGACATCGTCGTTTGAATTAACACTCACTTAGCCTTGAACTATTTGAAAAACTCCCCAAATTAGTTGATAGATTATCTTTCTTTCAAGTCTTTTGTCATAGACCAGGCCATGAGAACGATGACGAAACTAGAACCCGACCGATAGCATCGTTCGGCTGTGTTCTCGAGTGACGCCCGGCGGCGCCCTAGATTTGCCAATAGCCTACCAGATGAAAAGCCACATGTCTCAAATCCCGGCAGCGCGGTCGCTGACAGGAGGCCCGTAAAGGCTAACACACAGACACGATGCAGCACGGCAGTTGTGGCGTAAGCTGAAGGGCCAAAATGGTGAGACAAATCTCCAGAAGTCCCAAAACTCTTTCTCTATCGACCATACATCTCTTGTCTGGGCTTACTGAGTCTTGGTCTTCCCTCATAGCTTTGAATCAGGCAGCACTAACGTCGTGCGCGTTAAGGAAAATCCATCGGGCTCACCGCCATATAAGATTTCGGCCCTATTCACCACCTGAGAGGCTCTGCGTGATAGCTGCAGGTGGATTAGACCTCTAGGCTCGGCTACATCCGACTTTACAACCAAACTCAGACTGCTTTCTATACTTAGTAGCCGTGTCCTATTAGGCATCCTTGGGTTCAGCCTCTGGATCTAGGTAGCTAGTTGATGTGGACGGCCATATACCCAGGCCGGCTGAGACCTTGTGCTACGGTGAGTCGTGCGGCTAAGGTGCAGCATCCGACGCTAGCCTCAGGGCGCTAATCATCCATTTCGTTCGTCATTGGTTTATCTTGATGCATAGGAGCTTACTGAGCGGCGCGTAAAGAAACACGCAGCGCCCTTAGGCGGTGGCCCCTTAGCATCCCTATTTCACAGCCCGCCAACTAACCCGCATTCTTATGCAGCGTCGCTCGCTCCGAGACCTGGTGCAGATTGGTGGCTTTAGTTTGGTTCAAGAATTGAGTTATAAAAGCAAATCAAAAGGCCAAGGACAACCAGGCGCTGTCTTCTGTTTCATGGGACGGATTCCTCTGTGGGGCCTGCCATTGGGTATCAGCACTTAATTCGACCTTGAATTCTCCGTTGGAAGTCAATTGAGCAATATGTTGCCAAGCATGATGGCCAAGCAGGCGTAGAGTGGGCTATGTATCTATAGAGTGTTAGAAGGGACACGAGTCAAGCTGAATGAATGGCCTAGCGATAGGAAAAGAGTAACATGATTGAATGGAATGGAATAAGTTCGCACATCTTATCCGCATGGCTTCTGTCATGAGTCCAAGGTGCCAAGACTACCATCAACCAGCTTATTAGGACAGACTCTTGGCGCCACAGAGTACAGTCAGTGATACATCATCCCATGGGGTTGGTTTAAGCACTAAGTCGCTCTTCCTCTTTGCAGTTTAGGTAGCTGCATCCTCCCTTTCATTGAGGCAGCTCTTCCAGACTCATTGCAGACCATCAAGCTTGATTTATAATGATCGGGAGAAAATCATCCGATTAATCCATGGTCGGGCAGTTTAATGATGCCGTGATGGCCACTTCTAATGCGTAGATGCCTCAGGGCCTCCTCCCACACTCTTTCCTTTCTAGGAAGGTGAATATGGCGCAGAATGGATTTGCTCAAAGAATCTGCTGGCATATAAATGCAGCTTCAACAATCGGTAAACAAACACAAACCCAAACACACTCCTAAACTCAATCACAAGACAGGATCGCAATATGGATGCACCAATAAAGGTGGCAATTTTTGGTGGCACTGGCCAGACAGGTTCACTTATTGTGGACGGTCTTCTCACCTCTAGCACTAATTTTGTAAGTGGCCATGTTGACAGCGCACTACGATAGGAACTAACGCTTCAATGATTAGCAAGTCTTTAACATCACCAGGGAATCATCTTTCCATAGTGCGAGCAACGAGAAACTTCGACAACGTGGTGTAACCGTCATCAAAGCCGACATTAAGGGCGCGAAACAAGACCTAGTTGAGATTTTGCAGGGTATCGACATTGTCATCGTCGCTCTCCACTTTAACGCCTTGCTTGATCAGGTGTCTCTTGCTAGAGCTGCCAAGGAGGCTGGTGTGGGGAGATTCGTTCCCTGCCACTTTGGAACCCCAGGCATTCGCGGCATTAACCTGACAAATGACTTGGTACGCCGAAGACTTGCCGGTAAACAAACGAGAGAGTGTGGCTGACGAAGAGAAGAAACTGGACGTTCTTGATGAGATCCTCACCCTCCATCTGCCCTATACCGTGATCGACGTTGGGTGGTGGTCTCAGGAAGCCTTGTCGGCGGCTCCTCTTCCATCAGGTCGAACGAGCCATTGGTTTCTTGAACGAATGCGCATAATACCAGGTGATGGGAATGTCAAATGTGCCTTCACAAGCACGGCAGACATTGGTCCATACATAGCCCGAGTCCTCGCCGATCCTCGGACTTTGAATCAAAAGGTTTTATGCTATACAGACGTCCTGACATATAATGAAGTTGTCGACATTATCGAGGAAGAAAGTGGAGAGAGAACCCAAAAGATATATGTAAGATCTCGCGCTAAAAACGTTTGGGGGAAGATTCTGATGATCCATTGAATAATAGAAGTCGGCAGAGAAGATATTCGAGGACCTCGCTGCCGGGAAAGCAGCACTCGAAGCGAACCCAGACGATTGGGAAGCCAAGTTCAAAGTCATCATGAACCAGTATTACAATTCCTACGGACTGAGAGGCGACAACACTCCACAGATTGCAAGATATTTGGGCTATCTCGACTTCCAGGAGCTATATCCGGATGCGAAAGGCGAGACAATGAGAATGGTTGTCCAAAACGTTATGCAACAAGCGCTGAAAAGCTAACTCTGACATCAATTCATTTATGGATCTATTGAACCAAACTATAAGCAACCGGGTGAAGTAGAATCTTAGGTTAGAAGAGAACAATTGACTCAATGACTTCTATCTATAATCATTCATGTCCATAACGTGAGTTGACCAGTGGCAGCAACATACGCAGCAACTACGACATGACCCTAAATGGTAGATAGCAGCAGGTAGACAGAGATAATTTGTCTCCCATGAGAACATGCCCGAGTATAGCATAAAGAATATCACTATTCTTATACATGTTTTATCTCTTATAGCATCCTCGCGAACAAGATATAAGTTTTTGACGTTGATGTATTGTCGTGACTCTAGGGTATTGATTCGCCTAAACTCATTAGTCAGACATGGCGGAAACATCTCCTGATCCATGCAGCAAAACGCCAGGGGCCTCTTCATATGTCCCATTTTTCAACATTGTTACCTGACCTCTGCTCAACTTTGAGCTCCAAATAGCCTGATGGGTGATTCTCTTCCAGTGCGATCGTTATCTCTTTTTAAAGGTCAAGGCTGTCTCACCTGCAGGTATGTACCAATCGACTCCTAGCCCTCGAAGTGGACCGTATTCACCTTGCCTTATTCTCCTCTCCTCGACGGGGCGTTTGCCAAGAAGGGCAATCGCCGGTGTCCAGTCGCTGACCCTAAATTGTCTTCCCAGGAATGAGCGGATACGCTGCGACAAGCGGAAGCCTGTCTGTTATCGCTGTCGAAGCAACAGCCGCACATGTAGTTGGGGCCCATCGACGTCCCGGGAATCCCGCAAGGGCCTCCCGACAGACAACGTTGCCGCCGCGGAAGCAAGACTCCTGCTTCCTCGGCGGAGTCCGCGCGAGCTAGCCGTCGATCAATTCATCTCCATCATTGCCCCCACCTTCGCTGGGCCTTTCGATACGGAGTTCTGGTCCCGTGAGATCCCACGGTTCTGTCTGCTGGATGATGCCGTCTTCCATGCCGTCACGGCCCTGAGTGCTCTCTGCCGCGATTACAAGTTCGACCGCGCACAGCCTGCGGAACCGAATGTCTTTGCTCTTCAACAGGCCAACCTGGCGATTCAGCAGCTCACCCAGCCTCGCTCGAACCACATGGAGAACCAATGGCGTGTTCTCACTACGTGCATCCTGTTCATCTGCATCAGTCTTGTTGATAGGCGCTTTGAACAGGCACGCATGCACTTCAAACATGGCTTTCAGATTTATCAACAGGTTGAGGAAGCAGGCCAAAAGGGGCTAAAAGGCTATCCTGGAAAACGTGATCTCGTCCTACGATCCTGCCCCATAACCCTTTCGTCGGTCCAGGCCGTATTGGCGGGCTTTCAGGTACGCGACCGCTCACTGCTCGAGATTGGAGACGCGGTCGACAGAACAGCACCTAAACCACCGGGAAATACCAAATCTACCCTGAGTATCTCCTACAAGGGCCCCAACCCAAGTTTAATTCCGCAAGCAGGTCTTGCTATCGACAGCCTGAGGCTGGCTATGTGCGCAAGCGAGTCGCTGATGTTCGAGCTCGTTCTCTTCACATACAAACATGCTGGGGACTTGAAGAGTCTTTATCTAAGTCGGCGATTACAACTTCCTTCAATCACGCGGAGCCAAAGGCCTTACACAAACTGCTATTCAGAGATCCAACGTACTATGGAAGCGTTTGAGCAGTGGGTTTCCTCGTCTTCGGATGAGGCAAACTGGGGACTAGTAGTCCGACACCAGATTCGCAAGGGTCTGAAGTATATCCGCATCTACCAGCTGGCCAACTCCCTTCTCCTCAATACGGACCCAGATATCCCGAACCCTGTTTCGCGATTGAGAAAGCTACCGGTGCTATGCAGCACGATAGTCGATCTCATGGAAGAGGTCCTTGACATGGAAGCCCATGGTTACGGTTGTGGAAATGGAGAATACATCCTTCCAAGGCTTGGCCTAACCAACCCTATACGGACTCTTGTCCAATTCGGCTTCGGGTATGACACGCGAATGCGTGCCATATCGCTTCTCCGTCGACCGAGACTAGAGGGTTTCTGGGATACACTCATGTCAGCCAGCATCCTCGAGGCCCTACTTGACCGTGAGATGGAGGCTTTAAATTTGGATCAATCTAGACCAGATTCCCAGGAGCGCATTCCTTTCCTGAAGATACTGGGGTCGAAGAGGTTGACAACGGCACCTATCCGCTATATCGTGTTTTCGTCACCAGCTTTAAATTCCTAGGGGAAAGAAGTGCCATATCATCCCTTAGGCTGTGGCAGGAGTATATTGACGGAGTGCCTGGGCAGGAAAAAATGATAACCTGGTGATGCTATTATCATTTATTCGCACTAGTTCAAGGCCACTCATTCACGTGTGTATATTTTAGATGTGAAGCATTCTACTACATTTTCAGAGACTGCTGAGCCTTGGGCTTGATTAACTAGACCCCTGATGGCGACCGTGGAAGTTGGGTCCCCACGTAACACTCCTCAGTAGGTCCGTTGATGAACCCTGAATACTCTTTTTGTCTCAATTTCAAAACCGTTATTCTCGGCCCAATGCTGATCAATCTACAAAAAAAAATTCTAACCACTCCAAGTTAAAGCTTATCACGTATTGTAACGAGAGCGAGCTGGACTAGTCTTTGACAACACCGCAAATCTAACTCGGGGATCGTCGCACCACAGCTTCTTGATGCTCAACACTGTTCAAAGGTAAGATATGTAAAAGTTTTATCTCATCCGGCAACTCTGCAATCGTACAATTAGCGATGAAAATCACGAATATGCCAGATACTACGGTAGTCCTCCTTCCTTAATAAGACACGACGTTGTATGCGATGGGGCCATTTGTAACGTAGTCCCGCTATATCCCACATCCCACTCGAATAGACATCCTATATCCACTACGCACACAACATTATGAACAAAAAGAGGACTGTTCAACTCAGCAACCGGATAGTGGCGGGTAGTCCAGGGAGGAACGCGCTATATCTAACATGAGTGATGCCTACCTCATTCATCTGTCTACCACTTCTCATGTTCTATATCAAAGTATCTACACTATTTTTCTTAACAGTCGGTTCACGATGACATTGGAAGTCAACAGCTTTCCCTTATCGCTACCAAGTCTGGAAGATATCGCCGGAAACCTGCAAAGAGTTCTATCTTCCAGTTTTCAATCCGCCACTGTCAGCCTCGTCATCTCCCCTAATTTCACAGAGGCACCATTCCACCTCGCCGCCGAGGGGCTTTCGGGTGATACTCGCGTGGTCGATGTAGGAGGCCCAGGGAATCTGTACCCTCTGCCCCTAGCAGACAAGTCATGGTCCTTGATAGAAGTGGCCAAGGCAATTGGACTGAGTGCCGACAAGGGATCCCTACTTGGAGCGGCAGGCGGTCCTTACGTTGACCTGGACTATAACACGGAACTCGCAGCCAGTCTAAGCTGGGAAGGGGGATTTGACAACCTTAAAAACGAAGCTCGATATATCCAGGTCACTCCTTCGGGTGATATCCATGTGGACAAGAGCCCCAGCGACAACATTGGTCTAATGGGTAACTTCTACGGTTCTCTAGGAGAGCCAGGGCTCGTACTGAAGATCGAAGCTGAGCAACCATATAACACGAATATCAGCTTCAGTGAAACCGTGCGTCAGGGTGTCCATTCAATTTACGGCGACGACCTGCCGATCAGCTTGGGTGGGGTGTTCCTGGTCAAGTCGGGTACCGTAAACTACCACATCATGCCCGATTTCCCCCCGGCAAGCGAAGTACCATGGTCCAACACCGCCGAGTTCAACAATTGGCTACAGTGGCGTGATTTCGACAGTCCTGTTGTTTGCCTGTCTGTACTTCACTCAGCGGATCCAGGCTTGAGACTGCGCCTAGAGCATTCGCATTGCTTCTCAGGTGAGACTGACAGCGTGGGGGGCCACTACCACAATGGTTTAGATGCGAATGCCAAGTATGAGGCATATTTTAACACAGCTCAGGTGATATATCGTATTGATCCAGCCGAGGGAGATGGGCCATGAATCATAGAGGGTATTGTTAGAGAAGCTGGTATAGAAGAGTTGTGTGAGAGTAACGATGATGACAATTGATAGCTAGTATGATCACTGGCACCCTCTAAGAGGTCCGAAAGTCTAGTTACAGGGAGTAAGATTGCAACCCCTGTTAGATTGAGCCGCTATATAGAGGTAGCCTGAGTTGAAGGAAGGACATTCCATTTCCTATGGTTGCTGGCCCTTGAACGGTGATGAAGAATTTGCATTGTCTGGAATAATCATAGCAATCACTATATAGGACTTTAGGATATGTTGCGGGCGCTTCTTTGCCACAGAATGAAGTGCGTCATCTGTAATGACATACTTGCCCGCTACCAAGGTGAATGAGGACATCCATAGAGGACGTTGAGCGGGTGATCATCAGGTACAGGTGGGCTGCCGATTCCACACCCCATTTCTGGGATGTGAAGGTCACGGTGGCCTAGCTGGATCCAATAGCCGTGGAAGCCAGAAGACGAGCATTCACCTAGTTCCCTCCAGAGTTCTTCTCTTCTATTTTCTTGTCCGTTGATAGACCTCCTTTCAAAAATGAGTGAGCCGTTCTCGATAGCAACACACTTCTCAGGCCCGTAACATGAAGAAGGCAGCGCGATGACACAGATCTCAATACAGTCCAGCTTCCGTATCATGGCCTCCACAGGTCTCATCACCAGATCTTCGACAAGATCAAATTTCTGTTTGGAGTCTCCTGCGTAGTCAATATCTCCCGAGCTACGATTCATGTAGAGGTCTCCCTGAAGCGAGAGATACAGATTTCAGAGACCTTTAAAAATGATGGGGAGTTCCTGAGCCAAAGTCAGAAACGTCTCATAGTCTGAGTTAGGCGGGTCTTGATCATCCTGGTCCCTAAAAGGGTGAATTTTCCACAGCATTTCCAAACTAGTAATTGCGGCGAGTCGTGATGGCAGCAGCAGTTTGGGTAGGTTAAGAATGAGCTCCGGGTTGGATAGATGGAAAGTATTCATGGAGTACAATACTTTGATGCCCAGGCAGTAACTATTACAGCTGTCAGCCATAAATCTTAAGAGAACAATAGAGAAAGAGGAGCTCTCACGATTGATGACAAGAGAGCAGCCAGCCCATGATCCCAATGTGACATTTTTGCGGGCAGACACCAGGGAAATATTCGCAAAGCTCACTGACACCAAACTTGCACTCATCATACCAAGCTTCGTCCCTTGACATAAATCCTGACCAGTGTGTGCCTCTGATGGAAGCAAATGGGGCCCGGCTTCGATGACAGATGCAGCTCCACCACTGCCACCTCTTAGACCTCCAATTTTCCACACGAACGAACTGATCCGATCTCGTATGTAGAGGTTTTTCTGCCCGCGAGAAGTACCGGCCGCCGTTGCGAGCTGCATGCCTCTTGGCCGGGTCCTTCAACAGGATCATTGGATGGTCATAGTCCAGCTCGATATGCAGCACGTGGTCCGCAAATGCTAGGCGGAGTACTGCTTGGAGGATATCGTAAGGCAGCCGGTTGAAGAGGGCGCTGTCATTAGCACCCGTCCGGGCTGGCGACGATGGGGTAAGAGGGCGAGGACGCTCAGCTGGCAGGTAGGGCATGGGCGGCGGCGGCGACTTGAAGGGGCTTCGCTCACGGAGCCAAGCGATAGTTGATGTTCCAAGCGGCGCCATGGCAACGAGGGCGACGATTACGGGAGATTTTGTCGTTTGCAGTTTTCGATGTGGCCTTCACCCGAGACTTACACATGCGGACGTGCTGTTTCAATCGAGTGTGGAGACGCGTTTGAATGCTAAAATGGCACAGACTCTAAATACCTCATGCGAGGCTATCAGCAATCCGAAAAGTGGGTTAATCCCAGACTCCTGGTAGGAACAACAATCACCCGCACAGACATTTCAATCAGGGGGCTGAACTCCCACTTATGAAAATGAGAAGTGAATCAGTGCTATTGGAGACGTAGGAAATAGCAATAATGAACAGATTAAGAAGAAGAAAGGCATAAATGTTGGTAATTTTCAAAGGGTAAAATAAGTTCCTTGAGCTACTTGACATATAAAAAAGGATAATCTAAGTAATTATTAGCCTCTATCCTGAAAATACATTTTACTGCCATTACAATCGGTAATTTTAACCAAGGTATAGCAAAGGAAACTGGGGATTTGTTCATTGCCCTTCGAATAATAAAGCCAGAAAATTAAAACGAGCTGTATTTGGAATTCGGGATAATTCATTCTTTCGCTCGTACGAATCACTTACGAAAACCTCTGTCCTCTCTTTTCCTCGATTCTAAACCCGTCAGCCCTGGCCTAGCCCAAATCGAACCACGCAACCCAAGTCTAAACATCAAAGCCAGCCAAGCCACAATACACTCACTCTAAGCGGCATTCCTTCACTGCCAGAAGCAAAACTGACAAATATCGAAAGAGCTCAGGTCTTACATGCAGATGTGTTTCAGACCCCAGTCTTCCATTGAAAGTCATTCGGCAGCGTTCGCCCCCACGATGTTGTATCGGCGACCGCCGACGCAAGGGTATCTTCAGGTATCCCCCATGAAGACATGTCTCCATCCCGACAAGGAGTGACAGATCCAAGAGACTCAGCCGTTTATTCACGCAACAGTAATTTCCATTTCGATTACATTATGTTTTATATAGTTTATACTTTGATTGCCTGGGAGCGTAGATATTTGTGTTGGAAAGCAATTTTTTTCACCATCAAAATCAGTTCCCAGTCCATGCCGCTTCAGCTGAGCAGAGCACTGCCGCGCGGCAAAAGTGATCGACAGCTTGGCAGCCCAACAAGCTTTGGTCAGATTAGGTCCCTCGATATACGATTGTGGAGTGGTACGGGGGAGCAGAAAAAGTACCCCAGGATAATATACTCGGCTTTCGGGTTTATCATTCTCTCCATTAAACACATTACGAGGCTAGCTTCGCCGCGTTTCAAGCATAACCCGCCCGCCGACAATCAAGGCAGGACAGCCATCTTTGCAACTGTGTTTGCCTAGACGTGAGCTTACTGTGGAGTGGTTGAGGATAAGTCCAGGAACGGAAGCTATTAACAGGGGCAAACTTGAGTGATGACATGTCCCTGTAACAAAGTGGAACGTACGGAGTGAACCAAGTTAGGCATGTCCTCGGCTGGAAGGATTGATTTGTTAGTCGAGTTTTATTATGAAAGAAACAGCCCACTTGAGGTTGGTGGCTAATGAGAAGCAATTTACACTTGCCGATCACCACAATCTAGCATCGTATCCACTAAATTAGGCAAAACCAACGGAGGCTGTCTTCAAGAAGGGTCTTCTGGGAAAGGGTTAGAAGTTTTCAATCAAGCAATGGAAGCCTGCCAAACCCCTACAGCAGAAGTATGAACAATATCAGTTCACTATGAACCGTTGTTTGGCACTTTGATTCTTACTTGCCTCACTCTTTTCGTATCTTTCTCTAGCGTCTATGGATTTGGCAGTTCCTCCTGTCTGCCCCTCCAGTATCAATACCTGCCCCATTTGGCAACATAGAGCCAGCCAGGACGTCCAGATAGAGGTGGGCCAAAGCCGCGACCGCTGTCTATAAGATAGATAAGATCCCCCACGACGGTGATCTCTTCGTACCTATTAGACGTTAAAGCGTATCTCTTGCGATTAATTATCTCAATATGTGGTCCTCAATCATCCTTACTGCCCTGCCTCTAGTGGCGGCTACGCCTGTCAAGCGCGCTCCTCTTCTGACTCGAGATGCCTCGGAGGTCATTGAGGGCAAGTATATTGTCGTTATGAACGGAGGTAGCCAGGTTTCTTCCGTCAACAGCGCGATTAGCTCCATTGCTGCCGACGCGGACTATGTTTACAACAAGCTCGGTGGCTTTGCCGCAACCTTAACCGATGCCGAAGTGGACACCCTCCGCAGTGATCCTAGCGTTTGTGTTCCCTTTTTCCACAGTGAGACAGAGATCTTCATGCTGACAAGTTGTATAGGTCGCCTACATTGAGCAAGATGCCAAGGCTCAGATCTTTGCCACGCAGGAGAACGCGCCTTGGGGTTTGGCTCGCCTTTCAAATAAACAACCTGGCTCTACTACATACACCTACGCAGATGGAGCGGGTGCGGGTGTATGTGCATATGTTGTCGATACTGGCATCGATGTTGAACACAGTGTATGTACCGCGATCCATGCTTTACAGAAACAAATAATGACCTGCAAAATCACAGGACTTTGGCGGCCGCGCCACGTGGGTGGCCAATGTTATCAACAGTGTCACTACCGATGATAACGGACATGGAACACACTGCGCTGGTACCATTGCCGGGACCACTTATGGTGTTGCCAAGAATGCTACTCTTTACGCCATCAAGGCTTTCAACGCTGCTGGCGGAGGCAGTCTGTGAGTACATGCCCTCGTTTTCTTTGGCTCAAGATTGGCGCTAACAACGACTACGATATAGCACAACGATGATTGCCGGCATGGAAAAGGTCATTGAGGATGCTCCCAGCCGAGACTGCCCCAACGGCATTGTCGTGAGCATGTCCTTTGGCGTCAACTCCAAGAGTCAGGCTGTCAACGACGCTGGAAAGGCTCTCGTTGATGCCGGCTACTTTGGCGCAGTTGCCGCTGGCAATGGCGATCCCAACAACGGCAACAGCCCCATTGATGCTGGAGGAGTCTCACCTGCCTCCGAGGTGTCCCTCTGCACTGTTGGTGCCACTGACAGCGAGGATGCCACTGCTTACTTCTCCAACTACGGTACTGTTGTTGATATCTATGCCCCTGGTGTCAATGTTCTCAGTGATGTCCCTGGCGGCAGCACCGGAACTAAGAGCGGAACTTCCATGGCCACTCCTCATGTCGCTGGTCTGGGAGCTTACTTCCTGAGCCAGGGACAGTCCGCCTCCGGGCTTTGCGAGTACCTCCAGGGCATTGCCCTCAAGGATGTTATCACCGACGTCCCTTCTGGCACCAAGAACCTGCTTGCTCAAAATGGCGAGGCGGCTTAAATGGGAAACATTTCCAGGGATCGAAAGAGAGGGTCATGCGGTTCAGACACGTGCTGGTCTAGGATGAGTCCAGTTTTAAAATAGAAGCAAGGATCCAGGGTGATAATATGTTCAATGAAACTGCTACCTCCCACTCAGCGTCCGTAAATATTTCGTGATATACTTTGTAAATAAGAAGCCCAAGAATTCCCATAGCCTGGCAGAGTGTAAATATTTAACGCTTATTTACGGGTTGCCCTGATTTCTCATGCCAGATTTGAGCTCCAGCTAGACTTGACCATACCACGAAGCCCTTCGACACTACCGGTATCGCCTTTGTTAAGATAGCCGGCAATTAGTCCTCGAGGGTCCCATTTGCTAATAACATGAATGAGATTCTGTGCATTTTCATTATTCCAGTACATCGAAACACGCTCCTGGAAGTCAGCGTCGCCCAGATATGCTCCTGGGGATTGTTTCGAAGCCGGGACCATGATGCCGCGAACCCAGTCTGCACAATCTTTGTCTCCCGTGGGAGATTCGCAAACGGCGTAAACGGCAAAGTAATGGTCCGATTGCATTGATAGCGCCATGTTTTGCACGGAGCCCCCGTCACGATCTTTCCGTGAACACGGTGCCATGGAGTACCAAAGCGAAAAGCTCTTCTTGGTTGGTAGGTCCACAAAAGCATTTTCCATGACTGAGGCGACATCAGCATCGTTCCTTATGTAGCAATTGTCAACTCGATACCTGTGGCCCTCTGGGTTTGCGGCGTGTTGTAAGTCGTACTGGTCTGACAACGAGGTTTCGGTGCACAGTGCAGTGATATTGGCGCCGGGAGGGGCAGAGGCATGAGCGGGCTCCAGTGCGGTTTCTGCTTCTTCTTGGCTATTCTTAAAGGTGGTAAAGCGGACTATGGTTTGAACACCCTCGAGTCCTGGGACGTAACTGCCAATAGCTGCAATTTCGGTATCGGCATCAAAAGTAGGGGAGAGCTTCATGCCGAGTTAGCACATCAGCTAAACACATCAGGTCTAAACCTCAAGAGTATGTAATTGATACCTTTATCACCCAGTTGAGAGCTGCCCGATAGTTTTCCTTTCCATAGACAAATGTAGAGTCTCTCACATGCGAATATCGCGGCAAGGTTTGCAAATGGAAGCGCGTAACAATAGCAGGGAAGCCTGATAAAATACGTCAGCTTCTGAGATTTCATTCGAGTTCTGTCACAATCAACAGTCTCCTCACCTGGCCCAGCTCCTCGCGCTGCCCAGAACAGATCTGTATTCTGGTTTTCATCGCATCGAAGTTTTCTCCCCTCTGCTGTCACTACGTCGATAGCAACAATTTTCTCGCAAGCCCAGCCCCAATTCTAGAGGCAGCGTTAGCAACGAGGAGTATGAGGGTAGTTACTGCGACCAGGCCTGCTCTACCTTGCAATTCCACCCCATGCCTCCCTGTAAAAGAAACCCTCCGACTGCTACGTCTGGGCAGTGGCCACCAGGGAACCAGCGCCCGTGAGGCTCCAGAAGCTGGTTAATCACCCTCCCGGTCATATTTGGAGACACACTCGCGACCCCTGTTGCATCATCCACGTGGAAGTAGTTAAACTTTCCAAAATCAACCAGGATGGCATCATCTCGGACACTCCAAGCAGCCCAGCTATGGCCTCCAGATCGGATCGATATGCGGCATCCAAGCTTCGTGGCCAGGAGCACAGCTTCGACAACATGGTCCTGGTTGGTCGGCTGTACCACCGCAATCGGGTACCGTGATGGTCGGCGGTGGTTGAAAACACGCCCGATTCGCGCAAGATCATATCTGACATCATCCTGCCAGATAATGGGGAATTTGGGGGGTAAAGCATGGCGAGAAGGAGCTGGAAAGGACATGATAGGAGGTAGGTTGCTGGATGCTATGACTTCGAAATGAAAAGTGAGGTGAGGCCCTTGAGCCAACGACAACGACAACGAATCTCTCAAAAGCCTGCCATGACCATAGTTATGTTTGGGCCACCACGTAAAGATCGCATGGCTTGATACACCCGACCAGCTTCAACCGTGGCTTAACCGTATGGGTGGGCATTGAACCCCTTCCGCTCCGCACACTCTCCACTTCGGAAGAGTGCTACCATCATGGCTTCGGCTTCATGGGGTCAAGTCAGTCGAATTCTTTAAGGTTTTTCAAGATGGTCAAATGAGGGACATCGGGAGTCAGTTCGGCACCTATCATTAACGCAACCCGAGTATGCATGGTCAGGCTACCGGATTCGGGACGGGAGGGGGGAAACAAGAATGGTGAAGGATTAGGATCCCATGAACATCCAGGACAATTCAAGTTGCAAGCTCTATTCCTGTAATATTTGTCCTCATTTCTTAGGCCTTAATAGTTTAAATCACCAGTAATATTTCACATGTCATAGCCAGCAAAGTTGACCAATATGATTGGAATTTTAAAATTTCCCGTCACAAACTACAAGACTTTTATCCTTGTTCATGGCGGGGTTATCTATAAGCCTCCAATGATTCTAGCGACGGAAATGTGGCTATGTCTTGACTTGTTTAACGCGTATGGAGCAAGGATTGTACAGCCTTAAGTAACAAATCAAAGAGGCATAATGTGCGAAGATAGGAACGTACACTTCATCTCTTGTAATTCACTCTCCCTGAACCCTGATCCCCCTCTCCTGATTCCCAGTATAATATTGGCCCAAGCAAGTTTTCAATCGATATGAAGTCCCCCATTTACAAAGAGGTGGGCTCCGTTGATCCACCGAGCCTTCTCTTCACAAAGACAGGCGACAGCATATGCGATTTCATCTGGCTCTCCCATTCTTTTCCCAGCAGGAGTCTGTTCAATAGTAGGCTGCAAGATCTTCATGGCTTCTTCTTCCGCCGATAAGAAACCAGCTGTCTTGGTCGGGCCTGGAGATACAGCATTGACAGTGCAGCCATATTTGGGCGGAAGCTCCTTGGCCCAGCAACGGGTGAAAGAGTCCACCATTCCCTTCGTGCCAGCGTAGACCGTCTGGAGCGGCGGCGCGCCCCGGGAGCTTGTAGAGCAGATGTTGATGATACGACCGCTACCCACAGTCAGGTACGGAAGGGCAGACTGCGTAAGAAGAAACGTGCCTCGAGCATTGAGGTTTACCAAAGAGTCCCAGTGATCCAGCGTGGTCTCCTCGAGCGGCAGATTAATGGCGAGCGCTGCGTTATTTACAATAATGTCAATGCGACTAAACTTCTCCATAGTAGCATTGACAAGTAGCCCCGGACCATCCTTGCTACTCATATCGGCACAGACGAGGAGGGATGGACCGGCGATAGAGCCCACGGCCCTTGATGCCTCCTCGAAAACCTCTGGAGATGGGTAATTGATGACGACGGTTGCTCCACGGACAGAAAGCTCGGCAGCTATGGCAAGGCCGATTCCGCTACTGCTTCCCGAGATAATTGCTACTTTGCCTGTCAGAGACTGAACAGTTGAGATTGTTGGATCTTGCATAGTCTGAGTCAGAGGAATCGTGGCAGACATGGCGGTAAGGTGAAGAGCGGCTACTTTGAACTGATCGCAAGCTTCTGAGAGGCCGTTTTGCTGTATTGGACGCAGACGGCACTCTCCCGAGCATAAGACAGTCAATATGTTGGTTTTTTATATTCCCTCTAGTAAGCCGATAGCTCGGGTGACGGTTACCGGCCCTAGTCGGGTAGTGGGCATGATCTTACGCAATACCTTATTGAGGAGAAAACTGATTTCGAGCAATCTGATCACTTTAACGTGTGAGCCGGGCGAGCTTTGACTGCTACCTCAAAATCCAAAAAGCGATTCTAATGATCAATCAGTCGATTGTGTTCTTTTTCTCCTATTTGGAAACAGAGAGAGCGGGGTGCGTTCATAGCTGTCTGGCTACTGTGCACCTGTTCATTCTATAGCTTAAGAGAGGTCAGCGCAAAGGAAACTCAAATCACTTCCTATCTATTAGGTTTTCTATGATCCATGTCCAATGGTGACATATTTTGAGATACGAAACACTACTCATGACGTAAGGTAGGCTTAGAATAGGCAATCTTAGAGTACCCATTCTGAGGGGGTAGATGGTTCGTCTGTCACGGTCACGCAGATTAGATTAATGACGGGCATAGCTAACTGGCGATCTGCATTGAGACTACGTAGAGCGCGGACGACAACTGCTAGGCGGGGTCCTGGAATCACTCCATGCATAAGAGAAATCCGAAGCTATTCACCAACCTCCCGGTCATCATGCCAATGAGCAAGTTCTTTCACGAAATTCCATCTCCAAGTAGCTTTCCTGATATGATTTCCCCACAAGTAGAAGGGAATCCAAAATAGAATGAATCCTCCCGAGATGCCAGCCATAGCACCAAAAGACTTTTGATATCCAGCTTGTTCAATCCATGGGTTAGTGTAGAAGGATAGGAGAAAGCCCAAAGCCGCTGCGGATTTCGACATAAGCGAGAGAAGACAAAATATAAGGGCTAGTTCTGAGCCACCACTTACATTTGAAGGCGTGTTGTGTCACGGTTATCTCGCCTGCAATGGGACGATACACATCAATAGTATAGACTAGCGTGATGTTTGTGGCCTGAACAACCGAAAAGCTCACTTTCAATTGCTTTAAGTCAATATTCAGGTCAGATCTTCAAACAAAGGCCAGGGGATTTGGACTCACAGAGGCCCAGGCCCAAGGTAGGAACCATCCAATGCATGCCGTTTCCAATGCCGACACCATAAAGCACAAGAGAAAGAGGAGCTGTCAGGACGGAAATCGTCATTGCCGGAAGACGCATTTCGGGTTCTCGGATACCCCCGTTGCGATGCGTAGCGCTATCAGCAATCTGGTCACTCAGATGGCCTCCAAAATAGGCCCCAATCAGGGCGCCAATTGGAGATGCGATAAAACACAAACCTGCCTGCCAGGCCTCGAATCCATATACTTTATTAAAGGCAATAGCGAAGTTGGATGTGATAGCAACCAAGAAGCCAATTGTAACGGCCATCACAATAGTGGCCCAGAGAACTGGAGGCAGGGCCAACATAACGACGGGACGCATGGCGAGCTTGAAATAACTTTCGTTTGTGTGTCTTCCTGAGAAGATTCTGAGACTCTGCCAATATCCGTTCTTTGCTGTAGTTGTCTGAGTTGCCCCAGATGCCCATTCGACACATTCAGTGTCGTTGGTATCTTTATGTCCAGCTTGGTGTCCGCAATAAGCTGGCTCTGTCTCCTCTGAACGATCATATGTGGTCTCGGGGAACGTGAAGATGATTAGAATCGTGCAAGTCCCAATCAAAGCTGTAGAGATCCAATAAATATAACGCCAATGTAGGTGAATGGTGATGAGGCCGGATATAACGATTCCGGTACCGACACCAGCGGATAGTGCAGCCGTATAAAATCTGATCTTGGTAAGCACATGATGATATTGGCGAGAGAGGAAATGCTTACGCCATGACTGTCCCTCGCTCATGGAGGAAGAAAATGTCTGCAATCGTCAAGGGAGCCAGGCATTCAGCTGCACCAGACGCAAACCCCATAATAGTTCTGGCGGCTAGGGCACGATCGAAGGAGGCTTCCGCACCAGCCCATGCAGCGACAGCAGTATATATTGTGAAGGAGATGACATAAACTGGTCTGCGGCCAAACTTCACCATCAAGGGTACCCAGAATAGGTTTCCCATGCCCTGGAGTAAAGCCGTTGAGGTGAATAGATAGGCAGCCTTGGCAGTCCATTGAGTGAACCTTGGGTCCGTCGGGGGCCCGAAGTAGTCGGTAGTGATGGCTACCATTGCCACCGAGGGTCCTGCTGCCAAGAAGTTGGAAAAGAAGATAGCGCAGGACACGAGACAAGCAATGTAAATACGGTAGCCTTTAGACCAGTTGAGGGGGTCGTTGGGATCGCTAGTGGGATTTGGTATAAGGATGATTTTCTTGGTTTCGTCATCGTGTAGTCGGATGTTTCCCAACTTCTTTTCTTTCGGCTCAATTTCCAGGGGCTCATTTGAGGCACTCATGTTTAATATTATTTTGTTTCTTCTGAATTTTCTCTTCTTCCCTCACAGGCGAGAAAGTTCGGATCGAAAGAGAGGGGATATAAAGGGGTCTTGGCTAGCGACTCCTGGTGACAAGAGCGGTATGCCTTCGCACAGTAGAGGTCTAAGCTCGACCAAATTGTTGATATCAGGCTCCAGTAAAGAGTGGAGATGTATGCAGCGAGAGAGAATAGATCCATAACTTATACTCGGAATTCAAAACAGCAACACCAAGAACGATGGCGAGCGAAGGAGTATGGGATGTGGTCCACAATTCCGGACGCAGGCATTACATATTATCATGCCCCTGTTCTTATTAGTGCGGGGTAGACGTCTTTGGTATGACTCGTAACCCGGGGTAGGAAGAAGTCAATGTAACTAAAGCGATGGGTGGCAGGCATTCGGAAGGCCCCCCATCGTGGAGGAAGGTGTGAGCTCAGTGGGCGGCCGAAAGAAGATCAAAGCCCGGTGATTGACGAAAATTCCATGTCGCACGCTGGCGGATATTGCCGATGATTTCCAGGGCGCGATTACGAGTTGAGCCTAAGCAGTCCATACCTGAACCCGTTAGTTCGTTCAGTTTCTCTAGCAATCCATCTGGAAGGGAAACGAGGCGATGGCTAAATTTCAAGCACCGTCTCATCTTCACATATCTATGTTAGAAACGATTGAAATGCAGCTGCTATCTGCGGTTGGCTACCTGTACATATGGAGTAACAATAGTGGTAGGTCTACATAGAAAATACGATACTTCACTCATCCCATCAGTTACTGTCCGGTGTCTAGCTGACGCTCGGAAGAACCGCCCCCGGGAAGCCGTCTATGTCACCAATAGACCAGTAATCCCATCCTGTCCCAGTGTTGAGGCCGTTCTACGTAAGCCACCTTGTAGAGACGTCCCAATCCATGCCATAGCATCGGCGACTTGAGGGTGGCCCGGCCGAGTGAAACAGGGATATGAGACTCACACCGGCTCTCCACTTCCCGAGCCGGCTCCACTTCAAAAAGGGCAAGAAGGAGATATCGGCCAACAGTGGCAGCGTTGTACATGTACAATATCATCGGGCAGTGTTTCATCCGCGTAGATAAAAGTAGTTGTGTGACAGTCCTCAGCGTGGGTGCTCACAGACAGCCGCTCCATCGAACCGAGCCTTCATTAAACACACTGAATACAGCCCGTGAATAGACAATCAGAAGAAGCCATGATTGAATCACTATCTAATGGCCTTCCCGCGCTCGGGGTCAACTCCCACCCTAGCCCCAAATACTTGCGTGTCGTGATAATTGGTGCCGGGATAGGTGGCTTGACGGCTGCATTATTCCTACGCAATGAAGGGCATCACGTTACCGTTGTGGAATCATCCAGCTTTGCGAATGAAGTGGGAGCCGCACTTCATCTTGCTCCAAACGCCAATGGGTTACTGAGGCGGTTGGGTATTTTTGGTGAGGATATCGGTGCCAACTTAATGCAGCATGTTGGTGATCTCCTTTTCTTACGAGTTTTCTCTTTATTATCAACAACTAACTAGACCAAGATCACGGAATACGACATAGACAATACCCTCAGCCGGGATATCGACTTGTCCGAGAGAAACAAGCTCTGGCAGCACCCGTGGCATTTAATTCACCGCGTCCATCTCCATGAGGAGCTAAAACGTCGAGCAGCTTCAACATCCGAAAAGGGAATTCCCGTAGAATTGAGGACAGGGAGTCGCGTCGTGAATATTGATCCTTCTCAAGCCATTGTTGAGCTTGCAACTGGAGAGTCCATTCAGGGGGACTTGGTCCTCGGTGCAGACGGAATTCATGTAAGTATGTGACATTCAGTCAAAAGAGTAACGCTGACGAGTTGATGTCCTTAATAGTCAATTAGTCGTACCTTGATACCAGGCGGCAACATCACCCCTAAACCTTCTGGCAAGAGTGCTTTTAGGTTTCTGATGCCTCGCCAGAGAGCTATGGATGACCCTCTGACAGCACAGTATGCGCAGAAAATGGGGCAACTCGTCATGTGGTATGGGTCTGACAGACGAGTGGTCATGTATCCCTGCGACAGCAACAAGCAGCTCAACTTTGTTTGCATTCACCCGAGAGAGGAGACTGAAGTGGATGAGGGACAAGGTAATACAATGAAGACGTTTCCAGTCAAATCTTGGTGCGTATTATGTACTAACAAATGAGATTAGACTGGAACACAGGAACAAACAAAGCCAAACTGCTGGAAGTTTTCAAGACTTTCGATCCATCTGTCTTGGCCCTTTTAGACAAGGCAGACACCGAGTCTCTTGGTATTTGGGAGCTAAAAGATATGGATACACTACCGGAATGGGTCAATGGCCGCCTCGCGCTCCTTGGAGATTCTGCACATCCATTCCTTCCACGTATGATTTTTCATCCCAGATCACGATATTGACATTTGCTAATGGCCTACTAGATCAAGGCCAGGGGGCTGGGTGCGCTATAGAAGATGCCGCATCTCTTGCTGTCGTTTTGAAGAAGGGCACGGACCCAAGCGAGGTTCCAGAGCGTCTTCGACTATACCAAGACATTCGGATGGAGCGAGCCAACAAATTACGCGACTATTCACGCAATGCAGGCCGTGATATAGTTGGTCTTGGCAAAGAAAACTTCAATAGTGAGTTTTCCCTCTTACTATAAGCTTAGAATAGACTCAACACGAACGCAAGCTAACATCACATAGTGATGGAATATACGAATTACAATTTCGGGCATGATGAGTGGGACAACTCCATGGAGCGATTCCGCCGGTGGACTTGGTCGCAAAACCCAAACCTATACTGGAGAATGCCAATTTCATTTGGCCCTTTCCCCGGTCCTCGACAGACTTTCGAGGGAAAGCCACGAAATGCAACTCATTCGACTTTTACCACAGCCTCTGTCAAGTTCAAGACTTCTCGCACAATTTTACAAAACCTCCTTCCGTCAACATCTTTCCGGTTTAAGAGCCCAGGGACTTTTGCGTACGCGAGCTTTTCCCAGACTACACTGAATAAGATGGAATGGCTCGGACATTCCGGATATCGGCACTTCGGTCTCTATATTCACGGAGTACAGTACACACTTAAAGATGGGACTACTCTTAATGGCACGTTTCTCCCTCTCCTATTTGAGAGCCTGACGGACCCAATCGTAAGCGGTCGGGAAGAGCTAGGTATGCCAAAGCTCTACTGCTCTATCGATATATGGCGCCGCCAAACAAGCTACCGAGTCCAGACCGGGTGGCAGGGCGCTCAGTTTGGTTCCATGACGCTCGAGGGTCTCTCCGAGGTCGGAGTAGATGGAGTGAAGGGTACAATTGGCGGGGAGGATGACGAGGGGATCTTTGCATACAAGTACATCCCCAAAGTTGGGGAACGAGGCAAAGCGGATGTGGAACATGCCACCTTTGTTCCTCATGCCGAGGAGTCCAAAGTAGTCCCGAGTCAAGTGCAAAAGGTATGGATAGCGGAGAAAGGGGATTTTTCATTCGATGCCCTGGACTGGGACGCATTACCCACCCTACATCATGTCATCAGCCGAGTGGCTGAGATTCCTGTCTACGAAGTAGTCCAGGCCAAGGTTGTAGAGGGACTGGGGGTTCCTGATGTGTCGACGGCCAGGAGGATCGATTAGTGCATTGGGTGGTCATAGACATGATAGTGCTCAGGTGTGTATGAGATGAGAGGATATGGTTCGCATGTGTCAGCACCCAGGCTAAAGTAGCTTTTCCATCCATTTTTTACGTTGTGTGACTATGATAGCTACATCGGAAAGGCATCGGAAAGGGTCTTTTATGAAAGGAGGACTGGGAGTAGCAGGGGGTTGAACTCCGCATCTTTCGCTTAAAAGATGTCAACACTACCCCAGACTCCAGCACAATGCGTAAAACGCGGGGTAATTTCAGATGTTACGTATATCATCGGAAACTGTACTCCATTAACCCGGCCGGCCTCCAAATTCTCTGCGTGTGCTGTTTTTTCTGGTGTTATAAATTGCTTGGGGCCGCCGTTCGCCAAGATTCTTCACTGTAACATTAAACCTCATCAACTCTTCAACACTACCAAATGGACTCTCCAGTACCAGAAGCCCAGCGCGCCGAATCGCTCAAACAAGGCTACTACCAATGCTCGCATTGCCGACGGACATTTAACCGCGCTGACCATTTGCAGCGGCACGTCCGCTCCCGTAATCTTCCAGGGCCAGATCCATTGTCGTACTCGTGAATCTTACAAATGTTCCAGATATACAAGATCGTCCTTATCAATGCGAGACTTGCCACAAAGGATTTGGTCGGCAGTAAGTGCATGTTCCGAGACCTCCTCTCTGGTTCCGGTGGTCAGGGGAGGATTATCTGCCCTTGTTCTAACTACATCATACAGAGACCTTCTTAAAAGACACGCCGCGTGCCACGAACCCGATGAGCAGGGAGTAAAGCGACGCCGCCAGCTAAATTCAAGCCCTCGAGTGGCACAGGCATGCAAAGCCTGCGCGGCAGCGAAACTAAAATGTGACAAGGACAAAGTCTGCAATCGCTGCCTACGAAAAGGCATTAGCTGTGAACGAGAGCCTCGCAACGGGAATACAATCTTCGCCAAGAGCCCGGATGCAGACCCAGGTAAGGCACTCCGAATGACATCCACAAGGGTTGTTTAGGCGTTGCTGATCCAGCTCTTCGTTTCAACAGACAACATGACGATCACTCTGGACATCAGTGATATAGCTGCCCCAGGTCCTCACGATACGAACCTTGAAAAAATCGCCGCCTCTCCAAAATCACAGCTTCTAAGTGCAGATGAGAGTTTTCAGATCATGGACTCTGAATTTTCTTCATTTCTCAAGAATGTCATGACTCCCTCAATAGGTGATGGAAGGCATTCCTTGAGCCAAGTGGATTGGTCATGTGTTGATCCGCTCCACCCCTTCGAACCGCTCCAAGGGCTGTTAGATTATACCACCAAGGATGATTTCGGGTTAGAAGACGTAGTAGCACACAACTTTTCTGCTCTGCCGCCCACGCCTTCTCTCTACTTTTCCCAGCCGTTCGCTACTGCTTTGGGGGAGGTCACACCCAACGTCACTGAGCCTGACCCAGACGGGAAGCACCTAACCTTGGGTATCGAGGCGTACCAACAGTCTGCTCTGGGTCGCTGGGAGCCTTCAAACAACGACAAGGCGGATACTGACATGGATTCGCTTTCCATGCTTGGAACTAGTCCGCACAGCTCACTTTACGTCGCCCACCTGAATGATCACCCGGAGCCTCACATAAACAAATCATTCCCCGCAAGCACAAGGGACCAAGTGCTATCCATGACGCTGGACATATGCAAACCAGAAAAAAAATACCTCGTGACAAAGACTTTCCCTACCGCAGAGTTCTTCCTGCAACTGGTTCAACGGTACTTCGCATATGATCGATATGAGGCACATTCCTTCATCCACGGACCATCTTTCGAATTGGGCCAGCAGGAACCAGAGCTCATTACTTCCATCATTTCAGCAGGGGCGATGCTGGTTGATTCAAAGCCATTGTGCGCACTCGGCCTTGCCCTACAAGAAGTGACGCGCCTGTCGCTGCCTGGCCGATTTGAAGAATCTAACAAGGTCTCAAGAAGCGTTTGGGCTATCCAGGCTTTCATCAACGAGATCGAGGTTGCGGTCTGGAGCGGTATCAAAAGAAAAATGGAGATTGGTGAGAGTCATAGAAATATCCCTTTTACAGTTCGTCTTCAAAACCACATTTTCTCACTTTGACTAGTTTCGAGAGTCACGCACTGATAGTCTTTGATCTTGAATTTAGATGCTCCGCCGAGGTGGACGGTTTAGCACGCCCTCTGGGCCATCTCCTTTACCATTGCCTACCGATGACGGTGATTTTTTGCAACAAAAGTGGCTTGCTTGGGTGAATCAAGAAAGTTGCAACCGACTGGTCTATCGGTCCTTCATCATGGACATCCAGATCAGTATGGCTTTCTGTACAGCCCCAATCATTTCATTTTCGGAACTCAAAACACCGCTGCCTTGCGCAAGATCTCTGTGGCTTGCCAGTGATGCCGAGGAGTGGAAGTTCCTGTACCACAGCTCGCCACGGGAACTCCCCCCTCTGAGTTTAGTCGAGTATCTCCGAAATCCTACCGAGCTCGATGAAGGTTGCTATGATGTAACTTTCTCTCAACTTATCATCATCCATGGCATCTGGGGGATGGCATGGCAGTATCTTCAACTACATGAAGCACTCAACAAACCCAAAACCTCAAGTGCCGCGTTAGCTCTTCAGCATCAAGAAATTATACGCATCATAGATCAATTCCAGGTCCACATGGACGAGGAATCATCCCCGTGCGTAGAGGAACCACGCCTAATGCTTGAGCTTGTGCAGCTGAGACTTCACATCCCGTTTCACGAGGTGGAGAACTTTGCGGGCAAGGGCAGTGTTGAGGACGCGCGCCAGGCGCTCCCTATTCTGCACGACTGGGTAGACACGCAAGAGGCGAGACAAGCGATCTGGCATGCCGGCCAGGTACTACGTGCAGCAGAAAAGTTCCGCTCCGGCCACCTACGTGGTTTCTTCGCCATTGCCGTCTACCAAGCTGCCCTGGCCCTTTGGGTGTACAGCCTCGTGTCACAGGGCAAAGTCAGGGATGGGAACAATCCGGCAATATCTGTTCAAACAACAAAAGATTCCGCAACTGTATGTTTGAATGGTCCAAGCGAGCTAATGACTAGACGCTTTATCTGCACGGGAAAACCTCCCTCTTGCGTACTACGGCCGGGTCGTTCGGTAGCTGGCCCGGCTTCAACTTCGGTACCCATCCCACTTACAGACCCAGAATCAATATCCTGTATGGTGGCAGACATGCTAGCAGACAATTTTTCAAACTGCCAGGCACTTCCACCACTGGTAGAGAATCTCCAGCAACTTCTCCGCCATCTCGGGAGGGCAGCAACTACCGTCCAAGCAGGGTTCCCCTCGTCGGAGCTGTGGCCCACATCCCGAAACGAGGGATGACACTCAGCTTGTAGCAGTTAGTCAATACCACCTTCGTCTCGGCTTTATTTATCCTGTAGTGGGAAGAGTGTAGATTACGACACGCGTCGAAGCCTATCCCAGATACGTTAGTGCATCAGGATATCGTATCGTCTCATAGACAGAAAGGAGAAAAAAAAACAATACCAAAATTCAAGACCTGATTCGCAAAGATCTCCACACCATTGGGTCGGTCTCATATCCGTACATCGTGGGGGAAAATGCCACTCTAGAACCTACCTCGAATGGAGGCCTTATCAGGTGTAATGTTTTCGGTCACGTGGCTCTGGAGCCGAATATGGCATCGACCAATATCCCGAATTGCTGGACACTATGTCTCCTAGTACTAGTGAAGCCTTCTTGGAACTATAGCACGGTGCGTGCAGTAACCCTGGAATTGGTTGTAGCAAAGCATATCACGTTCTTAGCATCACAATGATTCTGAATTGCAGATCTGCCTAGATTCTACTTATGGCCAGGGATTGTTTCCAGTGTATTATCAGCCAGACTCTCCCCAGCCACGACCAAATTCTCTGCAGGTACTAATACGTACAGCATCCTTGCCCAGCTCGTCTTACTCATGTTCCGCCATGCATGGTTCGTTCCACGCTGCACTGAGATATCTCCCCTCTCCAGAAGTCGAGTCTCCCCCGAGTCCAAGACCAGCTCCACTTTACCTTCCAGAACCACCCCGTAATCGAGGCTGATGGTGCGGTGCATTGGTGACAGCGCACCGGGAGGCATATCTACCACCCGTAGAACGGTTCCCGTCGATATGGTAATACCCGGCAGATTTTCAGTGTAATTTTTGTAGGTCGTGACATCTGCGTCGTCAGCCAATTGGGTGGGAAAATGGTTGCTGGCATAGCAAAGTGCGAATTCGGCTTTGTCAGGAAGCTGCCTAAATTGTGGCTCTTCTGGCAAGTCGGTTATAAATGTTGTTCTCCCATCTTCAGCGTGCGTGGTGATATATCGACGAAGTTGTCGGATGTCTTTGTGTGAACTATCCATAGTCATAATATTGCTGCTTTCTGTCTGTGTTTTGATTCCAGTCACACTATCTATGAATGCAAGTATTTATCATATTGCTCATGAGCACTCTTGGATCGAGTGGGCCGTCCAGCTGGTCCGAGGTGGGCAGTCCGAAGGCACGGCATCGGTATCTCTGGCCTCCGTACGTCCGTCGTCCCCCAAGCTCCCTCAAGCCAACTCCACAACCTGCCATCACCCACATATCCCGAGTTCATCTCGGCCATTAATTTGGACTTACTCGCCACAGCCTCTCGGTTTGAATTCAGTCACTTGCTACCCGTACCAAATCTCTCTTCCTCTAACTTCTATGCCTCTTCTTCTATTGTGTCGTGATAGAAGGGCTTCAAGAGTAGAAATGCCATCGCGGAAGATCGGGGCTCGTGGTTTTGGAGATTTGGGCATATTAATGGAAATGGCATCAAAGGCACAAGATAAGCAATGGATAAAATGCGCAATGGAATGACGAGATCACTTTCAACAGCATCTAGTAGCCTTCTTACATTGACAACCCTGAACTTCGAGTTGAGATATATAGTTTTCCCCCTTAAATCTGGCTATTGCTTAAACGCAAAGCAAAGTATGCTTATTTCATCAACCAGTTCATGACAATAGCTAAAGAGAATCTATAGCTAGGTATTCGGTGACTCGGTTACAGTTCGCTGTTGCGGTCCTTACCCTTTTTGCCATCGGGCGATTGCTTAACCTGCTTCTCAGCGAAAGCTTGAACCCGAAGTGTCGTTCCGATCTCGGCCAAGCCGCTGAAGCCTGTGATGAACTTCACGTCCTCCGCACGCTTCTGCCCTCCACGGAAGTTTTGAAAGTCTGTGAGTTGGTCTGTTTGGCACCTGTTAGTATCGCTTGTCACTCCGGTATCGGTGTGAGTATGTACGTACCTTCGCATGCATTCTTTCCCAGAACGACATCCTTGGTTGCAAATAGAGGCTGCAGCCATGTTACGACACCGGGGGCAAAGAAAGCCATGCCATCAACCACGGCAATCCATTTACGCTCTTCCGAATCGCCTTCCTTCAACTTCTTCTCTCGCCATTCACGGACAGCCCGAGGGAGCTGGTCATACTGGACCATGATGACCCGAAACCCATCCTTATGCATGAATTGGTTGAAATCGCCGGGGTAGGGCAAGTCGCCGCCGTCGTCAGTCCTCCAGTACTCGTCCAACTTGGGAAATGCCCACTCAATCTCCTTGGGAACGCTCGATGGGCCCGGCACGGTGAAGATCTCGGCATCGAAGTAGGCGTTCACGCGGCATTCCGATGTCCAGGAGAAGTCGACCTTTGCCGATAGAAAGTTGTCGAGTTTTTCTTTCAACTGCTGGTAACGCGCTTCGTCGCCCGCTTCTTTCGCCTGGTCGACTTCTCGCATGAGACCAAAAATGCCCGTGTCGATGCCAGAGCCGACATTGATCTCAAAGCGCTGCGCAGACGCCACGATTGGGCTGAGAAGGGAGACAAGGCGCCAAAACAACATTTTTTTGGTAGTAAGCGATTCTTTCCAGTGTGATGTGCAGAAGGAAAAGGAAGAAAGAAACAACCCAAAAGCCCCTCCCGGATATAAAAAGGTGGACAGATGTCAGACGGACCCTTGTTCACAGCTAGGCACCAAAGCGGGAATCAAGCAGCCAATATTACCTACAACATTTCACGCACATGCTGAGTGGCGTGAGTAAAAAATCGAGGAAGAAGTTGATTTGATTTGTGCAGAGAGGAAGGCAGCGCAGGATTTGACAATAATTATTAACCAGTGAAGACAATCCGAATCCGTACCGATGTCCTACGATTTCAAGAAAGTCATAAAGTGAAAGCCTGAATAAACACCCAAATTGGAGCTACCGCGGCAATGAGTGCACTTAATTCAATGAAATTAGAGCCAAAGCGTAATCCAGCCAGATATGTACCTACTATTGCTTTAGAATACGTTTCTCTTGTAGTATTTCGCTTCTTCGGCGCTATTAAACAGACCCCAGGCAACATTAGATGATGATCATAGTTGGGTGTCGTTAGTGATGTAGGGTAGGCCAATGATATTTTTGAACTGAGATGCAGGATAATCGGGGCCGGAATAAGGCTTTGCCGAATCACTCAGCCGCACGAGAGGCGGAGTCAACTTCTTGACATCTTGATAGATTCGTAGTGATGATGGAAGAAACTTCCATTCCAATATTGTCTTCGTAGCCCATGTAAACTCGTCCTTGAATATGGTTGGATCAAACTTCGTTGAGTTATCTGCACCGCGGTATGTATTTCAGTCCCCAACTATTTCATGTTAGCAAACAGATACCAGACTGAATCGCAACACCACGTTCAGGAGGACAGAACAGGACGATGGCATTGAGAGTAGCGACTCCGAGTGGATTGCTGTCGATGTAAGAAACCGTGAAGACCGCGATTCGGAAGATGATGAACAGAGTATTGTCGAGATATCGAGAGGTGAGCGAATATCCGATATCACTAGAGCCAATCGTGGACTGATGTGGTAATGAATAGCTTCAACACCCCTAGCTATCAGCTTCAATGCCCTAAGACTAGAGTCCTCTTCAAGCCAGAGTCTTTGGCCGCCCAGTCTTCCTTGGTTACGCTTTCAAAACCAAGCTTCTCAAAGTTTGTCCGGTCACAACATGAATCAATGGTATCCGCAATCACTAATATCGTCTTGCTTATTCAGGTGTCACAATAAGTAATTTAATATACCAGCTTCGTTTGCACTCAACAACTGTACCTGAAGATACCAATGACGAAACAAGTGTAATTTCATTTAAACGGGTACAAGCGCTCACCACCCCAGTGGGGTACAATCGTGAACTGGCTCGAATCAATAACTTAATGCCAGAAGGAGCTGAAGGGGAAAATGCCAATAAGCTCAAAGTTTTATCTGCCGGCGACCCAATAGAGTTCAAGAGAGAAGGGCTTCTACAGTTTGTGTATCAAGTATCAAATAACTTGATCGAGGACCAAGACGAGGTGATTGACGAAGATGGGGATGAGAGTCAAGATTATGACGAGATGGGGGTGAGAACGATACGAATATTTAGGGGCTTTTGTCTCCCTCTGAGCGTGTGGAAGGAGTTCATCTCTCAGACGTTGAAGCAACCCACCGGCAAGGCGTTTCTGGAGAACCTATTTGAGGCAGCTGCCAACACCCAGTCTCTTGACATTTGTGAGACATTGCTCGAAATAGGCGCTGATCCCAATAGGCTCATCATGACAGAATCATGTCATGTTCAGCGACCTATTCAACTGGCTGTCGAATATTGGGTTGGTAACGAAGAGTTTCTACCGCTTTTAATTCGTTTCGGAGCAGATGTGAATCTGGTTAGCGGCGAGGAAGACTCATGCCCCGCACTCTTCAAGGCGGCAAAAGAACACACACTACAGTCTGTACAGGCATTGGTAAATGCCGGAGCAAATCTTTGGGCTTCAATTGAGCACGAGGAGGTGATGTATACAGCTCTTGCGGCGGCTGTTGAATCCGACTGGAGACACTCACATGAGTCAGACGACGATGAAGAAGAACAGGAGGGGAGCTGTTGCAGACGCGGGGTCGAAATCCTAAAATATCTCCTACCCAACTACGATAGAGAGGATGATCATGAGATGATACAGAGTGCCCTAGTCATGGCTGCCACGCGCGGGCGAAAAGACTTGGCAGCAATTCTTCTAGACGCTGGTGCAGATGCGAACGAGGCATCTGTTCAGGGGTATACGCCGCTCATCTGTGCCGTGCACCACTCCTACAAAGCTCACATGGTGTCAATGACTCAGCTTCTCCTTGATAACGGTGCTGATCCTAATATGGGGACTTATGAGTCAAGGGGCATTGATATGGGTCCCATCCATATTGCAGCGTCCAAAGGAGGAGAGGAAAAGATGCTGGCACTGCTTCTCAGTTATGGGGCTGATATGAACGCTCCGGCATATTCAGCTACAAACACCGAGGCATCCCAATGCTGGGATTCAGAGGGCGGTGACTCGGATTGTGGATCGTATGGGAACGGAAAGGGGAGCAGGACCGCCCTCCAGCTTGCTCTAGTGCCCTCTTCTTCGAGCTATAGGGCCAAATCCAGTAGCTCGGCTCTGCTTTTACTTCGAGCTGGGGCGAATCTTACGGGCGGTGAATTTGCCTCGGCGGCAGCGTTCAATAGCATCGAACTGATGCAAGAACTTGTACGTCGTGGCGTTGATGTCAATGATGTAGACTTGTCTGGCCGTAACGCCTTGGAAATATGCATTGAGCACCAGCACGTGGGCCTCGTCGAATATCTCATCCAAATCGGCACCAGTATGGATCGACCGAATCTGATCAAATCAGCCTGCGGAGGAGGGAATCGTCAAATCGTGAAACTTATTCTCGACCACGGTGCACCCCTCCAGTGTGTAGGAAATCAAGGATCTCTCCTAGTCGCCGCGGCGAAAAGCAAGAACTGGGAGCTCATGTCTTGGTTGATGGATCAAAAGGATCTTCCATACAGCTCCCGCGCTCTCTGCTTGGCCGTGACCTCAGGAATAGGTGCCGATCAGAGAAACGAAATTCATCTTGCCACACTACTGAGGAAAAGGCCCCAGAATAAGACCGGTGATATCCTCGAAGGATCAGCATTAGCATATGCAGCCTTCTGGAACCAACATTGGGTCACCAGTCGTCTACTGAAGTTTAGGCATGCTGGAGATTGCATTCTACCCCTGGTTGAAGATATTGGCTATTATATTCTTATGGAGGGACCCTACCAGCTTAAGCGGAGTTACGAAACACAAAGACAGTATTGGGATGATCCGAATGCGATTCGGTGTTCTGTCATCCTTCCTTTTATTCTAGCCAATAATTGGACGTCTGTCCGACGGTTGATGGACGCAGGCTACCGACCAGACCGTCTATCGTTGCTTGTAGCGACCAGGAGTCACCCTTTGCCAGAAATTCAGCATCTCACCTCTCACATGCACATATTAGATATCAACAAAGGTTCACGTGGAAAGTTGGAGACACCGCTTCAAGCAGCTGTCAGATCACGGCGCCGCGATGTTGTTGACCACTTGCTTGATCTAGGCGTCGACGTCAATGCCTTACCAACCAGTCTAGCTCTCGGCTACGAAGAGGACGATAGGTTGATCCCTGCTCGCACTGCATTACAGCACGCGGTCGCACTTAGGGATCTACCAATGGTAGACTTGCTTCTTGATGCTGGCGCGGACGTAAATGCCCCAGCGGCAAAGTTTAACGGTGCCACAGCACTACAGATCGCGGCCGCAACCGGGCAGATAGGTCTTGCCAGGAGGTTGATTGCATTAGGCGCTGATATTGATGCTCCGGGGGCCGAATACGGTGGGCGGACGGCACTGGAGGCGGCGGCAGAGAGAGGTCGGCTGGATATGGTGCAGTTCTTGTTAGAATGTGGCGTGTGTTCAGACCAGTATGAAACTGCCATGGATATCGCGTTGGCTCATGGGTATATGGCCACGGTGGAAACCATCCAGGAATGGATGCCCAGCGAAGGTAGTGTGGATGAAGACGGGGGAATATAGGAGTGATGTTTACTTGTGACGATCAATATCTTCCTCAAATGCGCCCGATGTCCAAATTACGCCGTGTAAGAGCGCAATGCAGCGATTACTACAGCTATCAATGTCAACTTAAATAAACCCGTCGATATACACTTTATGTCACACTAAGATGAGTACTAATGTACGATAGATTGCCGTATTAAAGCAGCATAAGCCTCTGATTCAGATGAATTGTGCTTGTTAGTGTCCGGGGCCAGCGTCATCCCATCCATCTATATTCGTATTCTATTAGGAAGAATCTTCTCTTTTACTACATTGTAGCTTAAATACAAGGTCGGGTGGTATAGTCAAAAGAAAGAAGGGAGTTCATCTAGAGGATATTTAATATGGCCAAGAACATAGCCCTTGGCTTTGACGTATATCGGGACGAGAGCGAGCTGCGAGGTCGGGAGCAGGTTTCAGATACGAGACAATGGAATCTATAAGACTGTACAGAACTGCCACAAAGACTGGAATTAACGACTATTACTTCTGCAGATGGAAGGGCGGAGTAGAGCGCCTATACAAACCATTTCAAATGAACTTTAGGTCCCCGTTGCCGGGGGATGGGAATTGCTCCTGCCGTCGAAAATATAATCCCACTGTCTCTGCCCACTGATGTCAGCAAGTTTGGAAGAAACGACTCTTGATTTCTCGCCTTCACTATTGCGGTTTAACGATATTGAAGGGTCTTCCTGTTGGTTTGCTAAACCTCGGTCTCGATCTCGATCCCTGTGTGCGCACGAACAAAGCCACCCTTCACGATGTCCATTACAGGCGGAGTTATCACCACAGGGAGAACAACGGCCATTCGATGGCATGTTGTCGCCGTCTCCTTGGTGCAATATGTTCTCGGAGTCGTTGAATTCAATTCGCTCTTGAGTCTCCTCAGCGTTCGAGTACGTCCGAGTCCTCTCTGGCTGCGATTCTACTGTCGTAGCATTATGCGTAGATAATCCTCCATCTTCTGTGGCACTCAGCTGCCTCTCGCTCCGCCCAGACTGTGACTGTTCGTCTGGTAGAGTCACCTCAAGCCAGTTCCAAGTAAATGGGATACGTTTACCGTTTTCTCGTCGGTTAAAACGGCCGGTGCGTGGGCTGTTCGCGGGCCGGGGGGGCCTACGAATTCGATCAATCAAGATATTAGCGGCGGGGAGGCATGAGCAAACAAGCCCAATTGTAAGCTCAAGCATACTATCACACAACAAACTTATGTAAGTAATCCATTTTCTTTTTCAACTCGGGAGCTGTCAAGTTCACGTAAGAAGAGAAACGTACGTTAAGAGATCAAGCATAGCAAAAGTCGCAGCTACATCCGTGCCATTGTTCAGAATAACCAGTCGGTAAACAGTAAAGGCGGTTGCGGCCCCTCCAGCCCCGAGAAAAAGGACAATTTTTATCCTTCTGATCCACGGTGTTCGCAGTTGCCATATGAGTGGGATCGGGATGATGAATATCAGTGTGTCTGTCGCTATCGCAAACGCGACATCAACAATGAGGATTTCACGTAGGTCGAGACACTTTCCTTCGACGCCTTGCTTCCAAAAACCCTGGATGGGCTGACAAAGTGCAATCTTAACAGAAAGGAGAGGAATGTATGCAATCAAGAGAGCCACGTTGAAGTAGTGAATACCTTTAGATACCTTCGTGTTGACGGCAAACACTCGGGCAAGTAGTAGCAGGAGCGTTACCTTTGTAAAATAGGCCGCGGGTTCATATAGTATCGAAGTGATGTATACCCACTTGGATGTGATTAGCATCCAGTATGCCGCAGTGAAAAGGAGCATAAACACTACCTCAAGCATCTTGGCATATTCATCCGGGGCCACATCCCACGTGTGGTAGCCCATTCCGTGGCGAATTACTTGGATCTTGCGTAAGTATGTTGTTAAAGGATACGAGGCATCTGCTCAACTTACATTGGATAGATGTTCCGGTGAAAGCTGTCATGAGGACCTAAATCCGTCAGATATCGTTTGCAATGCAAGGTTGAGTCGCAGCTAACCCATGCTAGAAAACAGGTTACTGGTCATCAGATTAGCACGGCGTACGATGACGTTAGAGATAAAGCAGTGGCACAAGACCTACCATCCTCCAGGACCAGCTGTCGTATAATCACAATCTTGGAGTAGATGCGTGTGGCAAACAGGGCCGTTGACAGGGGGTAGCACACCGCGAAGACAGCGATAGTGGCAATGCGGCCAGCGTCGGGAGGGTTCTCGAAGTTGGGGATGACTCCAGGAGGGGGTGGAGCTGCTCCGCCATTAAGACCTGGAGCTACTCGTCCCTCAAGAAGTACTAAAATATCCATGAGGGGCTAAGACAGCCAAAGTCGGGGTGGAATTGGCTGACAAGAGGCCATCTCAGCTGAGGAAATAAGAATAGAAGCTTTGGGGTTGCTTTCCCGAAATGCGCGCCATGACAAAAATGTTATATTTCATGCTGTATGATTAATGTCTCAGTTGCCTGTCTTAACTTTTCATGACGAAATAATGACACGCAGAAATTTTGAAAAACTGTATCAAATATGGCTAGATCCCGTAGCCACAATGAGGATCTCTACGTATTCCGCTCAAGTTGAGTCCAGCCCTTTGTATTCATGTGATTTTATTCTTCTCGTTCCTGTTAATTAAAATTGTCCTTGAGACCAAACCCCCGGGTCCAAGAGGTCTTGGCTGGCAATGAAGCTAGGTTGGAGGCATGACGGGGTGGTTGGGTTGTGGATTGGTGACCTTCTGAGTGCTCATCATCAGTTGAAATGAGGGAGAAGCAAGACATGCCCCACTAAATTTCACCGAGCTACGAACAGGCTTGAGTCATTGACCATCTACACGCAAATGCGCTCTCTGACACCGGAATCCTCAAATCCAACGCAAGGTAATTCTATTTGCGTGGAGAAATATGTTCAAATGAGCAAAATAGCAATAACTAGGTCTGAAAGGTGGTCCTACACATCAAATGAGAATGATGGCCACTACCAGGTGTTATCACGTTAGATCGCGTTAATAAAGGGACTGGTATCTTCAATCGGACATATACTCGCTGTCATTCTTCGTGCCAACGGTTGATCAACCCATCTCCACGACTTTTTTCAATAGCATATCAAAATCAAGAAGACTACCTGTCACGACTCTCTATCAACCGGTGTGTGCCTTGTGCTGCTCCTAGCTTCGTTACCTGGCGCCAAGCATATTTCTACTCACATTGAAAGGTCTTCGCCCTGGTTAATCCAATCAACTTGAAACGAAGCCAAACAATTCTAGATAAACCAATAAGCGGAAAACTTATACCTATGCCCACCTACGTGCTTGTCAAGTATTTTCGTGGTTACATTATCATTGAAGAGATGCATATTTTGTCTCTAGGGTAGTGAAGTGTTGACTTCCAAGGACTGGAGGAATTTTATTAATTAAAAAGGACCAATCAGAGCCTGTCCTGGACGCGAATTTTTGATTTGTCAACATTCACTACAGGAGCGGCCTGTGATTGGTTTATGCCACCTCGCCTGCTGCCTAATTTTTTTCTGCCAATCACTCCTGCTCACCGCCTTTCTGGCCCAGTATAAATACCTGTCGACTCTGCCACCCTTTTACTCTTTTTCCTTTTCTCCTTAGCTCTCTTTGCCTTTTGGCTTAGATCAAGTGTAGTATCTGTTCTTTTCAGTTTAATCTCTGAAAGGTCTCTAAGGAGACCAATCGTGATTATTCCTATTTTTGGTCTTAGGGCGATTTCCTCTGTGCTTGCACACGATCTCGCCCACAGTGTCCCTGGTATTACACTGCCTCCAGGTGACGCGAACCCGAGCTCATTTTCATTGCTTCAGATGGCTTGCCATCCGAGTGAAGAAGATGCACATGGAGTATTGACGCTCGCTCTGCTTGGCGAAGTTCGAGTGGTGGTCAGAATGCCGCGTTAGGGCTGTGATTTTGTTCCTGGTTCCTCGGCAAAACCTCATGTGATGAATTTGGCTGCCGCCGCCGGTCCGACACTTTGCATAGCCGCTATGGATCAACCGTGTGTAGGTAGGTATTTAAGAGTCACTGGTGATGACCTATGTGCAGTGTTTGGCCTCTAGGTAGACGTTTACAACGAATCGTGCATGATACGGCGGCAAGATGACAAGACAACATGATGGGTACTTGTCGCTGAGTGCATTGATTGGGTTTTTTTTTGTGCTTTTGAACCCACGGCAAGATGATTCAAATTCTACGTACCTTGATCCTATATTGTCCGTCTCTGTAATCCAAAGAGCCATTTGTGAAAAAGCCCCAAGGCTTGAGAGCGTGGTAGGGATTTGCAGATCATGTGGGGAGATAGATTGAGTATAGAGATATTGTAACTTCACCCACGTTTTGATCTTTTAGAGCTAAAGAAGGTAGAGTATAGATTTTCTCCATCCGCCGATGCGGAGATGATGTTGCAAGTGATATCCGTAGCTTATTCGGCTATCATTCAGGCTAAATCGGAAAATCGTCCTGACTCCATTGCCAAAGATTGGATCGGCACGGAAAAGAGCATAACTTCTGCATCTGGAAGAGTCGGGGTAAACCCTTGGTTTGGGTTTACAGGGATGACAGTTGAGTTGACGATATTGGTTTGGTTAAAGTGCTTTGCGGGGAGTGTGGGGAAAAGATAGCCATGGCAACCAAGTATAAAATAGAGAGCGTTTTCTTGACTAGGACAAGGAGACCTGTGGAGCCGAATAATACTGGTTTTTCTAGGATATTCTTTAAGAGACTCCTAAAAGAGTTGAACGGGGAAAACATGAGGCCGCAACGGCATGTGAGCGTGCTGCTGGGAGCTGTGGCTACTTGCATCGCGCAATCAACAAATTCTACCTATCAAAACCCCATCATCAGTGGTTTTCACCCTGACCCCAGTTGTATCTTTGTCCCAGAATTCAATGACACGTTCTTCTGCGTCGCCTCAAGCTTCCTGGTCTTCCCTGGTCTTCCCATCCATGCTTCTCAGGATCTTGTGCATTGGAAGCATGTTTCCAATGGCTTTTCTCGAGCTGATCAGCTCCCGGGTTTGGCTTTCCTGCCCAAAGCTACCAGTGGAATCTATGCTCCCGCTCTGCGTTATCATGAGGGGACTTTTTATCTCATGTCGACATTGGTGAACCAGCAAGCACCACGGACTAATGACTCCCGCTGGGATAATTTCCTGATTACGACAAGTGATCCTTACAACTCGGACGCTTGGTCAGACCCTGTGCATTTCAGCTTCCCCGGATTTGATCCATCGCCATTTTGGGATGTGGATGGGAACACTTGGGTATCAGGCGCACATACCGCTGCCTACTATCCTGGCGTCATGCATGCACCGCTGAATTTTGAAACAGGAGAAATCGGGGACATTATAATGCCTTGGAATGGAACTGGCGGAGCATCTCCCGAAGGTCCTCATATCTGGAAGCGAGACGATGGTTGGTACTACCAGCTAATCGCCGAGGGTGGGACTAGGGAGAAGCACATGGTGACAATGGCACGCGCGAAGACACTTCAGGGGCCTTGGGAACCAGCACCCGGCAATCCCCTGCTTACCGCCGCCAACGATACTTCATCGTACTTCCAGGCCGTAGGACACGCAGACCTCTTCCAAGATCCCAACGGAAATTGGTGGGCGTCTGCATTAGCTGCTCGAGCGGGTGGTTCTTATGGCGAAGCTCCCGGCCCCTATTTTGGTAACCTACCCATGGGCAGGGAGACGGTCTTGACACCCGTGACATGGAATGAAGGCGAATTTCCAGTCTTTGATCCAATAAAGGGTAACATGACTGGCTGGCCACTGCCGTCTGCATCTGTGCCCGAGCAAGGGGAGGGCCAGCTCAGCGATGCCGACGACCACGTTATATTTCCCCCCGGTAGCAGCCTCCCTATCCATTTTATTCATTGGAGGTTACCCAAAAAGCAAAATTACATCGTGTCTCCGCCTGGGCGACCCAACACCCTCGCCTTGAAGTCTTCAGTTCTCAATCTCACTGGCTTTGATGGTGATTATGCACTGGGTCGAGGTCAGACGTTTGTGGGGAGGAGGATGGCGCACTCGTTATTCAAGTTCCGGGTGAACATTGAACTCCACAAATCATTCAGCAAGGAGGAAATGGAAGTGGGTGTATCGGTCATTCAAGATCAGGCGCAACATTGTGATATCGGTGTGGTGATACTCGACAGAGACAGTCACGGATGGGGGAACAACTCATACTCGGGCAGCAACAACGCAAACAGCTACACCAACGGTACTGGGCACCTGGTACCCCATATTCGATTCCGCGGGCATTCAGAGACGATGTATCGCGGGCGATCTGATATCCGCACTGAAGTTATTGAGGTGCCGCGAGAGTGGGCTGGATCGAAGCTGACCCTACAGGCAGAAGCCATCAATAGTACGCATTTCGCGTTTTCAGCAGGGCCTGGAGATGGTAAAAAGGGAGGGGAAGCTGAGCTGCGAGTTCTGGGCTACTGCCAAGGTCGCGACTTGGTGCCATATTATTCTGGTAAGTACCTACCTAACACCTATTGGGGCTTCTCCTGCCGTCAAAAAGAGCGTTTTTTACATACTGATAATGGATCGTGACTCTTATTAGGCGCGGTGGTCGGAGTGTATGCAACATCAAATGGTAAACATGGGGAGCGGGCGTTTGAGACTTACGTGTCGAATTGGCGTTATCAGGGAATTATACAGCTTCGAAGCCAGGAAGATGTAGACGAAGCTGACTCGGTATCACAAAGCCTATGAGGCATAGTGTAGCTATTTCACTGTTAGACGCTATAGGAGTAGGCAGCAGGTTACTTTCGTAGCCTAATTATGCATTTTTGATTGATCAAGCGATTTCTAGGCTTATCGATTGACACAAGAGACTATAAAATGGCTATCTGAGGGGATAAGTACAGAGAGACGTTTTAAAGACGAGCACGTTCTGGGTACCTGATCCGGGGATAACCTTCACTGTTTCCTCAAGTTCCCTATTTTGATCTCAGTAGATAAAAATTGTTATGCTAGCACTTTTTTGCCAAGTTGGAGTCTGAAACATGTCTTTCTCAGAGCTACGTTTAGCAAAATACAATCTCGTACAGTATGAGCGAACCCGCCCTTTGTGGTAATCATTCATTATATTTCCCATCCCAGCTATCCGAATACCTAACGAGCTCTAGCTGTAGAATTAGGTTTGCTTTTGCTTACCCGAATTTCTTTTAGGCACCCGGGCCAACCAGTAAATCAAGAGAGAAGCCCCGATGTTAAAAAGCAAGTAAACCCAGAGGATGCCAAAATTCCTCCACCGATCCTCATAGTATGTACTCACAGTCTCAAGATACTTGTTACTTTCCGAAATCGGACAGAACTGACAATTTGATGTTGCGTCGTTGGACACCAGGTAACCGCCCGCACTGTCCATATGAGATTTCATGTACTCGAAACAGGTTGAGTTGAACATGGGTTTGAAAGTGAGGAATTCATTGTCGGCACACACGACCTTGGTGTTTGCTACACCTGAAGACAATAAACCGCTGACGAGGTATGTCAGAGGTGAGACCCTGTACATGAAAATCCAGAAACCCGGGAGAGCCTCAGGTGTGGCCAGAACACCGCAAAAGATCAAGGAAAGCGTGAACATCAAGTCTCCGAGGTTTGCGCCGGCTGCAGCAGAATCGAAGCCGCACACAACAAGGATAGAGTAGGTGCCAGCAAAAACCATAAACATCCACAGAAATAGGAATACCAGTGCCCCGCGCTCAGTAACCTGCCCAGCTTCTTCAGCATTCCGATAAAGGCCAACTGGGTAATACCAACAAAAGAACATGAGGATAGCCATCAAGCTATTCCAGGGAATCTCAACCAAAATTTGGGAGAGCATGAAGACTTTCCACGAGTAGACTTTGGATGGCCTCTCGCGAGCTTCATACAGACCCCTTTGGATAACGAACTGGGGAATGGATTGCTGCACAACTTGCCCAAAGATTGTCATTAAACAGAAGATGGAAAACATCTGACTTTGAAGACCCTGAATGCTAGTCGGAGCCTGGAAAAAAATGAAGCCGATGAAAAGGGATATGATCGTACAGAGAGCCATTTTGGAGTAGATGTATGTTGGAGTGCGCCAGTACTGTTGAAATACACGACTGAGATTTTCCCGAAGCTGAGTCGTGAAAGGGGCTGCAAATTCCTGGAAACGGCCCGGGTCCTCCTTAGGCCCCCCTGAAGAGTAGGCCAAACTCTCCATCTTGATTTTCTCGAGCTCAGCTTGAACCATATTGTACTGAGGACTTTTCCTCCATATCTTGAACCAATCGATCTCGGTCGTTGCGCCTGGGGCGTCGCCGATTACTTCGAGCATCCATTCTGCGGGATTGGCGTCGGGCGGACAGGGGCGCGCACCATTACTCTCGAAGTACTTGGTCAAAGTCTCTGCTTTCTGTCCAATATCACCAAAGTACACGGTCTTTCCTCCCGGAGAGAGTAAAAGTAGACGGTCGAATTGCTGGAAAAGCATCGACGATGGTTGATGGATGGTGCAGAGAACGGCTTGACCTACTTTGGTCAGCTTCTGGAGCAGGTCCAGGATAGCCCAAGAAGTTTGAGAATCCAGGCCAGAAGTTGGCTCATCAACAAAAAGCAACAACGGTGGCTTGGCCACAAGCTCAATGGCAATTGTAAGACGCTTCCTTTGCTCAATGTTGAGACCCTCACCAGGTAGACCAATAATAGCGTTGGCATATTCACTCATATCCAGCATATCTATAATCTCTTCTACATATGCCAGCTTTTCCTCGCGAGGAACATGGGAAGGTTGGCGAAGAACAGCACTGAAGTTCAATGCCTCTCTGACAGTCGAGGTTTGTAGATGGAGGTCTTGCTGCTGAACATAACCCGTTTTCCTTTGAAATGACATATCTCGAGGCCTGCCGTCAACAAGCATCTCGCCAGTAATTACGCCGACCGAGATTCGATCAGCTAAGCAATCCAACAGACTGGTCTTGCCGGCACCGGACACACCCATCAAGGCAGTCAAGGTGCCGGGTTTAACCCAACCATCGACGTGATCCAGAATACGACGTGTGTCTTTCTTGATCTTGATGTCGTAGCAGACATTGTGCCATTGAAAGATGGACTTCTGTTGTTGAAGCCCCCTTCCCTGAGCAAAATTGTTTCGGCCTCTCTTGCCGGCGGCGGCAGCCACTCTGCCCGGCCCAGAAGCCTCAAGATCTGCATAGCCATAATCTCTCCACGGATTTCTAGCCGACACAGGCTTTTGGCTACGTGGATAAACGAGCACTTCCCCCTTTGACTTTTTCTCAGAAATCAACTCGGCTGCGACAAGATAACAGCCAAAGAGCAAAACAGTGAAAACGATCATGATCCCAAAGTTCCGCCAGCGGTTGCCCCATTCATAGCCGAATAAAGCGCTGGCGTAGTCGTCTCCCAGGACAAAGTCCTTACCAGGCTGTGCGCCGACGGAGTTGCACACCTGGCTTTCATCTTCCACATTTGCGTACTCGGGGAGATTGCGACTGGGAACAAAGTTATTGCATTTAAACTCCCGGTTATGGAACTCGTTGACAACCAGAGACTCAAATGCGTAGGCCAGCGGATCGATGTAATTTATCCATCGGCACCAGCCCAGCATATAGTTTGTCGGGAGGACGAAACCAGTGAAGATTATGAGATTCAGCATCAGAATTCCGGCGGGGACGAGAGCTTGGAAGAGTGAGCGAGCCACTGAGGCAATCGTTCGAAATATCATAGACATGACCAAGACTGTGGAAAAAGAGATGAGTAGGAAGAAGAAGAAAGGGCCCGGCTCTCTTCTCAAGTTGGTCATGAAGTAAAGCGTAAGATTAAAGACGAGAGAAGCGATTACTTTGTTTGGCAAATCACAAAGAAAGGACGCAACTGCTTCTGCTGAAGGGTGGTATAAAGCATAGCGAACATGCTTCTCGACTATTGGCCGCTGCGCAAATAGGGTCAAGATCTGGACAATGTTAGTTTAGAAGCTGGTGATTATGGGGCTTCATGAGTGTACACACCTCAAGGAGACTAGAGAGTCCATTTAGCAAACAGGAGAAGAAGATCAACGTTCCACGTGGGACGAAGCTTGATGTAGTTTCGTTCAGGTTGAAGAATACACTACCCACGACGAGGGACAAGATGAGATTTCCTACAAGAGCGCCAATTGTTAAGCTTGGATCACCCTTGAGTCGCATCAAGCCGCGCCAGAGGCACAGTTTAACCTGCTGAGGGTATGAGAGAATATATGGCGATTTCCTGCGTTGGCCTCCAGCCTGTTGAGCCTCCTTGGACGCCCGGAAGACAAGGGCGTCAACGCCGTCAAGAGGGTGATCGATTTTATATTGCTCAATTTCCGCCTCTAGGACGCTATATCGGACACTTTTCTTCCATGCAGCAGCAAAGTCATCAGGCGTATTGGGCACCCTTCCCTCGAAACCGTGACGAACGATACGCTCGAGAGGAGAGGTCATTGAAGTGAGGAAGTCTGGAGTAGTCTGACGGGGAGGGCATTCAAAACCAAGGTCAATAAAGTACTGCTTGGCTTCGTCAGCCCGGCCAAAGAAGATTTGGCGCCCTTCGTAGAGAACCATGGCCTTGTCAAAAAGATCATAAGCACTCTGCGGTGCCTGATATATTGATACACACGCAGTGATATCAAACACATCAGCCTGGAGCCTGAGGGTTTTGCAAAATTCAATGGCATTAGCAGAGTCGAGACCCCTGGTTGAATTGTCCCAGCATTGCAAAGGAGCGCCAGAAAGTGCAGCCTCAGCGATCGTAACACGTTTTCGCTCTCCACCTGAGACGCCTCGCACAGTGTCGTCCCCTACTTGGGTGTTGAAGGTGTGAGAGATGCCGAACATTGCCATTATGACATCCCGGAGGTGGTCAGAGTACTGGTTACCAGAAAATCCCAACGGTAGCTGTCGCGGCTTGCGGGCGCGGGATGCAAAAGTGAGGGTGTCACCGACTGTCATCATTGGAAAGTGGACATCAACTTCAGCGGTGTAAATAGCCTCGCCGCGATGGTGGGTGTGTAACTCTTTTGCCCTCAAGCCTGATACTCATGGTTAGCTAATGGCCATTATCAAGTAGGAGTGTGGGATCGTCTCGCCGCGGGCTTTTGAGAGAAGGGATTCTGACATCTCAATCTTACCTTGGTAATTAAAATATGAGTCGTAGTCAACATGAAGACCATTAGTATCGCCGGCAATCGTCTTCAGAAACGTGGAACAACCGGAACCAGGCGGCCCCAAAACAACCAGCATTTCGCCTTTGCGTACCAAGCCGTCGCATTGGCGCAAGATATCCACTTCCTGACGATTTGGTGAGAAGTGCTCTCTGACAGTGCTGGCGAGGGAGAGCCAGACGTTGCCGACAGTCTTCTGAAAATCAGTGGCGGCGTGGAATCCATGAACGTTGAGATTCTGGAAACAAACACCGGCGGAACGAAGCATCCGATCCCTTGATGTCAATTCCACAATGGACTTTGCCCATTTTGTAGCGTTGAAATTAGGGTTGCTAGGATTTAGGGCCGGGTCTGCCTCTATCATGAAAGGGGATGCGTAAGGGCTCCCCCCAGTTGCTTTGTGAGATCTCCTTGAGTACGACCTTGCAAGTTCCTTGACGGCGGATGTGCGTTCCTCTAGGTCAGGATGTACTCCATTGTTGAGGAACGAGTTTTTCGATTCCTTTGAAAATGTGTCCAATCTGATTTCATTCCTCAAATT